CTTTATGTTTAGGTCATCGTTCATAAAACCAAGCATTTTTCTGGGTGTTAGTATCTAGAATAATATTCTCTGGTAAAATAGGAAAACCATCTTTTGTACCTCTAACAGGGGCCACAAATCAGTCATTGGGAGTCGCAGTTTCCCAGCTTCCACATCCCGCCGATCGCCAGGGTGAGCTCACCCACCCGAGGGCAACTAGTTTTCCCCACTCCTCCCAACTACAGCGCCTATCCCTTCCACTTCGCGCCCCTCCTCCTGCACGTCCCCTAACTGATTTCATAGCCGAAGAGCGGAGCGGTTCATTGTTGTTTTCGTTGGCGTTCACTCCTCCGCAAATGTTTGCCTTATATGATTGGAACCAGTACAGATATACGAGTACATACATATATCGGATGTGTTACAGACATGTGGTTATGTATCTGTGGGGACATGCTGTTGTTTTTGCTATTACACGCACAATGGGACAAAAATAACAGACTTATGGTTATTGCTTTATAGCAAAGACGATATCACTCGCTCTTTTGATTTCATTTTTTAAAACGGAAAACCTCGCGACATCTCATAGTTTATGTAGGTACATAGAAACTTAAGAATATAAACTTTATATTCAACCGAATTAGAGTCCAAATCACCTTCCCAAATCTGGTTTCAACGGCAAACAAATGTCTTTTCGAAATGTCAATAAATAAGTTTACTTAGCGATCAATTTATCGATACTTCGGGAAAGATAACAGCCAGTGGATGTGCAAACAATCAATTAATAAGGAATTGACAATCATTCAATGTATTGCTTTGCAGAGCAAAGAATTGGCGGTTTTTAAATAGCAGAACATCTAATTTATGGGCTATGGGTAACAAAAGGAAATACAAAATTATTACCTAAAGAGCTAAGAAAAAACCCTTTTACTAGTGATGCCGAAACACTTTCCCAATTGCAATTTAGCTTGTCACTTTGTGTCTGTCAAAGTGTGATAAAAATCTCGAATGATCTCCATGGTGCTACGCGGGGATTCCTCTATGGCGTGTCTATTATTAAATTTCTCTATGAATGAAATTACTCACATATTTACATACACATGCACTTCAGCATGTTGGCCTATGTATGTATGTGTGTGTGTGTGTAGAAACCTCAGTTACACTTGAATGACAATTTCGAAACTTATGGGGACTTGGTCCAAACCTAAAGTCCTACGATGTGAGTGTTGGTGTGGCATTGACAACGGCCCCCCTCGAAAAACCCCTTCTCTTTGGGGCTTACGTGCTTGGCTGCTAACCTTTTTTCAGTTTGCGTTTTCATTTTTTCCGTTTTTGTTATGCTCGAAGCCGTAGCCGAAGCCTAGCTTTTTCTTTTGGGTGCCTACGTGCAAAGGAATTTTACACTTGGCGAACAAAGGCGCAGAAAGAGCTAGAAACTGACGGAGAGACAAAAACAACAACGGGACTTTATGACAGCCAAGCGTCGTCGCTAGAAAACGAAGTGGGGAGAATCGCTGGGAAGAGCGTGGATCGAAGAGAGGGTCCAAGGGAGCAGGAGAGTTGTGCATGTAGCCAAAGTACAAAGAGCTGAGCTTCCAACGGCGACAATTTGTGAGCCAAGGAGAAGCAACGAACGAAGGGAAGGGTGATGAATGTAGGAAGGGGGCATTAGAAGAATCATACACTCGGAAAAACTTAAGGCCAACTATCTTAAACACATAACTGTGTTGCATATTCTTTTTTAAACTCCAGTTCTATGAATTCCTCGCAGTGTAATTTAAAGATGATGAATGAAACGATGAAACGTACAAACATCCTCATTTTTCTCGCTGTGTAGAAAGAGGGACTTGGGAGGTTTTAGTTTCTAAGGCAAGGAGAGCGGGCCGGAGGGTATGGAGGGACGAGCGCTGGAGAAGAGGTGCAGGGGAAACAGGCGGTCGGCACATGTGTTTGGTGCCAACCTGCGATACCTGTTCCGCCGTTGGCATCGACGGAACGCCAGAATCCGGCCACCAGCTAGCTGCTAGCAGCAGTTACTCAGTTAGTCAGTCATCAACACAGATACTCTGGCACTACTACCTACACAAGTTGGCGTTAGGAGAGCTAACGTATCTCTCTTTTTCTCTCTGGGCCAACTCGCTGTTTACACGGCACAAATAGCGCTAGAGGAAACAAAAAAACCAAAAGCCCCCTTCGATCTACCAAGCCCCTCGCTCTCACGCACATTAGTAGAAGGTGGAGGGGAGAGGGGTGCGGAGCACACACGCATGTAGAAATCACAGGCTCTAGTGGTTTTTGGTTGACTCGTTGGCTCAGTTTGCTGGATTTTCACATATTTCGATATATTGCGGGGGCGACGCTTGTGATTGTGTGTGGGCCACATGTGCCAAGTGTCGCGCACACACACTTGCACATACATGTTGTATATAGTATAGTAGTGTCCCCCGCCAGACGAGACTTTAACCACAACAACAACATCCAAGTCAGCTAGAGCCAGAAACCCACTTTAAGCCAAAGATATTGGGTAACAATTGGCAACCACTAAGGCCCAAAGGGTCACCTATTTATAAACATGATCAAGTAAAGTTAGACAATCACCTTTTGTTTTCAAGGAACCAATACGATGGCCAAAAGCAAAGATGTTTAGCTTTGAACCTATAATGATCCAAGCTCTAGTCGTCTTAAGGTTAGGAGATCGAATCCTAAAGGTCAGATATATATAAAGATTAGAAGTCACCATTTTCTTTATAAAATTTCGATACAGAAAACAGAGTCCTTAAACCAGCTGTCGAGGACATGACAAGTTAAGAGATCTCAAGCCCTTCTTGGCTGTGAAAATCCCACACTGAAAAATCATTCTTTATAATTGCCCATCCCCAACGTTGGCCTACCACTCTTCAAACGGGTCTTCCTCCGTCAAATGTACAAATTCCGTTTTCACTCCCAGCCGAATTTGAAATTTCATCATCATCATCATCGTGGTCTGTGGGAGAAGCAGAGGAAGCATCGTTAATTTGTGAGCCCTGTCACCGATTATACTTCCAACCTCCGCTCTCACACACATACACCTCCTCACGGAACCCATTGTTGTAATTTTTCGCTGATAAAATTCAAGCAGGAGAGCAGTCCCCCGCTGCCCCTTTTCTGGTGAATGGGGAGAGGAAGTCATGGAGCGTAGATAGAGCGGTTTATACGTATTAGACCAGCGACTAAGTAGAACGGCAACAACAATGCCACCGGCACTAGCACCACCACTACACAGGGAAAAATGTTGCGATATGAGGATCTATCTGGTGATATGAATATGTGTTTAAAAGATTTTGGTAAGAATAAGTAAGTTTCATAGTCAAAGTCCTGATGCTGTATGACCTGGGATGATATAACATCTATTATTCATAAGTTCCTAATCACAAAACTGATCAACAGATCACAACACTGAAACCCGATCCAAAGAATAGCCCCCGAATCCTATTTTTCTCCGTGCAGCCATGTACCCGTACTATGGACCATACATAGTCCCGGCCACAGCACAGCCCCCAAGAGTCGGAGTCGTAGTCGGAGTTCCGATCCCAGGCAAAGCTCCATAAAAGCCACTCAAAAGTAGAAAAAATGAAACAGACTGAAAAAAAAAAACTTAAATAAAAAACACACCACCAACAACACGCAATAGGGCAAGGCAAACAACAACAGCGGCAGCGACGTCGACTGAGAAACAGCAACAGGAATTTACGATTCAGTGACTACCTTATTGTTGTTGTAGTTGTCTAGCCTGCGTGTATGTGTGTGTGCATTTGTTGTTATTTCACCTGGGTTGGGGAGCTCTATGTTTGTGTGTGTGAGAGCCTATTAGGCGAAACGATCGTTTCCGTTGCAAGGGGCAAAGGGGTGCGGAAGGGGGTTGATGTTATGTTGTTGTTACTATTGTTACTGTTGTTGTTGTTGCTGTTGCCGTTACGCCTTCAGCCAGTTAATAATAGACAACAACAACAAAATACCCACCAAGGTGTGTAGGATAAAAAACACACGAACAAATTATAAAAAGAGCGAGGGAACTTTGCTCAAAGCTCGCTGCTTAGGATCCCCAGTCACTTTGATTTGAGCCACCCTGGCAATCCACTTGTAGAATTTACAGCCCGCTTACGTAATCCCTCAACTAAAAAAACTTCAGACGAACGCTCCTGCAAGCCAACACGAAAACATACAGTGGACCCTCCCGAACTCGCAAAACAATAGCGGAAAGAATTTGTGAAGGAAATTTTAAATTATGATTATTTCCGATCTAATCTTTTTTATTTATGCAAATATATCTTTAAAAAAAAAACTTTAAATAAACTTTAAGATATGTTTATTTTTTTTAATTTCAAAGTTGATTTATTCGAATATCAACTGTATATCCCACCACGCCTGCGTTGCTGGCAGCGCATTTCCACATGCTTTTCCCATATTCCGTGGCCTGGAAATCCCCAGCAAAGCTGCAGCCCAACCCCAAATGGTTTTTGTAAAGAGCCCAACCCAAAAAGTTGCCCTTACAACAACAACAACAACTATGTATGTATATCTACTACTGCGGCGGGAAAAAGCGAGGGAAACAACAAATCATCAACTGTTGCACACCCAAAAGGTTGCTGCTGTTGGCGGGTTTCTAGCTTTTTTCCAGCGCGTTTTTCTTTTTAACCCCGATTCGCTGGCCCGCCCCTCACATCCCCCATCCCCATGGCAAAGGAAATTAAAAATTCAAAAGTCAAAGGCGCAAGCAAGAGAGCAAGATCCGCTCTCTCGCTCTGACACGTTCTCTCTTTCTTATTTGGAGACTTGGGGACCAAGCGAAAAGTCTCCACAAACCGCAGCCCTATGCCTGCTTATGTGTGTTGAGTGAGCAAGAGCGTTCCTTATGAGAGAGGAGGATTTGCTGAGCGTGTGTGTGTGGACTTGTGCGAAGAAGAAGCAACGCTGGCAGCGACGCTGACGCCGCTGCCTTGGCGCTCGGGAACTTGGAGCCCAGTTGCCGATCCGATCGCCAGAGGATCGCCGCTCACTCAGTGTATTGGTGTCAAGCAAGACGGACGAAATATATTGCCGACGACGCGCCGCTGCCAAAAGAGAGTTTATTCCGCTCTCGCTCGCGCGCACCTCCACTCTCTTCTCCTCTTGCGCCGAGTTGTGAAAATTTCCACAAGTTAAAATTAAATGAAAAAAAGTGCAAAGGAAGCAGGCAAAACACGAAATAGCGAATAGTAATTTCGGTTTAACAATTGCGGGCAGTGAAGTAGAAGCCCCATGAATGTGTTTCCAAAAACAAAATTCAAGTAACAAACTTCAAGAAGAAAACAATCTGAATTAGGTGCTTACAATGGTCTTAAATTATCATTAATATTTTAAACAGTAGTGTTGTGTCTATATGTAGGAATTTTAAAATGTCCCACACAATCTTTAAAAGTAGTCCTACAAACAAAGATAAAACATATAAAAAAGTGTGAGAGAGGGAATAGGGGTGTCCAGTAATTCAAGTCCTATTATGTACCCATATGCGGTACCCCAACTGAAGAAACCACCCTGTTCCGCTCGCTCAGTATCTCTGTCTCCTTTTGAAGGCGTTCACGAACATATCTAAAGGGGGTGTAGGATAGAGCGTGTGTGTGTGCTGTAAAGTGATCTCCTCTCCGCAGGCAACCGCCCACCCCTAAAAACATCCGCTCTTATCAGGCGCAGTGTGCGTGTGAGTTGGGGGTTTGAGTGTGTGTGTGAACGGCGTACGTCGGCAGCGCTGTCGGCTTCCTGCGTCGAGGACTTTGACTTACTCACTCACTTACTTGCGAGTCTTTCCCGAGTGAGGACGTGTCAACTGGAACTGATCCTCTCTCCTGCATTCGCTCTCACTTAACGTCTCACAACGGTACGCGAAATATAAAAAACCAACTAGTGGCGGCAGAAAAAAACAATACAATTCCATTTAAAAGCCAGCCATAAATGAGAAATACACATATTTGTGCGATCGGACAGGCGAAAAAAAGCTTTCGCCGACGAGCTTTTCTAATAACTGTTTGGCGGTGCCAGTTTATTTGTGTGTGCCTGTGTGTTCGCTGATCTCCCTCTCCCGCTCTTTCTTTATTGAATGGTTTCTCAATTGATTTGAACAAGTGCATAAAAACAATAACAATTGCAAGTAAACGAAAAGTGCAAAGCATAGACAACAAAATAGAAGCGTGGAAAAACAGAAAGCAAACGAAGAATGAAGACTGTGTGGCAGGAAGACGGGAATTTCGTGGGCGAATGGAAATGATTTTCAATTAAGTGTACAGGGCAACTGAAACTGGCGTGGCGATAAGATAAGACTGCCAGCGGCAAATATTTAGCAAGTGGAAGAAGCAAGAGGAAGCGTGGTTTCAAGACAAGGATTTTTTTGTTGGAATTACGCTCGCCGAAACTGAGATAACGGGGACATGAAAAAAAAAACGTGCCACGAATGTTCCATTATTCCATGACTTTCCACGGCAGAGATTGCCTGCTGGAATTTTAATGCAAGTGCGTGTGTGTGTGTATGTGTGTCTGATCTGTGTTTCCAGTTGGCAGGCCTCTTTAGTTTTCCATTCCAGTCAGCCTGTTTCATTTGTTGCTCTCCTAATTCCACACCCTTTGGCAAGCTTCCAAGTCATGCACACATACAACGAGAGCTGCCGTCGTTCCGATCGCCCGCTCTCTTTCCCACAAGCAAACACACTACGACTACAGTGCGTGTGCGTGCCTTGTTGTTGTTGCTGTTGCTGCTGCTGCCTGCGCCTGCCCATTTGAAACACATTTGAAATTTCCTCATTTACTTTTCCTCAACGGGGCCTGCATAATGTGCTCGTCTCTGACCCTTTGGGGTCGGCTCTTAAATTAAATTCAATTCAATTGGACGCAGGCAGCGCGGCAGCAGCGCAGTTTCGAGCTGCAGGACTCGTTTAGGGAAAACATGAATGAGTGTACAGTGGAGCTCTGCTAGTCGGTCAGTGATCATGTGTCCTGTATTTGTACCCTTTTGAGATTGAAATAATAGGATGTTAAAATAATATATTGTATTATAAACTGTTAATTAGGAGTTTTGCAACACATAAATATGTGAAAATACGAATAAATTATAGAAAAGAGAAGTGCATTACTGCAACTTTGAAAAGCCAAAGAAAACTGATAAAGTGAACGAAAAATTTAGTGTTATATCCGTAAAGGAGTGCGTAAAAACCCAAAACTAACCTTGTAATTTCCTTTGATTACAGCACGCCTTGGAATATAAGTTTTAACTGCTGTCAGGCCCCAAGGAGAAGCCCAGCCCAGGACAACCGAAGGACCTTTGATGTAACCAGGGCCCACTACAGCCCCACCTACATGAGGACATAGATCGCAATCGCACACTCACTCGCACACCGCTTAGTGACGCAACCCCAGCCTACCAATGAAGATGGCATCCCAACGCTTCTGCTTGCGCTGGAACAACCACCAGAGCAATCTGCTGTCCGTCTTCGACCAGCTGCTCCACGCAGAGACCTTCACAGATGTGACGCTTGCCGTCGAGGGGCAATACCTGAAGGCACATAAGGTGGGTGGCCGTTACTATGCTTAAGTACTTATATATAGATATAGATAAGCAGGGAATAATGCAGGACTTCCGCATAGAGAGAGAGAGGACTTTAACTATATGTTTTAGCATGGTGTTACTATCCCAAACTTTAACTAAACATTCAATTTGACCTCCTTTATAGATGGTGCTATCCGCCTGCAGTCCATACTTCAACGCCCTGTTCGTAAATCACCCGGAAAAACATCCAATTGTCATTCTGAAAGATGTGCCCTACTCGGACATGAAGTCCCTGCTCGACTTTATGTACAGAGGAGAGGTCTCAGTGGACCAGGAGCGACTTACTGCATTCCTGCGCGTGGCCGAGAGCCTGCGTATTAAGGGCCTCACCGAGGTCAACGACGACAAGCCCTCGCCGGCGGCAGCCGCAGCAGGAGCGGGGACGGCAGGCTCTGAGAGCACAGCCACTCCTCCCCAGCTGCAGCGCATCCAGCCATACCTGGTGCCCCAGCGGAATCGCTCGCAGGCCGGCGGTCTGCTGGCCAGTGCTGCCAGTGCCGGCAACACACCCACCCTGCCGGTGCAGCCATCGCTGCTCAGCTCGGCTCTGATGCCCAAGCGCAAGAGGGGCAGGCCCCGCAAACTATCCGGCAGTTCGAATGGCACGGGGAACGACTACGACGACTTCGATCGCGAGAACATGATGAATGACTCCTCCGATCTCGGCAATGGCAAACTGGGCAACGAGTCCTACTCCGGTAATGACGATGGCTCCGACGACAATCAGCACAATGCAGGACACCCAGATGATATGAATGTAAGTTTCTAAGCCTTATTTAGTTAGAGATTAAATTAAAAAAATTAAAAAGCTTTGAATTTCTTTTGGTTAAAAGCCATTTTGATAAATCCATTTGAATTTCTTTCTTTCTACAGGAAAGCCGCGATTCTCTGCCTTCGAAACGGTCAAAGAACTCCAAGGATCACCGCGCAGTGAGCCAGCACGAGGACAACAGCACTTCCGGTGAGTCCTCGTTACCAGAACTTTCCCTCGTAGATAGAACGAACATTACCTAGTCCTAAGATCATTTGCCTAGCCCTAAGACAATGCACCATCAACCATTCTTAAGTCGACTCATGTGCACCCAGCAAAAGACATACTCGTATATCGAAAACGAACTCAATCCAATACAGAGCCAGGCCGAAGTCACATACTACATTCGACCAATCTCATCTGCGATATCGGAAAAGCTAAAAGGGATTTTACGCATTTCAATTAGTAGAAATTTGAAAAGCAAATTCTCGCGTCGGTATCTCCCCCGCCCCGCTTAGTGAAAACAAAAGTAAAATAAAATACAAATTTAAAAAAAAATGTGAGAAAGTTAAAAGAAAATTGTTAAGTGAATTCGCAACGTTCGAGGCATCTTCCGTCCGTCGGCAGGTGAGTGTCCCCAACAACCAGCTAATGCAGTTGATGCCCAAGAAATGCAAATCCACCAGCTGACGAAGAGATTATTGTGAAGTTGAGAATCGGGTTGAGCTCACAGGGATTCATGGCCGACGTGATAAGAATGATCAAGAAACTTATGTAGCCAACAAAATTGTCCAAATTAACCGCGCCCAGAAACTGAAAGAAATCGCCACCTCTCATGACCATCACCCACAATGAAATGCTGATCTCCATTTCCTCTTTGAAACTATGCAAAAATTAACCAACAAGCAACAGGAAAATGATCACTTAAAACCTGTCAATGTCAATGAAAACTCAAACAGAAAAACTTTCGAACTCGCAACGCGTTGAAAATGGCTTGAAATCCCTATAGCTTTTCCGATCCGATTTGAAACTCTTTCTCACTCGCTCGCGTCATGTGTTTTGCCTTTCTCTTGCATACATCCTGCACACATATGTACATCCACATCATGACTCATACTAAGTTTATACGCCTGATATTTGTAAGATTAAGTTTGACAAAATCAGTTTTCATAACAATTACAATCATCTAAATGGTAATTAAAAAGCTATAAAAGTTTTGCCCTTAGAAACTTCAACTTAATTACAACAGATTTTCAAATACATATGGCGTATAAAGATAGTATTAGTATAAGAACTAAAAGACACCCAGTTAACCAAATGATTTACAAATTTTAGATGGCAACGACAGCGACGGCGAGGGTTTGGACACATCTTACATGGAACCTCAACTAATGCTGGACGAATACGACGAGCCCGTTGAGTTCAAGTACAACCCGCTCACGGACAACAGCTCGCCCACGCAGGACCAAACGGATGGCAGCCATCTCAACGAGCAGGCGCGCCAACAGGCCTTCCTCATTGCCGCCCAGCGAAAGCATCAGGAAACGGCTGCAGCGGCGGCGGCCGGAGGTGGACTCAAGCTTAACATAATCGGAATGGCGGCTGGCGGTGCGCAGGTGAAGAGCATGGTCAGCATACCGAAACTTACGCCTATTGGCAAGGTTAATGCCGCCTCCACACCACTGGTCTCGCCCGCCGGATCTTCCTCCATGGCTTCGGTTAAACCGCGCGTCCAAAAGCGGCCCAAAATGGCCAAACAAAATGGAGATGTCAAGCCGGCCGTGTTTACTAGCCAGGAATACCTCGACATATACAACAGCAACGACGGCTTCAAGTTCAAGGCCGCCGGTCTAAGCGGAAGTACGCCGAACCTGAGCGCCGGATTGGGTACACCGTCGGTTAAGACCAAGCTCAATCTGAGCAGCAATGTGGGCGAGGGCGAGGCAGAGGGCTCGGTGAGGGACTACTGCACCAAAGAGGGCGAACACACGTACCGCTGCAAGGTCTGCTCCCGCGTCTACACGCACATCAGCAACTTCTGCCGGCACTATGTGACCTCGCACAAGCGCAACGTTAAAGTGTACCCGTGTCCATTCTGCTTCAAGGAATTTACGCGCAAGGATAACATGACAGCGCATGTGAAAATTATCCACAAGATCGAGAATCCCTCGACGGCGCTGGCCACCGTGGCGGCAGCAAATTTGGCCGGCCAACCGCTGGGCGTCTCGGGGTCCTCGACGCCTCCGCCGCCGGATCTAAGTGGACAGAACTCAAATCAGTCGCTGCCCGCCACCAGCAATGCACTTTCCACCTCCTCCTCCTCGTCGACGTCCTCGTCTAGTGGATCCCTCGGACCGCTGACGGCGTCCACAGCCCCGCCAGCACCAGCAGCCGCGGCGCAGTAATCTTCGGACACCTCTTTGGACCACTCCATGCCCAAAAAAGCACACACTCAAAGAAAAAGCGAAGGTTGAGGCAGCCGCTAGCGATTGGTGGAAGCATGTTGCAGCGCCAGGCGCTCTTCGGGATTTATTTGTTGTTGGGGAAGGAAGTTAAAGTAGATTTTTTGTTGATTTTGTTTTTAGTTTTTTACTTGGCCTCGACGGAGTTGCAAGAATCTCCAGAGCCAGCAGACGTTTTTATGTTGTGCAATTTACTTCTTCATTTACAATTACAATTACGATTACAAGTACCAACCTCTGGACCCCTTTTCTTCAAAGACCCGATCAGAACGCAATGCTAATCTAATCCTACCACCTACCCCTAAGAATTAATATTATTATTTATCCCTGATCGTTCTTCATTAGCGCGTAGTCAAAGACCCAAAATCAAACCATTATTTGTGGCTGACCCTTTAGAAACACCTCCGCGTAGGGTTGCCTTTTTATGGACACCAGAGCGGCCTTATATGCAAAGTGTATCCGGGCAAGAGTTACACTAAAAACCGAAACTAAACCTGCACTTTTAGATAATTAAACTATATATATACACAGATGTTATACATAATTTTATAAATAATATACATATACATTGAATGGTATGCCTAGATGTAGTTCTATTAATTAATTTATCATTATTATCACTATGTTCGGTACGCTAATGTTAATGCTAAATGCTAAACAATTATTGCAAGCCGAAATCTGAAAACGGAAGGAGGAGGAGAATCAATGTAATGTTAATCATGCGAGAGGGAGCGCAGATCTACCTTGTTGCCTTCAAATGAAGCTAGTTAAAAGTTAAACCCGGGTCTGGGCCAAGGTCGTTGGACCCCCAGAACCCGTCCACCACCCCCTCAAAAACCCGTTCACCCACACAGTCCGCACAGCCCGTAAAGTCCGAGAGCCGTCGAAAGATTGAAAATGTTTCGCGGCGATCGTCGATAATGTGTAACTAAAAATAGTGACAGCAACAGTAGTTGTAATTATAACGCTAACATTAATGAGCATAAAGTAAACCTAATTTATCATTTATCAAACGATTTATGTTGTATATCGGAGGCTTAAATTATCGCCAAAGAAATGAAAATCAAAACAAACAAAAACAAGCAACAGAGCAGCCGCAGCAGCTAGCAGCCAGCAGCCCACAGAAAGTGTAAAAGTGTAAAATTGCAAAATAATGTTAATGCGAAACGATCTCCAAACAAAATAAAGCACTTGAAAATTAGACAACAAGTTATTCCTCACCTCAAGTCACGCGAAACGTTCAAATTTGTAGCAATTCGAGAACGAAGTTATGGAAAACATTTCAAAAACTAAAAACTGAAAACTGCTAAGAAAACTGAAGCAAAATTAAGCGCAATCAAATAATAAACAAGCTGCGTACGCTAACTTATTAAATAATTTTTGTTTTTAATTCTTTATTTAGTGGTAGCTAGTGCAATTTAGTCAGTAAGCCGCCGTCTCCCAAACTCCTAAAAACACCGACTAACGACCATCGCAAATTATATACATATTTACTATATACTTCCACCCAATCGATCCAATCCTCAGAAATTTCTTTTGGCGTTAATTTTAAAGAACCAAACAAAACATTATGCATATTTATTGTATGTACATGCGCTGTTTGTACTATATTTTACTTTATTTTTAGTCTACTTTTTATATGAATATATTTACATATATTTTTGCATTCGTCAACTATAAACCTTCAGCAATTTTCTCGCTTTCAAACAAAAATGTCCAAACTCGAAACCTAAACGGGGAAAATCGCTACATACAAGTACATAAATATATAGAGTCATGCTTTGATGCCCAAAGAAAACAAAGAAAATGGAAAATAAGAATCGTAATGCAAGGCAAAACTTCCATGTGAAAATGAGAAAATTGTCTGGATTGTTGGTAAACATGGTTTCCGTTTAAATTAGCTAATTACGAGACACACTCTACGATATATCATACGATACGTTAAACATAATTACTAAATAGTGAATCACACGCAATATTAATCAAGCAGAACATTTATATATTAACGTTTAACTGACCAACAGAAGAAAAATAAAATACACAATGCAAAAAACACTCAAAACAAAATCAGTTCTGAAACACAAAATTGATTGTTTTTATTTCTTCGAATATTTTGTGGGTTTTTGGTAGTTCCTTTCAAGCTGTGCTACTTTTTAATCGGTAAATTACTACGTAAATTTTTAACCTAACGACTTGTGTTAATAAACTTTAAATTTCCATCTTTGCAGTCACTCCAACTCAGGCCACCCCGGAGCTATCCCAGCGGCTCTTCGGCTCCTCTTCGACGACGATCTCTGCAACGGCAACAGGCGGCACTGGCAGCACTTCCCTCACAGAGCCAGTCTCTCAGCTCGAGATCAGCGACATTCGAGACTGCACCCCGGTTCACCTGCCCACCATTTTGGGTCTGAAGATTCGCGCTATTACCACCGCAACGCCAGCACAGCAGGCATCACTGCAGACCTCAAAGTCGAAGCCCAAAATCAAGCAGGTAACAGGAAGCAACAACAGCAACTCCCTGCTCAAGCAGCAGTTAAGAGGTGGAGCCAAGGATCCCGAGCTGCCCCTGTCCACTAGGATCACCGTGGCAGTGGCCCCCAATGCCGCCATAAATGTCGAGGAGCAGTCCAATGAGATGCCGAAGAAAAACCAAGATGAAGTCAACGCATGCATTGGACTACAATCCCTGGCTAATGCCGCGGAGCAGCAGGCGGCCCAGCACAATAGCAGTGGCAACCTGCACCACCAGCTGCTGCTCCACATGGCTGCCAACAACTCTATCCTGAAGTCCTCCGACTACTACCAGCACCAGCAGCAGCAAGGATCACCTTCAAGTGCTGGTCATTATATGGATGATGATATGGAACTGCTTTCCATCAATGAGCAGCAGGATAAGAGCGATGAGCCCGACCACGAAATGTTAACCCTCGCTGACGAAAATGCTGGCTTGCCAGGATATCAGGAAAATGATACGGATGTCACGACAGCCCAAGATGATGCCACAGCCACGGAGACACCAGCTGCACCTCCACCGACTCCTAGAAGTGGAAAAAAGGGGGCAAAGCGTCCCATTCAACGGCGAAGAGTACGCCGCAAGGCTCAGTCCTCGCTGGATGACCAAGCAGAACACCTGACAGAAATGTCCGTGCGAGGACTGGATCTCTTCCGGTATGCCAGTGTGGTGGAAGGCGTCTATCGCTGTACGGAGTGCGCCAAGGAGAACATGCAGAAGACATTCAAGAACAAGTATAGTTTCCAGCGGCACGCCTTCCTCTACCACGAGGGAAAGCATCGCAAGGTCTTTCCGTGCCCCGTGTGCTCCAAGGAGTTCTCGCGGCCGGACAAGATGAAGAACCATCTGAAGATGACCCATGAGAACTTCACTCCCCCAAAGGACATTGGCGCCTTCAGTCCCCTGAAGTACTTAATCAGTGCCGCTGCCGCAGGCGATATGCATGCCACCATCTATCAGCAGCAGCAGGAGCAGGCCCATTACCAGAGGCATCTAGCCGAGCAACTGGAGCAGCAGAACGCCTCCTTTGACAGCCAGGATAGTTCGCTACTACTGCCGGATGTTAAGCTGGAGCAGGGCGAAGATCAGGATGTGGATCAGGAGGCGGAACTCAGCGATGGCGGCTATGAGGCCTCTAATCCCGCAGCTGCTGCGGCCGCCATGCTGAGCCTCCAGCAAGATGTAATCATCAAGAATGAGATTCAGATCTCGCCGTCGCCCTCGCCCACTCCGCCAGCCTCATGTGCGGGGGCGGAGGGCAAGTCCTTGGCCTTGGCCACCACCGCACAAACCGCAACGTAAAGACTTGTCTGGGAACTAGAGTAACTAAAGGCTACGAACGCACAACATCGTTTAACCTTAATCACCAAGCTCTAAACTGTAGAATACTTCATAGCAACCTTAGCTAAGCACTCAAAATCACCAGACTCAAACCGATTTTTTAGTTAAATTGAGTAGTCTAGTTAATGTAAACTAGTAAGCAATATTAGTACTAGCATTTGCTCCGTCCAGAACGCCTTTTTTAAGCAGCATTAACATTAAATTTAATTTAGATCATAGAACTTTACCCAACTAAGCACAGAGTTCAGTGAACTTCCATGACTTTCGGCTTTAATGATTCGACTGGCCGCCTACGGGTCCCCGAAAGATCCGTAGAGCAGACATCTTTAGAACTTTTCATTTCTTTTGTGATTTTGTTAAACCTTTTATGTAGACCTTTGTTTTTATTTTTTTGTTGTACATAGCTATATATATTGTTTAATACTCAAAGTCCGTAGTATAATTTGTTCATTTCCTTGGCGACATGCTGGAATCAAATGTATTGGCTAATTGTGCAATCATCAAAACGAGTTGGCGGCCGCTGTGAAGTCCGATCGCACGGCTCTGCGGCCCCACGAAATGTTGTAAACTTAATTAATTACTTAAGACCACTTAACTAGGATCTAGGCGTAGCTCTAAGGCAATCGATGCATGTTCCAACGTACAACAAAATGCGCAACGGACTTCCAGTGAAGAAATTAACTGATATTTATACGGAATCCCAATCTGGTATTATGTATTACGATTTAAACAATTTACTTAACGCAGCAACTACGACTTAGACCTTTGCGCTCAATCACTAGATTTTATAGTTCCGACTTTAGACTAACCACCCATGGAGAAACCATAAGCGATTTCATTGAATAAAGAGAATTTTACTGAAATGCGTTTTATGCAGATGCTTCTTATGCTAATATTGTTTCTTAAATATTTTATTCAAATTTCCAATGTCCCCGATTTACTGATTGTTGGCCCTTCGGTACCAGAAACGAGCGCGGAAGTCGTCGGAGCAGGTAAGGAAAGCTGGAGCATTGGGCGAGTGCGTGATGTAACGCACGGCTCCATTGTGTCCGAGAGAGTTGAGGGTCAATCGGCAACCATTACGTGAATTCCAAGAGCAGAGCGAAGTGGTCGCCTCATCAGGGAACAAAACATAGTCCTCTGTGTGGTTGAAAACGGCCTCAGTCTGGTGTTCTTGCTTGCCGGTGGTTCCTGCGCCAGTGTAAGTCTGAATTGGGCGACTGGTGCACAGCTCCCAGAGATAAACCAGTGAATCCATACCGGAAGATAAGAGGTACTAAAATAATAATTTCGCATAAAATCTTGTAAAGACGCTGACTATGTCCCCTCACCTTCCCATTCCTTGTGAACTCCAGTGAGCAAATGGCCGCCCCACCATGCGCTTCAGCAATGGTGTTGATGCACCGTCCGCTTATTCCATCCCAAATCTTGATGTCACCATCATAGCTTCCTGTAGCGTAGAGTTTTCCCGTGGGCGAATACTTTACGCAGGTTACTCCCGCCTTGTGCTGCTGGGAAGGAATGGCACTCACAAAGCACTGGGTGGTGTGCACGTCGTAAACTCGTAGAACATTGTGTTCCGTGCCGATGGCTACATAGTCACCCGTGGGATGGAAGGAAAGGCAAAGCACCGGCTCGCAGTCGGTGAACACCTTGTGGGCCTTCTTCACCGATGGTTTTGCAATGTCAAATAATTTAACAGTACCGTCACGCGACGCAGACGCCAAGATGTGCTCCTTGGGGTGGAATTCCAGGTAGGAGACCTCGTCAGTGTGATCATAGAGCGTTCGAATGACCGGATGACCCTGTTGTTCTCTGCCTGGCTCTATATCTTCGGGCGCCGACTTGGCCAGCATACGCTCGACATCTAGAATCTTGATGCTAGCATCCACACTCCCGGTGGCCACCAAGGAGCCATCACAGCTGAAGGCGCCGGCGCGGCAGGCCTGTTTGTGTGAAGTCACATATGCCGTTTCATAGGAATGCGGTTCCGGGGCCAAGGCCGACGCCTCTGGCTCGAACTCGAGATCTATTCCAGGCAGAACATCATCCGAAGGGGTCTTATCCTTGTCGCTCAATGTCTGCATTCCTGCAATCATAACGTGCAGCAGGCGTTCACTGGGGGCGCACTGGTCCGCTTTTACCAACATGGACAGCTCCATGGCGAACTTTTCCAAGCCATCGTACATCAGTTGGCTACCGGAAGACTAAAATATTTGTATTATCCCCTTTATAAGGTTCTGTGGCTCCCACCTGATCATCAGCCGATAGAGTATCTCCCGGTTCTTCACCAGATTGCTGGGATCCAAAATCTCGTCGCGCATTGTTGATAATAGTAGTATTCAAATAGTTTTTCAGATATAAACAAAAACTGAAAGCCGAGCAGCTGAAATCGTGGTTTTTGTTATCGAATTTGTGTTCTTTACCGGTATGCCATCTCTCGATGTGTTGGTATTTAAATACTAAATTTTACAAATGGGGTTTTGGATATTTGGCAGCCCACGGTTACTCTAAACAGCTGCAACACGTGCGGTTTGAAATTGTTTTGGTTTACTTTTTTGTGATTTAAGTTCATTAATTAAACGTTTTGACAATGAAAATCCGCAAGAATCATGCACGCAAGCGATACCGCTACAATGTGAACCGAAAAACGCTAAACAAAACCAGGAGTTCCATGGGAAAAATCAAGGAGTAAGTAAGATGGCTGTGCCCCATCCATTAGATATTCCAAATGGTCAGGTCAACCTTAGTTCTGTGTACAAGTCATTAAGATTAAGAATTATTTTTAACATATGTGTCTTCTTAGTCCCAGGATGAAGAAGATGTGGATGGAGGATCAGCGCGTCGGCACCAACTTCAGCGAAATGGGCTTAGCTAAGGACGTCAATAAAGCCATAGCAATCCCCAGCTACAAGAAGGATCGCCTCCTGGCAGCGAGGGTGGTGAATGGATTTCTGGAGGAGGAGCTTGACGAGGATGAGCGGCGGGCACTGGGCTTAAAAAAACCAGTCGTGGACGAGGGTCCGAAACGAGGCCATGTTGTTCAAGAACTAGAGCAACTAGCCAGCGAACGAGCCGACCCTGAGTTCAGGTAAATTACACTTTTCGCATAGACATAAACATTCATCTAATTGGTAAAATATCTGCACAGATTACCAAAAGGGGTAGTGAAAGAGCTGTCATATTTCCTCAACAAGTACAAATTTAACTACAAAGCCATGGTCACTGACCGAAAAAACTTTGGTCAATGGACTTGGAGGCAGTTTCGGCTCAAGATTCGCAGATTCATGTCCATTCCGGAGCAGTTCAATGTTTACCTTGAGCAGAAGAAGCTGCCCGTCGGGGTAAAACCAGATTGGGAGGAGTACGAGTCGGACAGTGAATGGAAATAAATGCTTCTGACCTTCGTACAATATAACACTTCTATGCTATCTATGTAATGTTTAGTCTTATTATAAATCATTAAATTTACAGAAAAACAGGCAAATATTTGTGCATTTCCAAAGCATCATATGAAAGATCCCGAACAGACTATGCATTTATATTAATGTTTAACAAGTCACAGACAATAAGCGGAACAGGGCGAGTAACAGAACATTCACAAAATCAGCCCTGATTTATAAAGTTATCGTTTTTTATTTTTGCGGTAATCTTTCGTACGACAAAAGGAGAAGGAAGAAAAAGAAGGCATGTGGTCTTATTCCAACCCGAATGCGAATGAATGCATTCGAATTAGGGACGGTCTCGTGTAGAATTTATTGATTAACTTAAAAGATTTTCAATATGTTTAAGATAAGTTATCAAAAATAATAAATTTTTTAAAATACAGGTTTATCTAAGTTCATATGTGGTTCAGCATTAAGCCCAATTCTAACCATAATGAAATAGGAGAAGATATAAAGGTGTGACTGAAAGTTTCATAGTTTTAGGCTTCAGAAGAGTTTTTAATGATTAGACCAACAGAATCGGCCGTTACGTATGTTAAATAGTCCTTTAATTAATTAACTTCCAGGACGTATACAATATGTTAATCTAAATATAAGCTAAAAAGTGTACAATCACGTACAAACTCACGATCCTGTCCCACCACTATGTGGAATCGGTTCGGCTCCGTTCAGCTCGGAGTCTTGTGCTTTTTCGGTCTTTCCGTTTTGTGATTTCGAGGTAAGTACACGCGGAGCTCCCGTCAAGTCCTTAAATATTCAAAATATTAATAGGCATCGATTGGTTTTGCAAGAGTCAATTGAGGAAGTCTCGGGTTTCCCTCTCCCGCATATTTAAGTGGAATTTCTTCGATTTTCGGAGTTTCCATTGACATTTTTCGGGAAAAAGTTCGAGTGTGTATGTTCGTATTGCCGGCCGGTTTTCTCTGACATTTTGCATAATAGAAGTTTTGAAATTGTGGTGGCTGTGCTTGCGTTAATCTATCGAAATTTCAAGTTTCTGAGCCCTCAAATTGCAAGTAAATTTTCAAATTCCAACATGGCGGCTAGCTGCACGTACGTGCATGTGTGTGCGTGTTCGATTTCGCCTGTATTCCCGTTCCCACGCTGTTTTTCCCGAGTTCGTATTGGAATTCGCAGGCGGAATATGAATATTGCGGTATGACACATGCTCGGCAGATTATTTTCCCTGCCCTGCATGTCTGCCAAAGTATTTTTACATTTTCTTCCTTTCCGTTCTTTCCTCTTTCTTCCTCGCAATTGGCACTCCAATGCAAATACAGAGATTTAAAAATAACATACTATGCGGGAAAATCGGCAAGTAAAATTGTCACTAGGGTAGAAAATAAATCTCGACGCCCTGCAGGTCTCTTCGTCTCTTTCAATCTCTCTCTGCATGTAGCAAGTGCAGTCCATTGGCCATTTACCATCTCTTTCGCTCCTGCGTTCTCTTACTATGCAGTTTTTCACCCTTTGGAATCGCGAATTTTCCGCCTCACGAATACCGATGCGCTGGGCATTTCCTATTGAATTTTCTTTTCACCACGTTGCGAAAGCTTGAAAATTTTTTCTTTTTTGCCATTTGATAAGAGCCGTTAGTAAATAATTTTCATTTGGTTTTCCCCCCAAAAGAAGCCGGCCAGTTGCTTCCCCACCGGTCTACCGCAATGTTTTCCGCATTTCACCGGCTTTTCAGGCTATTTGGGTGGGGGTTGCTCCACGGCTTAGACCTCGTCTGCTGGAGAGGAGAGTGCATTTCCATCAGAGTTCGCAGACTTCGGCTCGATTCGTTTTTGTCTGGGGCTCGTTATTGATTTTTCGCCCGGTGAAAATCGGCGGAGGGATATATACGCCAGTCTTTAACCGACAGACACTTGGCCCGGTCGTTTTTCGGCTGCAGAGTACGGAAAGCCCTCTTAAACGGTGTTACAAATTAACATTTTTTTTCTTAAAATACTATCTTTTGTTTTTAGGATATAGCGTCCAGTGGACTTGTGATCAGTTTTCGATAGCTCAGCATCGCCCAGTAAACCGTTCTAGAAAGTCTCGTTAAAACAGGTGAGTTTTTCCTATATAACGCACCGGAAATGCATCAGACAAAAGTTTTTACGTGATTTATTTCGTATTTATGTTAAAAACGCTACATTTATGCATTATAAATGCAATTAATGAAGTTTTAAGTATGACAATCATTTTTTGATAACGATTTATTTTTATATTTTAATATTAAAGCTACGAATATGATTTGAATTCAACAATAAAACACACAAAATAAAAACCAAAATTATCCTAGTTTTTCCTCCTGTGTACATCTGTGTGTATGCAATGCGCTTTTGGTGTCTACACCACGATGACACGACCTACACCCACAGCATGCAAACGTCACTCGTCTGCACCACCCATTAAGTTCCGTCCCACATTGGCATGTTCCTTCCGAATTCTACCCACCCACTTTGCTCATTCGAATGTCTCCATCCTTCTGCTCTCTTTACAGCTCTACGAAAGATGGGCAAGGAGAAGATCCATATTAACATTGTGGTGATTGGTCATGTGGACTCAGGCAAGTCTACAACCACCGGACATCTGATTTACAAATGCGGTGGCATCGACAAGCGTACAATTGAGAAGTTCGAGAAGGAGGCCCAAGAGATGGGAAAGGGCTCCTTTAAGTATGCCTGGGTGCTGGACAAGCTGAAGGCGGAGCGAGAGCGCGGTATCACCATCGACATCGCTCTGTGGAAGTTCGAGACGGCCAAGTACTATGTGACCATCATCGATGCCCCCGGCCATAGAGATTTCATCAAGAACATGATCACCGGTACCTCGCAGGCCGATTGTGCGGTGCTGATCGTGGCTGCTGGAACCGGCGAGTTCGAGGCCGGTATCTCCAAGAACGGCCAGACCCGTGAGCACGCCCTGTTAGCTTTCACGCTGGGCGTGAAGCAGCTTATCGTGGGCGTCAACAAGATGGACTCCACTGAGCCGCCCTACAGCGAGGCCCGCTATGAGGAGATCAAGAAGGAGGTGTCTTCTTACATCAAGAAGATCGGCTACAACCCGGCATCTGTGGCCTTTGTGCCCATTTCTGGGTGGCACGGCGACAACATGCTGGAGCCCTCTGAGAAGATGCCCTGGTTCAAGGGATGGTCCGTCGAGCGTAAGGAGGGCAAGGCTGAAGGCAAGTGCTTGATCGACGCTCTAGACGCGATCCTGCCTCCCCAGCGTCCCACCGACAAGCCTCTGCGTCTGCCTCTCCAGGATGTCTACAAGATCGGAGGCATCGGTACAGTACCAGTGGGTCGTGTGGAGACTGGTCTCCTCAAGCCAGGTAAAGTATAACTGCATGTTGATTGGAGAGCCTTTCAACTCCACCCTCTGATTATTTCATTCATGTGCTGTAAGAAATTTGGGTCGGCAGTGGGTTGCCACTCCCAATCCCTTTCTCGCCACCTTTGCAACGGCGCTCGCAGACGAAGTTTTGCGCATGTATGCATTATTGAGTAAACTTCTCTGCCGAGAGCGTGGCACTCTGTCCCATGTACTTGGGAAAACTGGCTATTCAGTTGCCAAGAACTTTCATTTTAAAATTGAAAGTGAAAGTCAGTAACAATAGTAAAATCCTTTTGGATATATAATCCATAATCCTTATTAGATAAAGTATTTTTTTTTTTTCTCTCTTAGTCCAATATAAGTAAATTCTAAACTGACTTCTAAATATGAACATATTTAATTTTAATTTTAAATATATTGTTGTTTTCCATTTCTTTCTGTGTACTATTGTCCACCCCACTCAACACCCACAAATATACAACTCCGATGAGTAACTCTTTTCGGTCTCTTCGGTTTCGTTCTCGTTGCAGGCATGGTCGTCAACTTCGCTCCGGTCAACCTGGTCACCGAAGTAAAATCGGTGGAGATGCACCACGAGGCTCTCACCGAGGCGATGCCCGGCGACAACGTCGGCTTCAACGTGAAGAACGTCTCCGTTAAGGAGCTGCGTCGCGGCTATGTGGCCGGCGATTCGAAGAACAATCCTCCCAGGGGAGCAGCCGATTTCACCGCTCAGGTAGGATAACATATTTTAAAGTAATTTAAAAAATACTTAAATAGTACACTGCGGAAGCCTCACGTAAATCCCAAAGGGTTAATTGATAGACTAACATAAAATATCTTTTTTGCTTTTTTCCGGCAGGTAATTGTGCTGAACCATCCGGGACAGATAGCCAATGGCTACACTCCTGTATTGGATTGCCACACGGCCCACATTGCCTGCAAGTTTGCGGAGATCAAGGAGAAGTGCGACCGCCGTACTGGCAAGACCACTGAAACGGAGCCGAAGGCCATTAAGTCCGGAGATGCGGCCATCATTGTGTTGGTGCCCAGCAAGCCGCTGTGCGTCGAGAGCTTCCAGGAGTTCCCACCGCTGGGACGGTTCGCCGTGCGCGACATGAGGCAGACCGTCGCCGTGGGCGTCATCAAATCGGTTAACTTTAAAGAGACGACCTCGGGCAAGGTGACAAAAGCCGCTGAGAAGGCACAGAAGAAGAAATAACTAGGGTGCCAGCAAAACTACATCACTCGAACCCAACAACAACAAGAACAACAACAGACGGCTAGAGCAACAGCAACAACACACACCAGTACACATGTCAAAATTATAATATCCACTCGACGATCAAAGGCAAATCTAAGCTCCGTGGCAACCAAGACACCAATTATTAATATTACCAGCTGCAAGCAGAGGCAGATATACGGACTCGAGCAAATAATACCATATATAATAACCACACGTACGATTAGCGAGGAGAGGAGTTGCAGCAAGGACGACAAGGAGGAGTCTTTTCAACTTGATGGGTTGGTTTTAGTCACCGTCGCCATGGTAGTCTACTGTAGCTATCTGAACTTGTATCGCCATCGCAAGTCCTTCCGCAGGAAACCCACTAGTAACCACACCTTGGAGTTGCCAGGAACCTTCGGAGTGCTGCTGTAGCCTGCTCTCCGATATATACTCATCTACAACTAACCTTACATTTAATTAGCAGCCTCATTCGGTCGTGCATCATCCACCTGTTTCGAATGGATTTTAAACACTTTTTATACTTTTTATAAGTCAAGTCGGAGGCATTCGATTTAAAATCTATTAAACAATGTAATTTCCGAATTTAGTTATAAACCACGCTTACGCTCCAAACAAAAATTCCCTAAAACCAAAAAAAAAAAAAGAAACAAGACTACATTCGCAATGAATTCAAAATTTCTCTTGAAACCAAAAGACAAATGCTTAAGAAGTATTACAAAAAAGGAAATCAACATAACACACATAATCATGCGGTTTTTGAAAACATTCTAAATGTTTGATCGAGCCTCATTTGCATTTGCATACTACATTATATACGTTAACCACATGGCCATAACCAGCATATAGTACACGTTACTCTCCTTCACTCTGAATTTATACAAACCGAAAACTATTGTAACCGACACCAGAACAATTCTTGGAGACAGAACATGTTGCTTGATACAAGATCTTTTAAATGATGAGAAAAATAAAGGAAGCTTAACCGTAAAATACCACAAAACAAATTTGTTTTACTTTTTTAAATATTCCTATTTTTAACTTTCCTTTTTTACTCTTCTTTTATATGTTGGAAAACTTGTACTAATTTTATGTTTTATAAGATTTAAATAAGGCGGTTCGAACTGGTTCATTGAATTGGATCCACCGAAAGGGCGACAACTCTGGTAGTGAGTCACTGGAGCCCTGTGTACAAACAACAAAAGCACTGAGCAAATTACACCGAATCTCAGCCGGCTGTTCGAAAATTAGTTGAAATAAGTGTGGCTCAGCCCAATAACTCCCTGTCGAGCTCTGCTAACTTTAGTCCACAGATAAACGCAACGGAGGGAACACAAAAATGACAGATCCACGCATCCGACAGTTAGTAATAAAATCCGGAGTGGTCAAGAGGTTGACTAAGGAGAAGTTCTGCTACGCCAAGGAGGTGGTGGTCGAACAGAACAGGATGGAGAAGTTTAAAGGCGAGGGAGCCGACGACCATGTCTTGCGAAAGCAGGAAGAAGTTATCCAGGAGTGCATCATGATGGTCCCCGACTCTAAGAGAAGGTATTTTTTCTGAATTTCCTTCTTAAGTGGTTAATTCAACGATATTTTTGCAGGCTACAAAAGGAGTACGAAATATTGGAGAAGTATCTCCAAGATGAGCAGGATCTCAAAGAGACCGAGGCTTATACGAAGGCAGCAGAGATTCTAAAAGCAGCCAAGTTAGAACTGGATACCTAGAAGCCACACATTCCCCTTTATACAGCATTTACTTCCCTTTAATATCAGCATTAATGGCTTATTCCTGATTGCTGCAGAGCGGCTATAAGGCCTTATCTATTAAGCAACATAATACTTTCTAAATTTGTTTCGTTTTATAATAAACAAGTTTATATTTTTTCTTAAAGTGCAACCAGCAGGTTGCTATTTGCGTTTTTTATCCTTTTTCTACAAAAAGTCTCAAATTTTATTTGATTTCATTAAAGGCTATTAATAGACATTTATGGGAGTTTCCTATAAATAATTCATAACCAAACGAAGCATTAGAAAAGAAGTACCGTTTATCGATATTTTTATCGACATATTTGTTAGAAAAGGAGGATAATATGCCGAACAAAAATCTTAAAATTAGTGAAATTAAAGCAAATATAAATCGTGTTGTATCCAATTTAGAACGACTTGATCAGCTGAGCTGTGGAACATCATCAGAAAATTTAGATGAAGAACAGGCACAGGAACTGCAGCGGAGCACGACAAGTCTGCTAGACGAACTCGACCAAGTGCCGGCTCAAAAAGTAGCCCGCATACAAAAGCAAAGGCGCCGGCGGCGCTTAGATAAGCAAAAGAGAAAGGCAATCAAGTGGCAAACAAACAAACAAGAGACTTTAGAGCATAGACATTCCACAGAACTTCCTCGGGAAACTCCGAAAGAGCAACACGCGGATCACATATCCCTACGCAAGCAACAAGATGCAGTCTCCATTCTGGAAACCTTTGATCTCTTGGAGAAACTTTGTGAATCCCGTGGAGGAGACAAAGCTGCGCTAAGCCAGAAATTAAACCAAATGCGTCTTGTGTGGCGGAAAGTCCAAGAGGAAACCAAGGGTAACAGTGTAAAGGAGTCCAAAATGGCTGCCTCTATAGAGTCCCAGTGGGATTCTGTTTTCTTTGGAAAATATTCCCCTTCAATTAAGGAGAACAAAGAAAGATTCCTACAGATTCGGTAGGCTTTTTAATGACTTTAAATTGTGACGTCTGTTCCTAAGTGGCTTCTCTTACAGCACCACATGGGATTCTTACATAAGTTATGGTGAAAGGGGTTCCTGCATACCCCGAGGATGGGTGTTACCTCCAGTAAACCCCTCAGCTGAGTGGGCAGCGTACAGGAATGAAACTTAATTCTTATACAACTCATAAGAATCCTCTTGTACTATTAAAGCATTTTTTGTAGCTTCACCTTAAACCTTTACAGGCAAAGTTCCCATTAGAATAGGACCTAACTACCTTGACAAACTAAACACGAAACATACATAAACAAGAATGTCTCTTTACTAATTATTGTGGAATTTTATTTCTTTAGAAGAATATATCTGCATCAAGCTTAGATGAGGGCAAGCTTATTCGTAGATCCAGTCCTTGGCGGCAGGGCTCCAGGTGACCAGTTCCTTCTCGTCGAACCACAGGGCGATCTCTTTCTCGGCGGACTCGACAGCATCGGATCCGTGGATGATGTTGCGACCGACTTGAATGCAGAAGTCACCACGGATGGTGCCGGGCAGGGAGTCGGCGGGGTTGGTGGCGCCGAGCATCTGGCGACCGGTCTTGACAACATTCAGACCCTCCCACACCATGGGGACAACGGGGCCGGAGTTCATGTAGTTAACAAGTCCGGGGAAGAAGGGACGGGCAGACAGATCGGCGTAGTGCTTCTCCAGCAGTTCCTTGGAGGCCTGGTTACAAAACCGGTTCGTTATCAATTAATTGCAATTATGACCTCTAAAACACATGTCATTCCGATGATGACGCCTGCACCTAACCTTTGAGGTTAGGTCTGAAGATAACGCGTGGGGGCTGGGCAACCTACACATATTGATTTCTTTCTAATTTAATTATCCGCTTACCCAGGTGAACTTCAGGGCGACCAACTTGAAGCCCTTCTGCTCGAAGCGCTCGATGATCTTGCCAACGAGTCCTCGCTGGACGCCATCAGGCTTGACCATGATAAAAGTCCTTTCCTTGTTAGCCGCCATTGTTGCCGAGATTACCCAAAAGAATGCCAAAATCGTGCCGAGCATCAGTACGTTCATGTGTTTGCCGTTGCAGAAAAATCTTTACTACAAAAAGCCGGCATGAAGAATTTGCGGGGTATCGCCAAGTGGTCACACTGTGGCGGTAATTTTTATTTTAGGGATTTTTTATGCCGTAAATTTTATTGATCGTGGGAAAAAATTTAATAAAATGTTCAATTTCTTAAACGAAGCTTGAAAAAATTACTCGAATGCAGCCGAAATATTTAAATTAGTTCCGTTTTAGTAGAGTTGCCACTTTGCTTGTTCTAACTCTCAGTTAATTTAAATATTTATACATTGAACTAAATCTCAATCTATAGAATATTTAATTTATCCCAATTGACACAGATGCCCTTTTAAGCAATAAGTTTAACCTAACTATTTAGTTAGCAGTAAAAAGTGAGTGATGATGATCCCGGTTCCCTGGTAGAAAATCAAGTCTCGATTTTCTTTTAGCTTGATAAGATTAGGTCCGTGTAATCACAATACGTGACAGATCAAGTTTACAAATAATATATACAGTTTAAAGCAGTAAAGGGGTAACCTAAATCACTTGGTCCCGTCCAGCTTGGTCAGACCGTCAGCATACTGGAACTCCGGACTGTTCTCATACTCGCACATGTCCAAAGCAATGATACAGCTCTCCTTAACGACTCGCTTGTCATCCTCGGCATAGCGGTTTAAGATCTGTATGCAATCCTCTGTTGCGATGGCGCCCAAGGCCTCGGCGCACTCGTGGCGCACCATTTCGTTCTCGAAACGGTCCTCCAGATTCTCTTGCAGGAAGGGAATGCTGCAGGGTTCCTGCAGCTGGCCCAAAACGAAGGCCACTTCATGTCGGAAGAGGGCGGAGGAGTCTTTTAATCCCTCGGCTATAGCCAAAACACTTTCCTCTGTACGCAGATTGCGAAGGCTGAACATAGCCCTGTAACGGTCAAATAGACTCTGCTGGGCATCCAAATATATGGTTTTCAGTTCGGCGACGGATTTAACACCCGCTGTTGGTGGTGACGGATCCACGGAGGCGTAGGGGTTGTTGTCGTCCACCTTCTGACCACTCTGCAGCCAACGAACGCGATCCAAGGCAATGGCGCAAGTCTCGGCCACTTCGACCACCGGATCCTCTTTGTATTTCTCCAGAATAGGGATTACATCGGGGTGACCAATGGCTCCCATAGCCTCTGCCGCCTCGTGGCGTACCATTGGCTCCTGCGTGGTATCCTTCAAAACCTTGGTGAGAATATCTAGGGCCTGGGCATCCTGCATCTGCCCTAAACAGTAGGCCAATTCGTGTTTGAGCAGAGCTGAATCATCGTCGAAGGCTTTGCTGATCGCTTCTATGGCCGTTTCTCCGCCGATGTTCTTCAGCGTGAACAGGGCCCGGAATCGCTCCTTTAAAGGTCGAGTCTTGTTGTTCAGGACTCCCCCAATGGCTTCGATCTGTTGCTGGGATACCATTTTGATGTGGTGTTGATTTATAAATATAGCCGCGTGTAGCAGAGATGTCAAACAATCGATGGTACTATCGATAATATCGATGATTAGCCGATTTTCGAATAAAAGTAAATTTAAAAAAAAAAACCATCCCGAGTTATTAAATAAATCTCTCCATTTATAAAAAATTTTTTTTTTTAACAAATTAGACTATGTCGATACTCTCACGATAGTTAGCAATCGATAAGGAAGTGGCTTCCTAGGAAATTATATCGATATGCAGGCACTGCCAACTTCCTCAAATTACAAATTGTGCAGCACTAGCAAGAAGCAGTTTAGTTACGTTTACTCCGTGCAAGCGCGATAAAAAACGAAGTAAAGGGCGAAAAACAAGCAATCTAGTAGAATAAATACAATTAAGTTCTTGCTAAGATCATTGCGCAGTATTAGTGAGCAAAAGAAACCTTCTTATAGTGGCAAGGGATCCAAAAATCGGCATTTCTAAAAGTTGCGCGTTCACGGTATGAGAAGCGTGGCGTGTGTGTCGAGTTGAGTTACCTGTAATTGTGTGCGCTTGTGAGAGTGGAAGTAAAGTCGAGTAAGCTCGCCACCACTTCGAAGTTTGAAAATATTGTGAAATCTTGGACTACCGCCCATCTGCTATACTAACTATACCATGTCGGAGGCAACTGTGGCCCAAAAGCCGGAGGCGGTGGAAATAGAGGAGTCGGCTGCGGGGGACGAGAAGAAAACACCCGTAAGTAGCCGTACATACACATTTTTAGCGACAATTAACATAGCGCGGCGATAACGCACACAAACAAGGGCTTTATTTTTTGCTTTGCCCGAATTATCTGCGGTATTTTTCCAAAATAAATGTGTGTGTATATGGGCTCACGGATATTGTGCATTTTCACAATTTCCCTTTGTGCGCTGTCTCTGTTTTCTATTTACGTTTCTTTTTTCTACGTATACCCTCGTGTGCGCGCGCTTTTTGCTTTTTCCTTTCCTTTCCACTTTCCAACTTCCCCCTCTTCAACAAACGAACCTAGCAGATGCGTGTATGTGTGTGTGTATACGTATGGCAGCGGCAGCTACTCGCTGAAGAAGAAGAAGAAGACGACGAGAGAGACTCAGGCAATCGGCCTTTTTCCTTTGCGTTCACGTTTTGCCGCCGCGTCTCGTTTGTTTTTATTTTTGCTGGTTCCCTTTTCGACTTTTTGTTGTTTGCTGTACTTTGTCATACACAGCACCACGAACACTTGCATTCGCTTCGCGGTGTTTGAGCCTGTGTATGTGTATGTATGCAATACGTTCCGTTCTAGATTCGGTTCCATTATTAAGCGACTAGTGGCATCTATACTTATAGATAAAGATGATCAACTAACACCCCCGATCGCCAGAAATTGATATGGGGGATTATTTGGAGTCTGTGCTGTGTATTCAGCTGCAAATGAGAATGTGCGGGGGCGACTGCACCGGCATTTGGCAATATATATAATAGTACAAGTACTTTGTGTGCTTCACAAATAACTTTAAAAGTTTGGCCTTAATTTATTTTAATAGCAATATATTTTATTAAGTTTGAATCAAGTGAATATTTATAAACTTTTAAATTTAAAAATAAAATATTTACTCACCTCCGTTTTTAATATTGAGTACGCTTCTGCGCCATAACTTATTCTTATGTATTAATATACAGATGCTTATCATTTCCTCTTTTATTACCACAAAAAAAAAAAACAAAAAAACCAAAAATTAATTGATCAGAAATAAAATACCACTTAAAAAAAAAAAGAAATCACATAAAACACATACACGCACACACTGAAAAAAAAAAAAAAAAAAAAAAAGCACTGGCTTTCACTTGTCGAGCGCATTCATAAGCACCATTTTTGCACTTGCTCTCTGGGAATGCAATATTTGGAAAAGAACGGCAATTAATTTTATTCAGTTCAAATTAATAGGCCAAATTTAGAATCGAGATAACTCTTAAGCACTCCGAAACTATTTGGATGTCCTACCTCAACCGACGCAACACAGAAACTGAGAGAGGCTTGGGTTTTGGCGGGAAATCTGTGTTAGAGCTTTGGAACTAGGATAACGGTAACAAAAGCTCTCACAGATCAGATCCTCTGTCAAAAGAGGTAGAGAGTTACATTTTGGGCTTTTGCCATGATGGTGTTAGTTTTCAGAAATGACTTTTGAGATTTTATTACTTACATACATGTAAATAATTTTACCGGCAAAGTATTTAAGTCGTATGTGTGTGTGTACTTTAAAAGGGCGTATACTGGGATCTAATTGATATGTATGTATGTATTACACATTAATTTGGTAAACGATTTAACTAGTCGAAGGAACTCATATATGTTTACTTACTATGTTGTATTATTTTCACATATTGATATATGTATATACTTATCGTACTGTTTTCCATTCCAGAAACGCACTCCCAAACGCCGCTCGTTTATTGAGCGGGCGCAGCAGGAAAGCGAGGAGCTGGTGCGAACGATGGGCGGCAGCCTAGAGTTAGCGGGCGGACGGCGTACACGTTCCAGCACGCGAGGAACGCCGACGCGGGTCGCCGAGACAGTGACGCCGCCGCCCAGTAAGAAAGCCCGAACATCCCCGGCATCAGCTACCAAGGCCAGCGCAGGGAAAGGACGCGGGGCACGTAAGCTAGATGTGGGAGCTGAAGAGCCCGAGCAGGAACCAGAAAAGGTGCCGACACCGGTTAAGGGAAAGGTAAACTAATTACTAGCTCTTCTTCAAACTAACTGCTAACGATCATACAATTTTTTAGGCCGTTCCCAAGAAAGCGAAAGAGGCCAAGAAGGAGGAGAAGTCGGCTAAAGAAGTTGTTCCTGAAGTGGCTGAGGCGGTGACGGAGGCAGAGGCAGAGGCAGAAAAAGAAACAGAAGCACAAGCAGAAAACGAGCCAAAGGAGAAAGATGCCAAGCCAATCGAGACCGAAGACCAGCCAGATGGTGTTGTGGATTTGCCTGCAGTAGCGGAGGAGAAGCAGAACCATGTGGATGAAATCAAACCAAGCCCAGAAGTGTCTGATAAGTCAAGCGAAGAAGTGCCAGAAGTCGAGGAACCACCTAAGACAAGCGAGGAAACCTCTGAGAATGGAGCCACCACAGAAGAAACTCCCGCTGCCACCGAGGAGGCGCCTTCCGCAATGGATGTGGACATTGATGAGTCGGCCGTCGAAAGCACACCTTCAGTAGACAAAGAACCTGCATCCGTCAATGACAAGAAACACGAAGAACCTGCAGTACCCGTTGTGGAAGAGTCGAAGGCGCAATCGGAACCTGCTAAGGAGACCACACCAGAGCCCATGGAGGTAGATGCGAGTTCGAAGAGCAGTTCGGAGACGGCCAAAGTAGATACCCCAATCACCGAAGAGTTTAAAGCTCCAGAGGCAGACGCAGTAGAAGAGGCAAAAGAATCGAGTACTGCCGCCGACGGTCTATCCACAGAGTTGGAGAAGTCGAATACAGATGCGCCCGCTGCTGAAACTGAGGAAGCCAAGGCTGTCGTCGAGTCTGCGGAACAGCCCACGGACACCAGTATACCTGAGGCTGAGTCCAAGGAAGTCGACAGCACCGAGAAGCCTAAGGAGACATCTGCGGAGCCCAAGGAGTCAGACAGCACTCAGAATGAGAGTGTCACTCCCGTCGCCGCCGAGGTTCCCGCCGCCCCCGCCACTAATGATGTCCGAAATTCTGCTGAAGCTGAAACCACTTTGGTGAAGGCGGCTGAGAGTCCGGCTAAGGAGGCACCGGTGATCAGCGAGGTCAAGAAGGCCGAAATCAATGTTAATGGTATGTCAAAAGCTTATTATTATGAATCACTATACCAGTTAATAACAAATCAATTTCACAGGTGAACCCAAGATCGTCAACAATTCCGCCGAAGTGGGCGAGAATGCAGCGCCAAAGGTCTGTAACTAGACCAATCCAACCACCGATGGACAATCAACAGCTTCAATTCGTTGCGGATGTGTACAAAAAGCATCTTCAGCTCGCCCGCCGAGTTGGTCTGGATGACGCCCATTACATGCAAACATTTAAGAGTTCCCCCAAACAAAGTTACGATTTTCTTTTTTAATTGACCACTTGATTTCTTACTCAGAAATCCCTTTATTTTGATGATAGTTTCGTGTCTTCCAGTATTTGGTTGACGCGAGGGACGCCATAGGCTGCAATCGATGCTGGACTTTCAATGTTGCAATGCGTTGTGTGCGTCAGCTAGACAGAAAAGCAAACAAGTAGGCAGTAGTTCCAGTACCCAAACCCTCCCACCCACTTCCCCAGAAATACACAGATTGTAAAATGCATCTTAATATAATATGTATGTGGATAATTAATCAAATTGGAATCAAACAAACGATACATTGTCGGAATGTATGTAAAATAGATGTTTTTAAATTGTAAGACATAAAACCTTAATTATAAACCCAATTGGACAACACTCAAAACATAAGAAACTAAAAAGCGAAAAGATTTTAACCACTGTAATGCAATACGACTGCGGCTTTAAGATACGTATGTGCAAAACTTTAACCCTTTTGAATAATTTTTTAAACGTTTTTCAAGCCCGTTTTATTTGAAGCATTTAGACCTGTGTCTACGGATGAGCTCATTAGAAACTGTTGTGCTAGGCAAAGGTCCCTTTTAGGCGATCACTCCTAACTGAATTCGTAAATACATGCTAGAGTAAAGAGTAAACTTTTTCAATGAAAAAAGGGAGAAACACAAATTCTTATAATATTAATAATTAATTAATATATACGTATACACAGCAAAAGCGTAAATTAGTTTTGGAAGCCGTTGCAACTGAAATGATCAGTCAGACCGTTTTTGTATGTAGCTTATCTTCTGTATAAGGCATTCTTCATTTGAATATTCTTTTGTAAATAAATCTTTAAAAAATACAAGAGAAACGAAACTTGTTCGACTGCACTCTACGCCATCCCCCAAGTTGGTTAATCTCCTGAAGGGGCTATCATATTTCTCTTTTCAGTGGTTGACCACAGCGCGATTCGGGCTGAGAAATGGAAAAAAAAAGATGTTTTGATTTAATATCTTTATATTTATTTCGGGTACCTTTTGTGACTGAGAACTTGGTTCTGTAATCGATACTTTTGTAACTATAGGATACAATTCTTAGCGTACTTAAAGATTCTAATGCAAATGTACAGATGTAATGCGATATGCTGTATTAGGCCTCAGCCGAAACCCCGTTTTCCTTTTCCTTGATCTGCTCCTCGGACAACGGTGTCTTCAGTGGCAGCTCCTCTAGCTCCAAAACTGGACTTTGCTGGTTCAACATGTTCCGGACGAAGGGCGAATAGAGCTTGGGATTCTGTTTTTCGTCCTTGTCCAAGGGCCACACATAGCTCATGGGAATGGCCCAAGCAAAGACTAAGAGAGCACCGAGTACCTTGTACCAGTAGAAGGATAGGTCGTAGATGGAGAAGTCGCGATTGCTGTCGAAAGCAGTGGTCACCAGCGGGGGATCTTCCAGAGAGGGAATCGGAGTGGTGACGATGCTGGTCATGTTGTTGTTTCTGAGGAAGTCGGATTCGTTGACAAACTTATATATAAATAATCTTAGCATCCTGTACTTACATGGCATCAAAGATGACTTTGAACTGCTTAGCCTCACACTTGTCCAGGCCATTAGGAATGGGATCGTATTTGATCAGCCCTTCCTTGAAGTTCATCTGGCCGTTGACGATGATCCACAGCATCACCAGGACACTGAAGGTAATTCCACTTACCGCCACCTTGGCGTTGCAGCGGGGCACGAACATACCGAGGCAGAAAACTCCCACCACAGCACCCATGTTAATGCCAGTGATCGTCCACATAGTCTGAATCATGGAGTTGAAGTTCTGCACGATAAAGCCGCCCACGATGCAGTAGGCTCCCATTACGACAATGACTATCTTCATAGTCGCATTGGCTTTGGCCTCCGTGTGATTTATTCGCGGCTTGATGTAGTCAAAGTATACCACTCCGGCGAAGGAATTCAGACTGGCGGACAGAGAACTCAGGGAGGCGCTGAAAACGCAGGAGATAAAAACACCGGGCATGCCCATCAGATTGCCCATGATGTCCTGAATGAAGAACGGCATCAGTTTGTCTGGTTTGCTGACCAACTAAATGCAGACACAGAATTAGTATTTAGATTCCTGGGTAGCTATAGGATTATGGATTATCTTACCCCAGCCTGAATAGGATCACATCCGTAGTAGTAGGCGAACATGATGATTCCGGCAAAGCAGGTGAATGACATGATCAGCAGAAACCCAAAACCAGCCATAAGCAGGCACCTCTTGGCATGGCTATAAGAGGGCATGGAGACTATTCTCTGTACACAGCTCTGGTCCAGGCCAAGTTTACCGGTCCACATCAGAAGCCCACTGGTCATTCCGCTGAAGAAGGTGAGCCGAAGGCGTGGATCTATTCCGAAACTGCAAATAGAAGAAAACATCTTGTGTAATAATGTAATGATGTATTCCTGAAATACACTTACTTGAAGTTGAAACGGCCTCCCTCTGATGCATTCTGCAGAACATTCGCCAAGCCACCTGTGTTCGAGGTGCCCAAAATGGCAACCAGAAGAACCGAGACCAACATAACGCCACCTTGGACCACATCGGTCCAGACGACAGCCTTAATCCCGCCAAGCATCGTGTAAAAGACGCAAATGGAGCAGACCACAGTGTTGATAAGGTGAATGTTATAGCCGGTGACTGCAAATGAAAATGAATTTTAATTCAACCACTGATGCGCCTGCGATTAAAATCTATTTCCATTATACCTTGGGAAAAGGCTAGCGAGGGCACAAACATGTAGACGGGAAGCATCAGGAACTGGTTTAGGATGAACGTGATGGTAACCAACTGGCGGGTCCTCTTGCTGAAACGCATCTCCAGATACTGTAAAGGAAATCAAACAATGAGTTTAATTTTAGATCCTCTCAGGAGCTATATATAATTAGTAGAACGATAGTACGATGTATCTTGCAATCGTTATTTGAAGGTCAAATGATTATGATTCCAAAGAGGACCTTCAACATCATATTACGAACACTTTTATCTTCTTATTAAGCCTCGCCAAAAGAGCTGATTCATTGGGAATATTTCCACTCACCTCGTAGCAGTTGGAGACATTATTATCGTAGAAGACGGGCACGATCACATATATAAGAACGGGCACCGACAAGACCATTGCCCAGACCACGAATATCATGTTGAATCCGAAGGAGTAGGTCTCCGCCGGAACGGACATCATGGCCACTCCCGACAGTTGACTGAAAGGACAAACAAATTCATTAGGGCTACCCTAAAAGTCCACTCGACCTATGAACGATTTCCGCAAAAAAGAGGGGCTCGAACCTGATTTGATTAATTTCACAAGGTCTGCGGTAAATTTGCAATTCATCTAATCTGTTTTATGGGTGTAATATCTGGCATGCGCACTTGGATAAGATAGACGCATAGACGAATAGATGGCTTAAGAGGGAGGAGGCCCGTTACTACGGCACTATCTTTATAGACCCGTGATGTTTTACGGTGTGACGACATGGAAATTTATTGAAAAAGCGTGCGGGACACTCACCTCGAGACTAGGGAAATGGCCACTGGAAGCGTTGGCATCTTCTTGCCGCCCTGCAGGTACTCCTCGGTGGTGTTCTTGGCTTTTGAAAAGAACCCAAAGTATACTCCGATTCCTGCCGAGGCACTCAGCATTAGGCAGAAGACTATATAGTCCGTGATACTGAAGCGGAGGTCCTCCAAAACAGCCGTCGTGCCAGTGGCCGCTGTGCTGGCCAACTCGCTGACAATGCTCGTCATCCTTGAGCTGTCCTTGGTGTCGCGAAATGGGTAAACCGAGCCGGAAGACTTTCGGAGCTTAGGGTCTGGATGCTGCCAGCGCACTTGTGGAGATCGGATGGCGGGCACCCTTCTTAAGTAGCATCTCCAGTTAAATGGCCCCACTTATCTCCACACGATATCTGTCTGGGTACGTCGTAATCGGAGCACATCGTAAATCAGGAGCACATCTTATCTGGCTTACAGAGCACAGGCCGAGCCAACGAGACTTATGTACCTGGAATACCTGGAATACCGCGAGCATATACCTCCAAAAATGCTTACACATCTTTCAATCAGGGCTAAAAGGCACGTTATTTGCATTGTCCCTTTAGTCGATTCAGTTTCAGCTGGTAAGACTGTCCTTCCCCTGGCTTTTAAAATTGGCGTTTATGAATGAACTCGAATCCCCACGCGTCAGTCTTGCCCCGAGCTTCTGCAAGTGGGGAACCTTCAGTTGCCCTCTAGCCCGTTCAACATAAAATCTGATTGCCAGTCATGGTGGTGAAAAAGAAAAAGATTGGATCTATTTGTAAATTTTCTTTTAATTGAAATCCAATGGTGGGTTAGAATTTTAATGGGATTTAAGATATTAGTATTTTATAAATTTATTATAGGATTTCATTATTTCATCATTTCATTTCATTTCCATTATATATGTAGTTTAATTGCTTGATAGGCTGAATACCTTTTTGGTATATTCCTTATTGTCTATGCCTATCAACTTAACAAATATGATGAAATCAGACTATTATATAAGAAGCTATAACAAAACGCAGTTATAAGGTCTTACGTGTGCCCTTGTACGTCACAGTTAAGAAACGAGAAATAGATGGCGCTATTAATACTATTCACCCTTGTTAACATAACTGTCTTAGTTTATTTTTAAATTGGCGAAGAGTTACTCTCTTCCGGTTATCTTATAAGTGGAATGCACACAAGAACATCAGGTTTGTTAATTGTATTTTATTTTATTTGGGTTTCTTAATCGTGTTGGTCATATTTCAGTCTATAAATAACTAAAACAATTAATGAAAATCAGTGTTCGAGACCAGCTTCCTTTTCTATCCGGAGGTGGGGAATTTCACCGCCATTGGACCCTCGCAGGGGCACCTCTTCCGCTTCTGGATCTGCTTCAGGCAAAGTGAGGAACTTCCTCACGAAGGGCGAGTACAGCTTCGGGTTCTGTTTCTCGTTCTTATCTGGTCGCCAGATGTAGCTCATGGGCACTGCCCACAGGAAGATCAGAGCAGTACCCAAGACCTTGTACCAATAGAACGAGATGTCATAGAGAGAGAAGTCACGGTTGCTGTGGAAGGCAGTGGTCACAGGAGCTCCGGTAGGAGGCTTAACTGTGACGGGCGTGAAGTCTGTCTTGTTGCTGGAACCGGAAATCGATTTGAAAGTAGTTTACCCTCTCCAAACTGACTATATCAAAGTTGCTACTTACATCACTTCCGCAATCATGTGAAGACCCCTGGCCTCACACTGGTCCAGAGAATTTGGCAGCACCTCATACTTGATGAGTCCAGATTTGAAGTTCATTTGGCCATTGGCGATGACCCAGATCATAGCCACCACACTGAAGATTATGCTGGTGACAGCCGTCTTGGCGTTGCAGCGGGGCACAAACATTCCCAAAAGGAACACCCCCACCACTGCACCCGTGTTGATGCCCGTAATTGTGACCACCGTCTGAAGAATCGAGTTGAAGTTCTGCACCATAAAGCCACCTAGGATGCAGTAGCCGCCCATCACTACGATGACCAGTTTCATGATCGCATTGGCTTTGGCCTCCGTGTGATTGATTCGCGGCTTGATGTAGTCGAAGTAAACCACTCCGGCGAGGGAGTTCAACGTGGCTGAAAGTGAGCTGAGGGCGGCACTGAACACGCAGGAGATGAACACGCCAGGCATCCCGGCTAGATGTCCCATGATGTCCTGCACGAAGAATGGCATCATCTTGTCCGGCTTGCTGACCAACTAAGGGGGTAAGAATTTTATTTCATCAGTAAGTTTTAAGGTATCACTTTAAGCATTAGCATGGGACTTACACCAGCGATCATCGGATCACAGTTAAAATAGCGGGCAAACATAATGATTCCCGAGACAGTGTTAAAGAACATTATTATCAAAAATCCAAATCCAGCAATTATCAGGGATCTGAATAGGGATATTTAAAAAGGGTTCTAAAGTAAGATCCACTTTGGATTGATTTACGGAACTCTTACTTCTTGGCATGGGAGTACGATGGCAGGGAGACTATGCGCTGCACACAGCTCTGGTTCAAGCCAATATGACCCGTCCACATGAAGATTCCTCCCATGGTGGCACTCCAGAAACTCATACGTATACGAGGATCCAAGCCAAAGCTGAAAGGTTTAATAGATTACAATCCATAGTTCTCTAGAATTGGATGAAAGAAACTCACTCAAAGTTGAAACGGCCACCTTCAGAGGCGTGGTCTATAACAGTGGAAATGCCTCCCGATCGGATGGTACCCAAAACTCCTACAGCGCCCACGGACAGGAGCATGATGCTACCCTGGACCACATCGGTCCAAACCACAGCCTTGATCCCACCCAGCATAGTGTAGAAAATACAGATGGAGGAGACCATCACGTTAATCAAATGGATGTTCATCCCAGTAACTGCAATGCAAGATTTTAGTAGAATGGATACCGATGGGGGTAATGGGTGGACTTACCTTGGGAAAAAGCAAGAGATGGAATAAACATGTAGACGGGCAACATAAGGAACGAGTTCATCACAAAGGTGGCGGTCACCAACTGCCTTGTGCGTTTGTTAAATCTCATCTCCAGATACTAATGTGAGGAGGGACAATATTATATTATAAACGAATTAAGTATTTTTTATGAAAGTTGGATCTTTTCTTTGTTCTCTAAAAAAAAGTCTGATATATGCAAATTATTCGATCAATCAACTTACCTCATAGCAGTTGGAGACTTTATTTTCGTAAAAGACAGGCACAATGATGTAGATCAGAATAGGAATCACCGCAATCATGGCCAGAACCACGAATATATAGTTGAATCCGTAGGTATAGCTCTCAGCCGGAATGGACATGATGGCAATGCCGGACAACTGACTGCAGAGGAAAGCGGAAAAACCATCATAAGTTAGTAATCGAATTTCATAGAAGGGGGTTCATCACATAGTTAATGCTAAGATCTCCGTTTTTTATGACGGGATTTGTGATAATCCTCAGTAGTTCACAACACTTATATCACAAGAAGAAACTGACGCAACCCGCTTTTACGGCCGCCAATAAAGAAAGATAAACTGTGACGGAATCGGGAGAAATCCGGCTGGGACCGCCGGACACCGCTATACTCTCACCTGGCCACTAGAGATATGGCTATGGGAAGGGTCTTCATCTTCTTCCCCCCGCGAAGATACTCCTCGGTGGTGTTTTTGGACTTGGAAAAGAATCCGAAATACACTCCGATTGCCGCCGACGCTCCAAGCATGATGACAAAGACGACGTAGTCCGTCAGTCCAAATCGCAGGTCCTGCGAAGCGCTGGCCATATTAGCGGCAGTGGACATCTTGCCAGTAGTCGTGTGGATCTGCAGATCCTGGTTCTTAAACTCTTTGTAGGTGGTTTGTCCGGTCTAACCGGTTCACATTTCACGGATGCTGGTGGCAAACTTGCGGGCCGTGGCCTGGATTGTACTTAAATATAGCTCCCGCCCGGGGCGCCCCTTATCTGAACTTGATGTTTCCCCGTAAATCACCCGGCAGCTTAGTGCTCCACTTATCTGTCTGGCATGTCGCGCTTATATTGTATTATTTTCGCGCCTGGCCTCCGGGTCCATCATTACCATCTAATAAGAGTGCATATAGTTCTCGTAGTACACTCTAGTTCTCGAGTAAAGGTAAAACTTTTTGCGCCAAATGTTTACTCAACAATGTTAGAAGTTCATTGCTTCATTAGTTCTAATTCTCTGGAGGGCTTTGATAGGGATAGAAAGGATGAAGGCAGATTGTAATTGTAAATGCAAATACCCTTGACTGATTATTTCGGAAAGGTATCATGATTCTCTTTGGTATAATATAAGTAAAGTTCGCACTCACACTTATCAACAACAAAGTCTGAATTCCTAAATTAGATGTAATGTGCTTTCTTTCAGAAGTAAGACCGAAATTAGAGTTTTATGATGCCATAAAAAGTGGATTTCGTTAAGCTGGAAGCTATTTCACTTTATCCAAGAGGACTTTTAGACTTAAAATAATTTATTCGAGATGGGGAAGCCTTAGATAAGTTTTTCATGTTTTGAATCATTCAGAGTGACTTTTGCCCAGCTGCAGTTGAACTTTAGTTTATAGGTTTCATGCAGGGCAAATTCTTGACCAGAATGGTATAATCATGCCCAGAAGCCAAAACATCCATCACATGGTGCTTTCCTAGGAAAGATCTATTTACTCTTCTCACGTTGCTTGAAACTTTCCATTTTCAGTGTTTATCTTTGCATAATTTAATTTTTTGACACTGGCAAATACTCCTGGTACGTTCGCAGGGGGCGTGGCACCTGTTATACGACCCTTTGCCAGAGTGTATACAGCTTAACACCGTTGGCCCACCGATTACGGCCCAAATATTTGCCAATGCCAGCGATAAGAATTACGACTCCGGCTGTCATCTTCAGCACAACTGATTAAGCTGATCATTCGCATCGCTGTTGCTTTGAATTCGCAAGACCTTACGCTGATGCTTCAGTTTACCAGTTGGCTATATTTAGGTCTTGTCTTTCAATCAACTGTCACTCCAAGGCTAATGTGTGTAGTTCTTGTGATAAGTTAGAATAATGTTTGAAGTCTTTCATTCAGATAAGCAGTTCTTTTCGCTTCTAATAAGATTGGTACGTGCTGGATAAATCCACTTGCAATCAGAAAAGATCGTTACTAGAATAACCAACCCCTTTAAAGGAAAAGCCACACGTTTTGGTTTATTTTATAGCAAGGCTTTATTTTTCCAATACCTAAGAATATTGGATCTTATTGCCTACTTTTCTAGTGCAGTACCAAAGAGCTGGTTAAGTTGTTGAGTAGTCCTCAAGCCTTTCGTCACCCAGCCATTTCAAGAGGTTGATTTTCAGAATGAGTGACACGGAGATATTAATTAATCAAAATTAGAGCAACATTTAATTCAGCACTTTCATAACTAGACAGTAATATTTAACATTTTTTATACGATTTTAGAAACATAAAGCTATACCATCCAAGTACATATTGCTAAGAGTGAGGTTCTTATAATATCTTTATGCTTATAAAGCATATCTTATGTAAAGGGCCACCTCCTTATGCTCAGGCCTTTTCTGGCTTCTCTAAGTTCAGTTCCTCCAATGGTGTCGGCTCGTAATGGACGAAAGGATGCACAACCGGAGACAGGAGCTTCGGGTCCAGTTTGTAACCGGGTCTGGGCTTCAGGATGTAACTTAGAGGAATAGCCACCAGCCAGGTGATAAAGAAGCCCATCACCGTGTACAAGTTGAAGGAGAGGTCTAGAATGCTAAAGCCTTCATCTTTTAAAGGGGCTTCTGTTGTGGAACCCAAAAGCAGGCTAGACACTGTGGTGGTGCTGGTTGTGGTTTCGTTCAGAGAAGGCGCTGCACAACCATCAGTGCTGGTGGGCAGAGGATCATAGTGGTTGCGTCCCCAGCTCAAAATCACAATGGTGGCCATACATACAATGCTAGCCAAAACTCCACTTAGGGCAGCCTGAAAGGATTACAGTGATTAGACATGAAAAGGCTTCAGAAACTCTACTCTCTAATCTTACTCTGCCATGGGACTTCGGGACCAGCATTCCCAGCATGAAAACACCGCACGTAGAGCCAAAGCTAACTCCGCCGATCGAATAGATAACCTGCAGAATGGAGTTGAAGTTCTCGACCACCATTCCACCAAAAATGCAGTAGATTCCAGCGAAGAGAACGAACAGCTTCATAATCACGTTGGCACGGTGCTCCGTGTGCCGAATGTGGGGCTTGATGTAGTCAAAGTAGACCACTCCACCCAAGGAATTGATGCTGGCGGAGAGGGTGCTGAGGGCAGCACTAAACACGCACGAAATAAATACTCCTGGCATGCCCCACAAGTGACCAACGGTGTCCTGAACGAAGTAGGGAACCATCTTGTCCACTTTGGAAACATGGCCGGATTGGATGGGATCGCAGTCGTGGAAGCGAGAGTAGATCACAATGCCCGTGAAGCAGTTGAAGAACATGATCAGGATAAAACCGAAGCCGAAGAGCACCAGAGATCTGTTTGACAAAATGTTTGGTTATTATAGAAGTATGGTAAAATGCACACACTAACCTCCTGGCGTGACCCAGAGAAGGCAGAGACACTATTCTCTGGACGCAGCTTTGGTTCAGACCCACATATCCCGACCACATGATCGTTGCAGATGTGAAAATGTTCCAGATGGTAGAACGCGTGGTTAAATCAAAGTTGTAGTTTATATCCAGGCGGCCTCCCTCCCCGGCAATGCGAAGAACTTCGGAAAGACCTCCAATCCGGTTGGCACCCATCACGCCAACCAGAACGACGGAAACCACCATGATGGCTGCTTGGATCACATCGGTCCAGACCACAGCTTTGATGCCTCCCTAGAGAAGAGAACGGGGGAATAACATAGTCCAATGATCTCATTAACGTTATCACTCACAAACATGGTATAGAAGATGCAGATGCTGCAGATGACGGTGTTGATGATGTGCACGTTAAATCCCGTCACTAGGAAGCAATAAATATTATCACCTGGGGAAGCTATTAACTAAGATAAGGAACACCTACCCTGGGAAAAAGCGAGAGAAGGCAGAAAAATGAAGATGGGCAGCATAAAGAACATCGTCATTATGAAGATGAAGGTCTGCATCACTCGCACCTCCCGACAAAAACGCATCTCCAGGTACTGGGAATAAAGAACATGAAACCCAATGCCTCCTTAGAACAACATGCTTAAAAATCACCTCATAACAGTTTGTGATGTTGTTGTTGTAGAACACGGGAATGACAACGTAGTTTAGCAACGGCACCACCACGACCATGCAAACCACATTGAAAAACCAATTTATCCCGAATGCGTACATTTCCGCCGGAATGGTCATGATGGAAATGGCCGACAACTGACTGGCCACCAGGGATATGGCTATGGGTATCGTCTTCATCCGCTTGCCGCCCATCAAGTACTCCTCCGTGGTGTCCTCCCCCTTGGCAAAGAATCCAAAGTAAACTCCGATCGCGGCCGAGATGCTCAGCATCAGAGCAAACACTATGTAGTCATTGGTGTTAAAAACGAACTGGGAATCGGAAACCACGGTGGCAGCGGTTGCCAGAACACTGGCGTTCGAAAGGGACGACATCTCGTAAGGATCTTTAAATCACTAATTATTTTTCACTTTCTCGTTCCGGCAGCGGCGAATCACGATTAAGCGCATCTCATCGCCCACATTGTCTTTATATAAGGTTCTGTGCCCAGCCCAGAATATCTCCGAAATTGCTGCTCTAAATATTATCTATCGACGGCGCTCTCGCGTACACCTTATCTTGATGATTATTATCTACTAGAATAAGCCCCTTTGTCAATTCCCCGGCTGACTTTCTGCACCCACATTGAGAGTACCAAAAGCGCTCCACACTTAGCCGCGATTAATCCGTCAGTTATGTCACCCAACAGGCGAAGCTGTTTGCTCTGCTATTATCATTACAATCCTGTCTAGAACCAGCTAGTCATCTAAGGTTCGCCAGTCATCGTAGGAGCAGTTCACGCGAGATGAACTCTCTCGGCCATCGTTTTCCAGATTTGGCCCTGACCAAGACCACTCCAACTGATGCTTGGTAGAGAGAGCTTGGGATAAAACTTTATAGGCTTGTAGTGAGTTTTCAAAACTAACAGAGATAAGTAGAATCAAGTGTTTTACTAAAGATCATTATTATCGTTATCGCGGGGTTTTATAAAAAGGTTTTATAGATCTGTTTCCTTAATTATGGCAAACTTGGATTTTACACGATGTGTTCAAGTAGTAAGCACGAGATTAGGGTCATAAACGCCAATTCGGACTCTTTCGTGGATAAGTTGGAAGCGAGAGAGACATTCCTTCATCTTTAATAAATGATCTTTATGAGGCATGAACATACTAAAAGTAAGTTAATATTAAATATTAGATCCACTAGATAATAGAAACATATGGGATTGAAACTTTTCGGTCATGTTATAATTGTTATTAGAAAAAATAAGGTAGGGCATTACATTACATATGTCGTAAGTGACAGTATACAGATTGCTGGCATTCCTGCAGTGACTGCGATGCCGTAATTGGTAGATTCCACTTTATTTGGTGGCTCATCTGCCAGTGCACTGGCATCTGGGTGCACCTCCATATATGTACCCATGCAGATGGCCACCTCGACACGCACTCAATTGGGCAATCCAAAAGTCACCGAATGTTGGTTAAGTGGCTGCAGCCTCAGCCTCCAGCTTCCACTTCATTTATAGCTCTGAGCCACAACTTCAACTTCAGTTGTGGTAATAGTTGATGTCCATCGACTCATCACTCCCCCCGCACCTTCTCCGGTAGCTGCTGCATTCGGCAGGGAGTCTCGACTGCATCTGTCGCAATATTCGCGTAATGAGCTCCCCTCCGGCGTCATCTGCCGTCCACATCCCCATCTTCATCTACATCTTCCATTTCGAGCACTTGCACGACAGCCATTGAAGCCGAGAGTGCTCCATACACAGCCAAAAACTGATTCGAATATTAAATGAAATCGAAAATGTCATTACTTTCTAGATTATATAACACGGTTTCTAAGATGCGATTTCCCAGACTTCACTGGTTTATTATATAGAAAATGCAAAGCTGTTACAACAAGCGAAGGGGATAACCAATGATTTTTCCCAGTGCGCGTGAGGATAGGGCAGGGGTTAAAGCCACCTCATCATCGAGTTGAAAAGTGAAAGGATTTCTGAAGATGTTTGGCTTGGTATTTAATAAACTCGCATGAGGCCAGTGATAACTGGAATTGGTCTATGTGAATGGATTTGCAGTACCCCATCGTTGAAGGTAAGTAGTCGGAATTGGGGTCGCTTGCTCTTAATTATGTACGAGTATTGCGAGATGAAAACTCATCTCAGGTACTCCCCAGTGAAGTTGAAATCGAAATAAAAACAATGCGATCATTTAACGGTGACAAAATTTACTATTTTTTTTATTGTTTTCATATTTTTTTGTTGTTTCTTTGTTTGTTTCATATAAAATAAAAACACTTACGAACTAATAATGCGTTATAACACTGTCTGGGGTGTCTTTTCATCTTTCCATCTTGGTGTTGTGGGTGTTACTGTGTGTGGCTTTCGTGTTCGGTTTCTCTTGTATTCGTGTACTGTGAGATAACTATTTACAAAGGTTACGGGAAAAGTCCGAAACGAAGCCCCGATTTCGAGATTCGTGAGGGTACGAGCCGAAATTCAAGTGGAAATTGGGTTTGAGGTTCTCGGGGGAACGGAGTGTTGGAAAACTGAGAGGTACAGTCGCTGAGTTTTGGAAGGGGGCTTAAGAAGGGAAACGATCACCAGTTTTCTCGGGTTCAGAGTGGATCGGTAGTTCCTTTTCTGGGCCCAGGATGCCCAAATTCATATAGTGTTGGTGTCGTCTTTGTCGGTTTCGTGTGTCCGTCGGTATTCATTTTTGGCAGAGAGATGTGTCTTTTGGATGTGAGACCTTGCGGGATCTAGAAGGGCGCTCCGTAGCTGCCGCTGGGCCTCGATGGGGCTCCATAAGATCCGGATGGGGCACTTGGGTATCCACCGCCACCACCTCCCTGCTGGGAGCTCTGCTGGGCGAACTGGGCCACCTGAATGGCTTGGCGTACTCCCTCCAGATCGATGCCGACAACACGGCCACCGCCTCCGATGCCTGGTGCTCCGTAGCTGGTGGAAGGAGGGCCGTAGCTGCTAGACGGGCCACTAGGATAGCCGCCGCCGCCGCCACCACCACCACCTCCACCACCGCCCTGCTTGCTCTCCTCGTTCAGAAGGATTTGACGAACCTGCTCAAGGAGCTGGGGATCCACGTTCTGGCCTTCGGAGGTCTGGAAGCCGCCGCTCACAGCCTGGTAGCCACCGCCGCCACCACCGCCGCCGCCTCCGAAACCGCCGCCGAAGCCACCTCCGAATCCGCCGCCACCACCACCGCCTCCGCCGCGGGGATAGTTATATCCAGATGGTGGCTCTGCCGCGACCAAAGCAGCCAGAGCGAACACTAAGAACTGAAAGGGAACGAGAGGTTAGTGGATAGTCCAAGTTGGTCGACTGAAGTTCGGGAAAGAAAAGCGATCCTTCTGCTATTTGTTATAAAAAGTTGCTTTTATGTTTAAAGAAAACAAAAGCTAGTTTCTAGGTCCAAATGAAGATGTTTAGCTTTTAATTCCGCTTAAAGTCTTTTATCCGTTTAAGACCGATTTGCAAGATCAGGTCTTTGGACTTCAGGATCGTAGGCTACTTACCACTGAGAAGGAGTTCATAGCGACGAGTCGGGTGAGTGTGTTTGTTGGGGGGAAGAGTTGAGTAGAGTAGAGTGGAGTGAATTTGGTTGCTTCCGAGTGGGGAACCAGCGACTGAATGCATCTCCGTGGACAGCAGAGCCACTCTTTATACCCGAGGGTCTTCAGCTCTTCGGGCCAACTCGTCCGCTCGGGAACGTCATTATCGCCAAACTTCGTCCGCAACTTGTTTCTGCTGCTTGGCGCTTCTCACAATAAAACAAAATTTCCAAATGGAAAAAAGAAACGTAAAGACAGAAGAAAAAGAAAAGGCCGAAAAAAACTGTCGCTAACGATTTTGGTATTTGAAATTTTCTTTGGCACTTTCCTTCGATTCGTGGTGGACCAGGAAGTGATTTTTCCCACCATCGCAATCGATTCCAAAGGTAAACAACCCAGCCGCAGATATTTTTGGACAGCCCAGAGGATCATGAAGGCTACCAAAACATACACTTTTGGCCAACAGAGAGCCAGAGATGGCTCCAATGACGAAACTGCAGTTCGCATTTCCCGTTGCCCAACTGCAGTTGCATTTCAATTGTGGGTAAGTGCAAGTCGCAGCTTGGGCTCGTCATCCATCAGCATCAGCGTCACATGGGCACATGGGCACGAAGATTACGAAATGGGCTGGGAAATGCGAATCGGGGGAAGTCATGAGGGGCCGAGGCTCGTATAATACGTATGATCGCGATCGCGATGTGGAGCAGTAGGGCTCTGGCACCACGGGGCGTATAATTAACGTTTCCCAAGAAGCCAAATTAAGTTTTCATTTTTAGATGAGTGCGGCAAGAGTTCCCAAAAAATGCATTTTACACTTTGGCAGATATGTGTCTGAATATGTATATACCAATATATCTCAATGATAACCATCAAGGGAACAAATCAAATAGCTCAAGCTATGGCTTAAAATACTCTCACTTAATGTAAAGTTAAAGGTTTAAGTTTAACCTTCGAAGGAGAAGGCAGGGATTCAATTACACCAGCCATCTGACCTCGAAAGAAGTTGGAAAACCAGTAATCTGCGCCCATTCTGGCAGAAGTGAAAGAAGTCCCCGGTGGACCAGGAGAGCCCATTGTGCCGGAGGAGCACCTGTGAAGTCGCAGATTGTGGCTGAAAAGGTGCGATTAAAAACACAATGAAAGGGAAGACGACTGCATTCGACTGGAAATGAAACTGGCAGTAAATTGGAGTAAATGAGGTTTATTTACATCTCGACACACACTTTCGCGACGACCGAAACCGGCAATGACTTTGGCTCCATGCAGAGGAAACATTTCACCAAAGATGGTAAGAAATTGTGCAGAGTTTTCAATTAACAATATTTACAAACTATACAATCTGAAAATTTATAGAATTTTAGGTTTAGGGAGCAGACACCCAAAGGTATTTAAAACTATAATGTTGCCTAATTGTGGGTTTCAGCATCGACAGAGGGAGTTTTTTGTGAGTGTACTAAGGGCGTCTCGGCTCTATGGAAAACCTTCACGCTGCCAAGTGAAGGACTTGCTGCGTGGCGTGGTGTGCTCCCTGCGTTGGGGCACGATGTGCTATTGGAGTTTGGGTCTGTGGATAGGATCGGGTTTTGTGTTTTGTATTTTGTGTCTCGGCTTTGGGTTGGGGCAACAATGAGATGAAAGTCAACACTTCACACTCGATGGCGGAGGCAGCAGACTGAATGACAGTGCGCTAAATCATTTTCGTGGCTCGGAACTCTCGATCAGCTGTGGCTGCCACTGTCGTTAATTCGGTTTATTGTGGTCGAGAGATTCCGGCGAAGGTCTCTCACCCATTGATGGCGTAATTCCTTTTTGTCTGGCTTCACTTTCGGCCGTGTAATTGGAGTAGCGGGAAAAGGTCATTGCAAGAGTGGGTTTTATTTAATTTATTCAATTGAAAATGTAGTTTATTTTTAATTTTAAATATCCATATAAGGTCAGTACGCCCCTCTCTGAACCCTTTCCCCATTGTGACTTAGTAACAAGACTTACATTATGAAAATTGGAATTTTTCAAATTTCTAACAAAACTCATAAAGTTAGTTGCGGGTGTTTGATAATAACTTCTTATTCATTAACATGGTCTTTGTTTTGTTTTTCGTGATTTGAGTTTTGCTTATTTTTAGCCGCGTTTTTGCAACATTAATGAACGCTTTATTATACATCGTGGCCTATCTGAGCATATCCATCATTAACACGTCTTCCACTAGGTCAGCTTTGGACAGTGATGGCGATGGCTTTGGCTCTTGGTCTTCGCCGTTCGCCGTTCGCTCTTTGCTTCAGTTTTCTTTCCCAGTTGCCCCAGTCTTTTTAGTCTGGCTCGAACTGAGACTCATTATGGCTCAGTGTGTGCGTGCGTAATTGTTATGACACTATAATTGGGCCAACAATAGCAAAACAAAGCCGAAACGAAAATAAAATCCCCTTAAACCAAACAGCTGCCAACTGACAGACGCGCGTAAATTTTCAAATCGAATACCCAAGCCGCGTTCGCTATCGAGATTTTGTTTGCAATTCGTCTTTTGCAGATGACCAACGCCTCCGCTCGAAAACCAATTGCAGGCGCTGCGAATTCGAATTATAATTTTGCCTGGTTTTATTTTGTCTTACTTTACTGAAGACGCCTTTTAAAATGTAATCCCGATACAACGAAGCAGTATAAGCATTTACAGGAAGAATATTAGTTTTTTTTACTAACTCATTAATAAAAGCACAATTAATCTTAATGGCATGCCTTCAAATCTATCTCAGCGTCAGCAGCGTTATTTTCACATTTCGGCAACGAAAAAGCACAGCAACCATGGCGTATCCGCAACCTAACCATTAGCATCGTTCTCGTCTTAGCCACCTGCTGAGCTCTTCAGGTGCATCATTCGGCATATGCTAATCGACAGAGGGGCAAAAACTGCCTACATGATTAAGGATAAAGACAAGTAATTTTTCACATTTGCAGATGAGGCTGATGGCTGATGGAGCGGCAAAAACTGATTATACCGGCCTATTGATGACAGAGGGAGAATGCCAGTACGACAAAGTTGTTAGTGCGGCGCTAATGAAGATGAGTCCGCAAAATGTTTGCGGGTGCTTGGCCGCTGTTTTCTGGTGGCTCATTCTCTGTAGGTCCCTCCAGGCCAGCGAACAGGCTGCTCACAGATTACATAAGTCAGCGAGCCCACCGCAGCATCAGTACCAAAATATTACACAGGGAAAATAATTGTCTATTTATTAACTAACATAGTAAAGTTTATTAGGAATCACTCTGGTCCGATTGCATTACAGCTAAATGTATTTATTAATTAGACTTCTGATGACAACGGTACATTTAATGTATTTTTTGAGAAGGATTTAATTCGTTTGGAAGGCCATTGAAACCATGAAAAACCACATTTGCTTGCTGTATTGATAATTATTTGATTACAATTACCGTGTAGCTTTATAGTACTCGTACCATCCACCACTACCATTGGATGATCAAGAGTGGTCTTTTCCATTCCTCTTCTTCTCTGCGTCATCTACGAGCCCAGTACACATCACCTGGACCAAGTGCCGCCTCTGCCGTTTCCTCGTCGCGGGCAGAAACTGGTTTTCGATGTGCGAGGTGCTCCTCGCTTTATGTAAGTCAAGCGCGGAGACCGAGACAGGAGCCCGACGTCGCAGTTGGTGCATGGAACTTGGAACATGGAGCATGGAGCCGGCTTTCGGGCAGATGAGCAGACCTGGTGGAGATGGGAGGTGGTGGTGTAGCAAATGCAGTGCATGTGCAATGCGAACCGACAAAATGGGCAATAGCAATATTAGACACTCAAAGAAAATCGAAACCGATTTTTTAATGTGCTGGTATTTATTGAAAAATAACAGAAAAGTGTAAGTTTGGAACTATAGAATTCCACGATTCAGGATGGATAAGTCAGCGTACAAGAAGTTATTATAAAATTTCAATACCCATTATGTTGAAAAGCTATTAGCTTATATTTCTTTAAGTGTCGGCAAAAGATGGCTCGGCGTACATGGAAAAGCTGCCGTTGAATGGAAAATTGCCGCGACACGTTTTCGCCTGGGCCCGCTGGGATCTGTGACCGGTCTGAGTCGGCGGAGGACTGGTGTCGATGACTGTGTCTATGTCTGGGCCCCACGTCTGTTTTCCGCAAAAAAAGACACATCCATGGTGGCATTCTGCAGCCAACTTTAGCCTTTGGGTGCTAACCATGCGGTTGGCTTATGCAAAAATCCACATCCTCGGCGGTTCCGCGATGATTTACCTTGTGCAATGCCTTACACACCAAACGGTCTGACCAGTTGACCACTCGCCATGTGGTCATCTCGGTGCATCATTCTCGAGGTGGTGGTGAAAGTAAAAGTTCAAAAGCGTAGCCAGCGGGAGAGGAATGGTCAATAACAGATCGAAGATCGCTGTGGAGCGGCTGGCTCATTTGCCTACCTTAATTATGCCACGATTTCGCACGGCCAACTCATCTTCTTTCTGGCCATGGAGATGCCCCACTGTGCGTCTAATTTTGTTATTTTGTTTTCCTTTTGCCAAAACACGTAAAGTGGCAAAGCAGAAAATATAAATGGTTTTACGAGGGGGCCTAAATGAGTTAATTAGGTTTGCCGTCGAGAGGTCTTACCAAAACGGGTTGGCCATGACAAAGCCAATGAAAATATCAGCGAAGTGCTAATACGTAGGTGTATGGATGCATTTAGTACTACATGACCCATGAAAAGTATTTTCTGTTTAGATTTACTGAAAACGTTGTTAATACAAGTTAATAAACTTATAACCATTTGGCTATAGGTACATTTATAGTTTTTGGTAGATAACGAGCATCTAAATATATAATATAATTGTGTTTAAATTAGTGTTTAAAGCTCACTTTGTGCGTATCTGTGTAAATATATGAATCTGTATCTAGAGTTCGCTATGGATGGGCTTAGAAATGTATAGATTTAGATCCTCAGGCACAATACACTGATCCAACTCTTTGGCTAAAGCAAAGTACCGCCACCTAAGAATATGCGCCACTTCTTTGGGCTGCCGGTTCCTGGTAAAGACACCCTTCTTGTTACCGCCGACTCGTGTAATGGCTAAAAAAGATACTCATATTATTAAAACTTATGACCGGGGAAAAGGCAAAACCCACTTTGCGCGGTCCGGAAATCGGCAAAGTTCCAAACGAACTCTCCAATAAACCACTTCCGCTCGCGGAGCTCGTCAAAAGCCTTAAAGTGCCGGGAGAAAAGCTCGACCTGGTACTCTTCGGACCAAATAAAGGCGGGGAGCTACAAGTTTTCTAATTAATTAGAAGATATTTAAGGAAAGTGTGGTCAGAACCCCTTACCGAATGCATGCCCTCCATTGTGTCGCCTCCGTACTCAAACTGGATCACTGGCTTTCCGAACTTATCGCGCCAACTTTGTGCCTCTGTCGTTAGAAGATTAACAATCATATCAGTGCGTCCCGAGTTTTGATACCATGAGTTATAGCGATTGAAGCCCACAATGTCCAGGAACTGCGCCAAGTGGCAAGTTGAAGGGCTTGCATTAATTGCCGCTGTGAGGGGACGACCGTGAGAAATGTCCCTCGTGTAGTTTACCAGGGATCTACAGGCAATGGATGCGCATTAGCTTATACTTATTAGGTTCACTTTCTACCTACTCAAAGTATTTAAGAGCTCCCTGCTTGTGGGATCTCGGCTCATTGGCCACGGACCAGGCAACAACGCTTGGGTGGTTTCTATCCCTGTGAATCAGTTGCTCCAGCGAAGACATGTGGTGCTCCAATAGCTGTGGTTCGAACACGTCAATGTTGACGGCAGGGCACTCATCGATAATCATAATCCCATGCTGGTCGGCAAATTGCATGGACTCCTCGGAATAGGGATAGTGCGAGGTCCGGTAAGCGTTGGCCCCAATCCATTTCAGTAGGGAGAAGTCACGGGCCAGGAGGACATTGTCCAGTCCCTTGCCGCGGATCTAAAAAAGGAATACTGAAATTCGTCATTGACTAGAATTTCTAAGGAAACGAGCCCACATCGGAATCTTCGTGGCGTCCAAATCCCCGTAAATAGAGCGGTTTTCCATTGAGCAGCAGACTTTCGTTGTTCCAAGCTAAACTGCGTATGCCGACTGGCAAGCGGTAGACATCCTGTGGGGCATTCGCCTTTATCTCCTCGTCGCTGGCCGCAAAGAGGTCAAACTGAAGATCATAGAGGTAACCGGGATCAGGGTGCATTAAGTATGGCCACCAGGGCTTGACGTTCGGCACCAGCAGGGTGCCATGGTAGACTGCCTTGTTGACCTGCTGAGCGGCTACGTGTCCATCCCTGTCTCTAAGTTGAACTAGAAGATGAGTGGGCCTAATGCCGAGACTCTCTTTGCTGCCATTCAGCCAGACCCGGTAGTCTATGCGACCAATTCCCTTGGCAGTTAGTTGGGTTGTTACCTCCAAATCGCTGATATACAGCAGGGGAGTCGTGTATAAGTGAACACTCCTTTGTATTCCTGCATAGTTGAAAAAGTCGAAGGTATAACTCTGGACGGGCACAGTGCCAAAATCCGTGGCCACTTTGCTAACCGAGCCCTGGGGAATGGTGCGATTGCTTAAGCGGTTGTCACACATTACTGTGATTCTGTTCTCAGCGCCAAAACTGAGCAATTCCGAAATCTCCGCCTCGAAGGGCAAGTGGCCTATTGAGTGACTGGTGGCGTTTCTGCCATTGATCCAAGCCACAGCTGAGTAGTGAACGCTACTGAAACGCAGCCAGGTGCGTTGCTTCCCTTTCCAAGACCGGGGCACAAAGAAAGTCCGCTCATACCAAACGGTGCCTACGTGATCGCGCAAATCGTCCGTGGTTATGTCATTGTAGGAGGCGGGTACCGGCATTGGAATAATCTCCCTTCCGATCTTTCTCAGTGTATTCTGAAACCACTTCTCCCTTATTCCTTGAAGGGGATCTCCTGGGTCACTTATTACCATCTTCCATAGGCCATCTAAGCGGAGCACCTCGCGAGACTCCGATTCCCTGGGATACAATAAGCCAGTGGTAGGCACAGGAATTTTGACCCCTTCGTACTTAAACAAAGGATATTCCTTGGAGTCATCGGGATTCATATTCAAAATAAATCCATCTTCGGTGGCGAAACTTATTTGGATCTGCAGATTGCTGAACAACAGGTAGGCGACTAGAAACCAAAGCCTCCCCATCGTAGTTGGCACTAACTGACTTCTGTGCCAGTTTGTTAAGAACTGTTAAATTACAATTTACCGACTATTTAAAATTCAATTGGTATCGTTCTTCTTCTTTGACCGGTCTCTGATAAGAATGTTTATAGTGTGACCAGGACAGTTTTATAATTTTAAAATTTGCGGCGGTGATTGCAGGATGGTGAAATATGAAACAATTTGGCTGGATATTATTTTTATTGCAAAGTTAAGTAAGCTCTTTTAGTTCACCCAAAATACCTAATTATAGGGCGACGAATATCGACGAATAAAATTCCGTAAAACTTTGCCGAACTTAAACTTATACGCCAAAATTGGTAAGCCGTGACTGCAAGCTGTGAAAATAATCGATTGTTCTATAGATGCTATCGATGCTTTCAGATATCTAGAAACATCGATATAAACATTTTACGTTCTGGTAACACTGAATGTTCGTACTACGTGTAATTATCGGTAGTTAAAAATAAAAATATTAATACGCCCTAATAGAGCAACTCCTTCCGTTTCCAGGGTAGGAAATCTCGATGGCAAGGCAAACAACTTCGTTTGGCTAACAAAACCCGGCTAAATTCCAGCGTCAACTAGCAAAGGCGATATTTTCGGTTTCAGACGACAGAGAGCCCCGAGTGAATCCGATTTCGATAGCTACATCATTGTATGTGGAGTGGGGGCAGGCAGAGATCCCGGCCAAAATTAACATATTCCTGGAGTCCATCAGCCAGCTGGCGGCCCTGGCGACCTCGAGCGGCATCATGCAGCTGCTCATCTCCTCTGTTTGCATGGCGCTGACTAGCGCAGTAATCGGAAATGCCTATTATCAAAAGCAACAGTTCTATCCGGCGGTAGTTTTTATTACCAAGTCAAACGCGTCCATGGCGGTGGGTAGTCCATATACTTTAGCTCAACCCAGTATACATTTTTATTTATTTTCCAGGTCATCTACATACAATTCTTTGTGATTGTCTTTATGTTTGGAAAACTTCTTCGCAAGGTTGATACTTCTAAAAACACTTCCTTAAACTCACATTAACCTGTATACTTTGCCAGATCTTCCTTGGCACGCTGCGTGCTGCCGAGTTCGAACACCTACTAGAGCGGTTTTGGTACGCTCTTACGGAGACCTGCTTGGCATTCACCGTATTCCGGGATGACTTTAATCCGCGCTTTGTTGCCCTGTTCACAGTCCTGATATTTCTCAAATCATTCCATTGGTTAGCCGAGGAGCGGGTAGACTTTGTAAGCTAATAAGCTCTATATATATATACCAATCGTTTATAATATTTATGTCCACAACAGATGGAGAGGTCGCCCGTTCTGGGTTGGCTTTTCCATATTCGCGTGGGAAGTCTACTCACCATGTTAGGCATTCTTGACTACGTTCTGTTAATACATGCCTACAACTCGACTTTGGTCCGCGGACCAACCGTGCAGCTGGTCTTTGGCTTTGAGTACGCCATTCTCCTGACAGTAATCGCCAGTACGGCCATTAAGTACGTGCTTCACGCCGCGGAGATGCGCACAGACACGCCCTGGGAGAACAAGGCGGTGTTTCTGCTTTACACGGAGCTTGTTATTGGACTCATCAAAGTAGTGCTCTACATACTGTTTGTGGTGATCATGGCCAAGATTTATGCGTTGCCCATGTTCGTGTTCCGGCCTATGTTCTTCACCATTCGCAACTTCCGTAAGGCCCTGAACGATGTCATAATGTCCCGCCGGGCCATTCGCAACATGAATACCCTATATCCTAACGCTACGCCTGAGGAGCTGCGTCAGTCGGATAACATCTGTATAATTTGCCGCGAGGACATGATTAATCACTCAAAGAAACTACCCTGCGGTCACATCTTCCACACCACGTGTCTACGCTCATGGTTCCAGCGCCAGCAGACCTGTCCCACATGCCGTCTGAACATTCTGCGCACTCCGGCCGTAAATTCCACAGCGATGCCACGGGCAGGGGATGATGCAGCCGCCGTTGGAAATGTTGCTCCGGCTGCAGATGGTGCTCAACCTGCGGGTGGTGTACCTCCTCCGGCACCAGCTGCCGGAATTGATGGCAATCAGGCTCGCGCGAACATCCCGTTAGCAGGAGGTCAGGCCTTGCCGCCCAGCTTCGCAGATCTTTTTGGGGACAATCGTAAGTATAGAAATCGTAGTCTAATCAAAAAAAGATGTCGATCATCACCATTCTACTTCAGCCGGGTTGCCTAATTTGGCCGGTCTCTCGATGCCTCCTCCACCAGTTATGCCCATGCTTTCGCCTTTTATGATGCCTCCCCAGTTTGGCTACTTCTCTCCCCTCCCGCCGATACCGCACGACCTGACCAAGTTTACAGACGAGGAACTGCGCGCCATGGAGGGACACCAGCGGGAGCATATTGAGCAGCGCCTAAAGGTGAGGTTTTTATTGGGGATGAAAAATTTAAAGTAATTTTACACGTATTTCAATAATAGTTGCTGCAAAATATAAACCTAATGCTTGATTCGGCGGGAATAATGATGTCCCAGTACCAGAGTTTGGCTGCGCGTTTACAGCTTACTCCGGCTCAGCCAGCAACAACGGCAGCTTTATCTGTTCCAGTATCAAATGCAGGTGAAAATGCTGGATCAGGAGTGTACGACAAGCCCAGTACCTCGGCAACGGCCATGGCCCAATTAGAGGCTCATCAGGTTACTCCGAATGCAGCTACTGCAATGGATGCTCCTCTGCCCGCAGAGAAGGTAACCATTGAGGATCTGGGTGCAGATGCCGAAGAGGATGATGTGCCATCGACAACCACGGAGGCGGTCAGCCTTCCCAACTCCGATAACGTCATCGAGGAGGACTCATCGGAACTGGGGGAGCTAAGGAAGCGCCGCTTAAGGAAATTCCTCGAAGAGCGCAACAAGTTCGCAAACGAACCTACGACATCGGAATAGACGATTTAGGAAACAGACGCCACTCCAAAAACAGGCACAGAAAACTCTCATCCTTCAGAAAAAACATAAACAAACATACTTGAGTTAACCACATTTTCTATTATCTTGGCTGGTATTGCTTTTGTTTGTACTCCGCTCCTCGTACATTGCACCCTGTCCCTTGATTTTTATCCTTTTCTACGGCTTGTGGTACGGGAATATTACGACGATGACTAAGATGCCCCAGAATTCACATACTGAAACATGACCGCCCAGGAGCGGCGTGCGGAACGAAGGATCTGAACGTGAACAAATTGCGGCATCCAAATTCAATATGTAGCAATATATATTGTGTAAAAACTATTTTAGAGATGGGAAACTGATGATTTGTATTTAATATTACTATATGTGTATAATTAATGTGAAATATAATTAAAACGAAAAGAACGATGAATGGAATAAGGCTATACGACGATTACACTAAAGGACCTGTTCCGAGTTCTATTTTCACAATATTTTTGCGATGTTTTGCTAAATAAGTTAAGATACCTTCATTAGAAGGGACTGACAGAACCATTCCATCTGAAAGACCAAATTACATATGAACGAGCTCGGCAAAAGTATGAGAAATCGGAATAGGTCTGACTCTAAACTACGCACTAAATGTAAATAAATTAAGCGACGCGCACACTACACATAGATAACAACAGTCGGTCGTCGAGTTTCTCGGGCGTAATAAAATCGCATTTTCACGTTTCCGCATCAAATTCTCGACTCCAGCTCGCGAAATTCGCCCGGATCCGTGAAGCGCACGGTCAGGATATAGAAGAGAGTGGGAAAAGGCACCAAGCACATAAATGCATAGTGGTAGTTTAGAGATGTGATGCCGTAGGCCAACAGCATCCAGTGAACAGCTATAAAATAAGACCTTTTAATATTTATATCATGGACAATGTGGTATTTTCTACCTATAATAACCACATTTTTCAGCTCGCAAACCGAAGAGTGAACCAATGCCTTCAGGGTTTGGTCTAGTTTCAAGGAATAATGGATAGCATTAGCTATCATTGAAATGGCCACGCTAAGGTAGGGAAACGAATAATCTAAAAAGGAAACAGCGCATCAAAACCAGTCATTAATAAATAGAAAATGTAATACTCACAGATCAACCCACATGCTAATGCATGGATAAAAGTGAGGAGGGGCAGGAAGTATAGGGCAGAGTAAATGGGCGCTTTGCTCCTGCCCCCCACATCCATTACTTTGCTGACTAGTGGGCGGATGAGAAACATATTCACCAGACACAAAAAGTAGAAGACCAACACAATGGTTTGCCTAGGGAATTGCAACTCAAGTAAGTTTAACAATCAAACAAAGACTGCAGTTCGTAAGAATCTTACAATGGGTATACTGCCTCCTGGGTGCAGTAGACCCTTGCCTCATAATTAGGACTGGGATTGTAGAACAAGGTGTACCAGTCGGTAAGTTTCCGGACATCGCAGGCGTAAAGGCGTAGCTCCCACATGGGCTCCATGAACAAAGTGGCCAGGATGGCAGACAAGGCAACCTCAACAAAGGCACTAGCCGTAAGGATCAGCTGCTTTCGGGAAAACCTAAGTATAATCAATAAGTAACAATTCTATTAAATGGGTAATGTTTGATTCCGCTTACTTGCGATCCTTGGCGTCCATATCGATAAAGAAGCAGTGCATCATAAGCGGTAGCATGGTCATAAATCCTAGATAGAGCCAAGAGTACGTGGTTAATTCGTCGCGGCAGGGAGAGCAAGCGTAGCTTTGGTTCACCTGTGGGCGGATGCAAGACGACTAATTAAAGCCGGCTAGGTTCTGCCGGGACAGCGAATTGGCTACTCACCCGGGATCCTCGGGGACAAACCCCGCAACTGCTCCAGGTGTCATTTCCCAAAGGAGATCGTCCACAGTAGGCACCAGGGCATGGACCTGTCATTTTATTGTTTTTACGATAGCTATGCCTATGGACCTGTCATTATATTTGTATACGATAGTTATGCCCACCGACCTGTCATTTATAAAACGATGTATTTTTATTAAACTACGGAGCCATCGCAAATAGTGTGACCGACAAACTCAAAACATAAGCCGATACACTTTTTTTAATAAACTACAGAAACCCATATATGTTAATCATTTAAAACATTATTAAAAACTTAACTTACTCAAACATTAAGCAATAAAAGAAAAATTACAGAAAATGGGTTTTTATGTAAAAATTAAAATTGTTTTCCCATATATACGTACGAGTGTCAATAAATTTAAATGGAAACTTTTTATAATATTAATTGCAATAATTTTTAATGTAGTCATTTTTTTAATTGAATACTTATATTATGCATTTATATTTAAATATATAAATTCAGCTGAAATGACTATTGTCAAAAAAAAACAGATGTTCAAAAAGACAGGTGCATCTAACACCCCAAACCCAAAGTTGTTAGAAATCCAGTTCGATAGACAGAGATCTCCGCTAGCCTGGCAACCCTGGCTAAAAGCACCAGATGAACCACGAGAACCGACTCAGTTCAAAACTAGTTCGCCCGAACTGCACAACCCTAGCAAAAGAAATAACTAAAATATAACTAATTTGACGCGAATTACACAGCGAGCGGATAGAAATCACGCTGTGGCAGCCGCACCACGCCGCCTCCGCAGGACACGTAACTTTTGCTGTCGGAAGGCAGGTAAATCGGTATCCAATAGGAATCGGAATTGGAGTCGGCCGCAGAACAACAGCAAAGGCAGACGCCATTTTGTCTATTGGCCGGCTGATTTGTAAGCTTTATATTCGCAAAATAGTTACCGCGACTAGTTTGGAGTGCAGAGCTAACTAGGGCTCCAGCTTCCCATTTTCCAGAGGAAAATCAGAAAGAAAAGCGATCCCCTTTTTTGGGCTGCAAAAGGTGTAAGTTCGTCCGTTCGTTTTCGTTCGATTTGATTAGCAAAAAATAAATGTATGTACGTGCGTGTGAGTGAGTGACTGTGCAAGTGTGTGTATGTCAGTGGCTAGTAAAAAACAGTGAAAAAATAATAAACGAAAAAACCGCACTGACTGCCGTCCTTGAGCGACTTCCGTTACTCTCCCAAAACTCTCAAATTGACGGAAAGAAAGCGAGGGCTTTCCCGCCCCCACCACGCCCTTCCCAACGATTGTTTTTGCAATTTTTCGGGGCTGCAGCTTAAAGTCTTTATGCGTAGTTATTTTCACCACCCTTTATCACCCACTGCCCACTTGCTCCACCCACCGACCGACATTCCGCTTAAGGATGTTGCCGGTCGGAGAGAAAGATAGAGAGAGCGAGTGGAAAATCCGTAGACGTGATGTAATTTTCGGTAGAAAAATGTTCTTTGTTTGGCCAAGAAAATAACAATAAATAAATAAGAATGAAGAGCGCGGCGTAAAACAAAAACAACATTAAATTAATTTTACACACAATAACCAAAAGAGTGTGTGTTTGTGTGGGAGAGCGAGTGTGTGTGTAGGTGAGAGCGTAATTTGTGTGCTTTTGGAGCATTATTTTGCGCTTGCTGCCCCGTCTATTAAATAATATTGATTTTTCATATTCCGACCCAGCGCTCTCTTACACACACGAGGACAGGCCCACATACACAGACAAACCTTAGTGTGCGCTTTTTGGTCTATCTTTTAGTGCTTGTATTTATCCGCCTCCGTTTACCTCTTTCTCTTCGTTGCAGTTTATAGATTTTTGCAAACTGTGACCGCTGACCAGGAATATGTAAACGCAACGCAGGAGCCAAGTCTCATTGGGATAAAGGACAATAAGGGGAGCCCCGAGCCAGGAGTCGTTGACCAACTGTGCCTCAAGAAAAAAAAACAGCAAAACAGCTGGGAAACTCCCAAACTGGACAAGGATCACTCCGGATACCTCACAACTGCCATAAAACACCAGCCAAAATAGCCGCCCAGTGCAGACTGCAGTAGGATTAGCCAGGCACCTAGAGAACTATAACTCCTGCACCTTCAGCCACTTTTGGTGCTCCGCAGGACGAATTGGCTGGAAAGCATCACCTGCCACTACCACCATGACGTTCGACACGCGCAGGCATACCACCGGGCAGCCGGGCACTGCAGCCACCACCTCGAGCAGCGGCACCACAGTAACTACCACAACGAGTCCAGCGCAGAGTGCGGGAACGGGCACAGGATCTGGATCAGTAACAGTAACCACTTCGAGTTTGCCAGGAGGAGGGCCAAGTAGCCTGGACGGCAATCAGGAGCAACAACCGGCAGTCAGTAGTCAGAGTTCCGATGACGTAGCCGCCACCTCGTCGGCGAGCAGTATGGACAGCACCGTTACAATAGTGTAAGTGGGCGTGCCGCCGGTCTTGCATGACTCCGCCCAATTAGCCGGGCTTAGTGCGTAGTTTATTGCACTTAATTAGCCCGTCAGTAGCACCACCCCCTTAAGGAACCCCAGCCTCGTACATTTGTATGTTTACATTTGCGCAGTTGCTCCATCTGCATTCTTTGTTTGCTAGTTGGGCTGAGCCTGCACAACACCCCGATATAGATTCTTAAAAAAATGTTCCAGCTGATTTCGGTCAGGCTAATTGGAATGTCGTCACCAGAATTCAACAAAGTTTTTTTACAGGTGGAAAGTAAATAAGAGAGTTTATTTGTGTGCAAAAGCGTAATAGAGGACAATAATAAGGGCCTGTTATCTCTAGCAGCCATAACACATATCCCTTCCCTTTACTAGGTACCTTTGAAGTGACCAAATGAGTCTATGACGTCTGTTTTAATGTATTTACCTTATATGCCTATTATTGTGTCTTTTGAAATATATTTTCAAGTACTTTATCTTATCGCTCCTTTATCATGATTAGCTGACACTGAAAAAGCCCAAAAAAAAAAAAAATCTACACCCTGTTAGGTTTCATTGAATACAGTTTTTGTTTATCTCTCAAATTTTCAATAACTCATTTGTTTATAAGTATTTGTAAAATGTACCTAAGAAAAGCTTATGTACGTATTAATAATATCCTTTTCTCCCTGTAGGCCTCCAGAGAAGCTTATATCCTCGTTTCCTACGACGAAACTGAGATCACTAACCCAGAAGATATCCAACCCACGTTGGGTGGTGCCTGTGCTTCCTGAACAGGAGTTGGAAGTGCTTTTAAATGCCGCCATCGAGCTGACCCAGGCTGGTGCGTTTGTTTAAAATCCCCTTTAAAAGCTTATCCTTATCCCATCCACTTTTAGGCGTCGATCACGATTGTGAGCCATGCGTCGAGTTTTACCGCAATGGTCTAAGCACTTCGTTCGCTAAGATCTTAACAGATGAGGCAGTGAACTCTTGGAAGTACAACATCCACCACTGCATTTTGGTGTCTTGCGGCAAGCTTCTGCACTTGATCGCCATACACATGCAGCGCGACAATCCCTACCTGCTGGACTTGCTGGCCATCGTTTTCGATCCGGAGAACAAGTTCAACACATTCAACGCGGCCCGCCAGCCGGAGTGCTTTGCCACCCCGGACTGCATTTGGGGTCAGTTGGACAGCAACAAGATGTACGCCCGACCGCCGGCGGAGCCCAAAAATGCCCGCGGTTGGCTTGTGGATCTCATCAACCGCTTCGGTCAGCTAGGAGGCTTTGATAATCTGCTGGAGCGGTTCAACAGTGGACTGGAGCTTTTAAAGCGCAACCAAAACAAAGGCACCGCCAAAAGTGTTGTCGGCGACGGTATCAGCGAAGGTAGCGGTCACGATAATCGTCTCACCCTGGCCCTTATTCACAGCCTATTGCGCCCCTTCGGCCAATGCTATGAGCTTCTGACGCCCGCCACCATAGCCAAGTACTTTATGCCCACCTGGAACGTGGTTTTGGACCTTTTGGATAGCTTCACAGACGAGGAGCTAAAGCGTGAGGTGAAACCCGAGGGACGTAATGACTACATCAACGGAATTGTAAAGTCAGCTCGCTTTCTGGCTAGTCGATTGACTGGCCAAGAAGATTTGATCCGCGACTTGGAGATGTTTCGCCTAAAGATGATCCTGCGTCTGCTGCAGGTTTCCAGCTTCAATGGCAAAATGAACGCTCTTAACGAGATCAACAAAGTGCTCTCCTCGGTGGCCTATTACTCGCATCGATCCCAGCCGCTGCCTCACTGTATGCCCGAAGACGAGATGGACTGGCTGACGGCGGAGCGAATGGCACAATGGATTAAGTCGTCCGACGTTTTGGGTATCGTGCTCAAAGACTCGCTGCACCAACCGCAGTATGTGGAAAAACTGGAGAAGATCATCCGCTTTCTTATTAAGGAGCAAGCACTGACGCTAGACGATTTGGATGCTGTTTGGAGAGCGCAGGCCGGCAAGCACGAGGCAATAGTGAAAAACGTACATGATCTACTAGCTAAACTAGCTTGGGATTTTACTCCCGAACAGCTGGACCACCTCTTCGAGGCGTTCCAAGTAAGTATTGCATATAAATAGTTTTACATTCGATCTTATAACTTTTTGGCAATCAATTAGAGAGAATTTAAAATATATAATTCTAATTGCTTATTTAATTTCAGGCTAGCATGACCACGGCTAACAAGAGGCAGCGGGAAAGGCTTTTAGAGCTGATCCGAAGGTTGGCTGAGGATGATAAGAATGGTGTGATGGCCCAAAAGGTGCTTAAACTTTTCTGGACTCTGGCCCACAGTCAGGAGGTGCCGCCAGAAGTGCTCGATCAGGCGCTAAGTGCACATGTTAAAATTTTGGACTACAGCTGCTCGCAGGAACGGGACGCGCAAAAGACCATTTGGCTGGACAAGTGCGTCGGCGAACTAAAATCGGGAGATGGATGGGTGCTGCCCGCCTTGCGTCTAATCCGAGATATTTGTTGCCTATATGATACCACGCCGAACCATGCTCCTCGTACTCAAACGGCCACGAATCGTCAGCAGGTGATCGAGCGTCTGCAGAATGACTATTCCTTGGTCATTCTTGTAACCAATAGCTTGACTGCTTACATGGAAAGGGTGCGTCAAGTGATGACCGATCCACTGGAATCAAGAACCGTTCTACTCGATGGAAGGTTTCCACACCATGCGCAAATATCGGAGCGGCTGGAGTTCCTCAAATTTCTGCTGAAAGACGGACAATTATGGCTGTGCGCAGATCAGGCAAAGCAAATATGGCACTGCTTGGCGGTAACCGCCGTCTTTCCGGCGGACCGTGAGGAGTGCTTCCGGTGGTTCGGAAAATTGATGGGCGAGGAGCCTGATTTGGACCCCGGCATCAACAAAGACTTCTTCGAGAACAACATTTTGCAACTCGATCCGCATCTGCTGACCGAGAGCGGTATTAAGTGTTTCGAACGCTTTTTTAAGGCGGTCAACTCCAAGGAGGATAAGCTGAAGGCGATACACAGAGGTTACATTCTGGACAACGAAGATCTTATAGGGAAGGACTACTTGTGGCGGGTAATCACAACCGGGGGGGAAGAAATAGCCAGCAAGGCCATTGATCTGCTCAAGGAAGTGTCCACCGCACTGGGACCTCGGCTTCAGGAAAACATCGCCGAATTTCACGAAATGTTCATCGGCGAGTGCTGCTCCCGGTTACGCACCCACTATGGCAACATCGTTATCCTGGGCAAGACGCAGCTGCAGGAGGAGTTGGATGCACCCGATCAGTCGGACAATGCCAACGACGAGTCAAAGGACTCAAAAATGCGTTTCCTTGAGGCGGAAAAGATGTGCCGCATTCTAAAGGTGTTGCAGGAATACGTAAAAGAGTGTGACCGGTCCTTCAGTGGCGATCGGATCCATCTGCCACTTAGTCGGGTTACTCGGGGAAAGAATACCAGCCTGTATATCAGGTTCCAAAACCCTGGCAGACCCATCGATGACCTTGAGATTGTTACACACAGCAATGAGACGATGGCTGCTTTCAAGCGGAGTCTACTGAAAAGAATCAAGGGCACTTCGACGACCAACATTAAGGTTGATCTCTTTTACACTAATGGCGAGATGATCGAGGTCTCCGACGAGATAAACCCACTCTATCAGTACGCAATCCGCGACAAGATGATCCTAACAGCGAAGCTTACGCCCGTGGGCACTGGCCTAGCCAGCAGTCCCGATTCCTCTAGCGACTCGAGCACCGGTTCTCCCCCACGTCCCTGCCCCGATATGCAGCGCGTAGAGTCAGAAAGCACACTACCCGGCGTGATAATTTCACAGAATTACCAATACACCGAGTTCTTTCTGAAGCTTTACCAACTTGGCAGTGACTTGGAGCATGGTCGCCTTCGGGACAGTGCAAAAGTACTGCTGCACTTGCTTCCATGCGACCGTCAGACGATTCGCCAGCTGCAGATAATGTGCAAGGTACCTAAGACAGCTGTTACATTGGTTGTGACGGGCGAGAAGACCGTTAAGGAGGAGGAGGAGACACCTAACACCGTTGACCAATCGGCGGCTGAAACTGAAGAGGTAAGCTTTAATAAAGAACATTTATTAGTAACTCGATGCAATGTTTTATGTTCAGTATATGAACCCCATAAATTTATCCCCTTCCTTATATATTTTTTTCAGGAGATCTGTACACCCGAGCAGATGTTCTTGCACCCGACACCCGCCCAAGTGCTGTATAATCTTAGTGTGCTGCACGGACTACTGATTCCCGCACTGGATCCTCTAGGCGAAGGAGCCTTGATGGTGCAGTCTGCTTGGATGCATTCGGGCTGCGCCCATTTCGTCCTGGAATTGTTGACCAAAAACAACTTCCTACCCAGCGCCGATATGCACACGAAACGTGCCTCCTTTCAATGTGTGCTGAGGCTGGCCAAGTTGTTCCTTTACATCGTGGGAAGTGTGTTGTCTCGTGTGGGCGATGAGCCTATAATATGTGATCTCGACAACGGATCTCGTTCCCAGGTAGACATTCTGAAACAAAACTTTTCGACGATGCCGAACAGTTCGCAGGGCACATTGAGAGCGATATCCGCGAAGTTGGCCGTGATGCTTGCTCGCGAAATGCTATCAGCTAGTCAGGAGGGTGACCGTTGCCGCACACTTTTTAGCTCCACATTACAATGGTCTTGTCCGGATATTTCTACCATCAAGGCGGTGGTGCAGTTGGCCTGGGCCTCTTCTTGTGGCAATCTTCAGGCTTTGGGTAACAGTAGCGGCGACTTTGAGGACGAAGTGATCGTTCCGGACGGACAGGACTTCAGCATGTGCAAGGAGGCTCTAGAAGTGCTCACCATCTCGTTTATCTTGAATCCCAGTGCCAATGAAGCGTTGACCACCGATGCCAACTGGCCAAAGTTCATTACCTCTATTGTTCTGAAAAACCCGCTTCGGCATGTGCGGCAGGTGGCATCAGAGCAGCTATTCCTGGCATCAACCTACTGCGCCGGTGATCGGCGGCCATTCGTCTACATGGTGAACTTGCTGGTGGGCGCGCTGAAAACGCTGGTTCCCCAGTACGAGGCGACCTGCGCTGAGTTCTTTTCTGTGCTTTGCCGGACCTTGTCATATGGATGCATCTACAACTGGCCTCTGCAGATTAGCGAGGGATTGTTGGGCGACGAAATCAGATGGCTGCAACGCATACGGGAAAATGTGTGCACTACCGGCGACACGCAGGTACACGAGGAGCTCCTCGAGGGTCACCTCTGCTTGGCGAAGGAGCTTATGTTTTTCCTCGCCGCTGACTCCAAAGCTCAGCTAAACGAGCTCATTCACGAGCTGATCGACGACTTTCTCTTCACGGCTTCTCGGGAATTCTTGCATTTACGGCGGAACGGCAGTCTTCGACAGGACACCGTCCCGCCACCAGTCTGCCGCAGTCCACACACTATCGCAGCCGCCTGCGATCTTCTCATTGCCTTGTGCCAGCTCTGTGTTCCTAATATGAAGCTACTGACAAATACACTTATAGATTTCGTGTGCACCGGTGAGTTTTCAGCATACAATGCGAAGCCAATTTTTAATGTTTTTTTTCTTTGACAGACACTGATCCGTTGCGCGAATGGGATTACCTGCCGCCTGTTGGCGCTAGGCCAACAAAAGGTTTCTGCGGATTGAAGAACGCCGGTGCCACTTGCTACATGAACTCGGTGCTGCAGCAGCTTTACATGGTGCCCGCAGTGCGAGTGGGTATTCTTCGAGCCCATGGGGCGGCTACCCTCGACGGGGAAGATTTCAGTGGCGACTCCGATTTGACGGGCGGAGGTCTTGGACAGGCCCTCTTCTCGGGACCCGCCTCTGCCCTAGTCAGCTTCTCAACGTCGGGAGGTGCTGAGGATGGATCACAGGATGTGCGAAAGAACTATCATGTGGTGATTCTGAAGCACGTACAGGCCATATTCGCCCACCTGGGCCACAGCGCTCTGCAGTTCTACGTGCCCCGCGGTCTCTGGACGCATTTTAAGTGAGTTAATTCTTTTGCCTTTCTTTTTTTTAATTCAATACAATTATACTGACATGATTTGATTTTATTACCTCAACAGACTGCAAGGTGAGCCTGTTAATCTCCGTGAGCAACAGGATGCTGTAGAGTTTTTCATGTCCTTGTTCGAAAGCCTCGATGAAGGACTGAAGGCGCTTGGCCATCCACAGCTTATGAATGCCACACTGGGCGGCTCTTTCAGTGACCAGAAGATCTGCCAAGAGTGCCCCCATCGCTACTCCAAAGAGGAACCATTTAGTGTATTTAGTGTCGATATTAGGAATCATAGCTCATTAACCGAATCTCTGGAGCAGTATGTCAAGGGGGAGCTGCTCGAGGGAGCCGATGCATACCATTGTGATAAATGTGATAAAAAAGTAAAGTACTCTCCTCTTCGTGATATACATGCAAAGCCACATTCTGAAGATCCAATTCCATATTTGTGCCCAACAGGTAGTTACCGTTAAGCGGCTATGCGTGAAGAAGCTGCCACCCGTGTTAGCCATACAACTAAAGCGCTTCGAATACGACTACGAGCGCGTCTGTGCGATTAAATTTAATGATTATTTTGAATTTCCGCGTATCCTGGATATGGAGCCCTACACAGGTAAGTTTTGCTAAAATATAATATAAATTAAATCGAGTTACTTGTGAATTAATAAAATTTATTTTCTGGCGATTAGTGTCTGGCCTAGCTAAGCTGGAGGGCGAGGTGGTGGAGGTTGGTGATAATTGTCAAACAATCGTAGAGACAACAAAGTACGAACTGACAGGCATTGTGGTGCACAGTGGGCAGGCCTCCGGCGGCCACTACTTCAGCTACATACTCTCCAAGTGAGTGCCATACGACATTAACTTTGGATTAAAGACAATCCGAGATAATCTCTTTTAGAAACCCAGGAAACGGCAAGTGCCAGTGGTACAAGTTTGACGACGGCGAGGTAACAGAGTGCAAAATGCATGAGGATGAGGAGATGAAGGCACAGTGTTTCGGCGGCGACTACATGGGGGAAATCTACGACAACAACCTTAAACGTATGCAGTATCGCCGCCAGAAGCGCTGGTGGAACGCCTACATGTTGTTCTACACCCGTTGCGATCAGACTCCCGTACAATACGAACCCAGTGTGGAGCAGTTGTCGCTCACTGAGAGCCGCAACATGGTTCTGCCCCTGCCAAAGCCAATCGAGCGCAGCGTGCGGTGAGTAATATTATTCCCGTTTTAGTCCCAATATACATCATGTCTTTGTTTTATCTATCTTGCAGGCACCAAAATATTCGGTTTCTTCACTCCCGTAGCATTTTCTCCGTGGAGTTTTTTAATTTTATCAAAAAACTGGTCAGCTGCAATATACCCTCTGCGCGGAGTGATAAGATCGTTAGTGTGATCTAAAATGGTTAATTTCCCATATTAAAGACTTTATTCCAACAGACTCCCGCCGCCGAGGAGCTTTCGCTGCTGGGCGTACAATTGGCATCGCAGTTCCTATTCCATACCGGATTCCGCACGAAAAAGTCACTGCGCGGCCCTGTTATCGAATGGTGAGGTGATAGGAGGTTGCATTAGAATCCGAGTGCTTAACTCTTGATTTTCAGGTATGACGCGCTCTCTCATCATATACGTTCCTCGGTACTAGTTCGCAAGTGGTTTGCCAATCATGCGCTTCTATCGCCACCGTCGCGTTTGGGCGAGTACATCCTGATGGCTCCTTCGCCAGAGGTCCGTACCGTATTTGTAAAGTTGGTGGTTTTCTTCTGTCACTTTGCTATCAACGATGAACCACTGACTGGCTACGACGGTGCCAACCTCTGTGAGCAGGTGCTCATCAGCGTACTGCGACTCCTGAAATCTGAGGCAGCCGACTATGGCAAACACCTGCCTCACTACTTTAGCCTATTCAGTATGTACGTTGGACTGGGAACACGGGAAAAGCAACAGTTGCTGAGGGTAAGCAATATTTTGATACATATCATTAACCGAACTCAACGATTGTCTTCGCTTGCAGCTCAATGTGCCGCTGCAGTTCATTCAAGTAGCTTTGGACGATGGCCCCGGTCCGGCAATAAAGTATCAGTATCCTGAGTTCAGCAAGCTTCACCAAGTAGTTTCACACCTTATACGCTGCAGTGATGTGAGCGAAAAGTGTCAGAGCTCTAACCAGAACGCCCGTCCACTACCCAATCCGTTCAAGGACGCCACTGTGACGCACGAGGATCTGACACCACTGTCCACTGAATGTATGGACTTGCTCTTTAACCGCACGGGGTAAGGTTTTTTCAGATAATTCTAGTATGTTGTAAAACGTACTGAATCCTTTTGTCCTTTTCAGCTATATAAAGAAAGTGATTGAGGACACAAACGTGGGTGACGAAGGCCTTAAGCTGCTGCAATACTGTAGCTGGGAGAATCCACACTTCTCACGAGCCGTTCTCACCGAACTGCTGTGGCAGTGTGGATTCGCCTATTGCCATGACATGAGGCACCATACAGACCTGCTGCTGAACATCTTGCTGATCGACGACTCATGGCAGCATCATCGCATACACAATGCCCTCAACGGTGTGGCGGAGGAGCGTGAGGGCCTGCTTGAGACGATACAGCGGGCGAAGACGCACTACCAGAAAAGGGCGTACCAGATAATCAAGTGCCTGACGCAGTTGTTCCACAAGTCTCCAATTGCGCTGCAAATGCTGAACACAAATCCGACCATCAGCCGACACTGGAGCATTGCAGTCGAGTGGTTGCAAGACGAGCTAGAACGGCAGCGCGGAATCGGCTGCCAATATAACTCGTACTCATGGTCGCCCCCAGCTCAGAGCAACGATAACACTAACGGCTACATGCTGGAGCGGTCCCAGTCCGCCAAAAACACATGGACTATGGCTTATGAGCTATGTCCGGATGAGGTCAGCGAGAAAACGGTAATTAACTTTTTATAAAAGTTCATAAAAAACCCTTTTTATAATGTCCGTGCTTGCCAGGAACAGGATGAGAACAACGAGTCTGACTTGGAGTCGAATCTGGACGAGAACAAGACGGAACAGTTGATTCGCCCGGAAACTGCCCACGAGGGCAATGCCGAAGGCGCGGAGCAGATTTCGGATAGTAAGACGCCCACAACAAGTAGTCCATCGACCAGCGCCTGGCCAGTACGCGTTGATAGCAATGCCATTCCTCGGCTATCTCGACAGCTCTTCGGGGCTTACACGTCAACAACTAGCGGGATCACCGCCCCGATATCCTCCACGACGACAACGGCGGGTAGTGGAGCTAACAGCGAGACAGAAAGCAGTGCCCAGGAAACCACCGGAGAGACGACCATTAACGGTTTAACAAACAGCCTGGATCAAATGGAGATAACGGCCAAAAAGGTAACTAGGGTGGACGAAGTCTAGGACAATTGTGCCTCTGTTAAGTGTGTCCGTAGTCCCGGGATTCCTTGAGACGTCTGCCAAGCAGCCCCCAGCAAACCAGTACACACAATAAACACACATTTTACACTCCAACTCCAATCTGTATCTCTCTGTTTCCTTGAACACGTGGTTCTATAGTTATAGACTTTTTTCAGTTGAACTGGACTTGTCCGTTTAAATGTTTTTTAAGGAAAACATAGATTAAATAATTAAATTATTTCAAGAAAAATAAATATCAAAATAACAAACTATCAAGTTGAGATACTGAAGATATTGTCAGGTTGATTTGATTAATTGAATATTTTTTAAATTAGATCATAATCCGACCATAAGTTCCTGTATAAATTGGTTCTCTAGGGTTACCCGTTCTTCGGTCTCCGAAGATCACTTTCCTTTCTTCTTATAACTCTTTTCTAAAAATTTATATTATCCCATGCGTTTGCCCCGCGGTTCCCTTTGCTGCGTTTCATTCCTTCCCCCTTGTTACGCGAATCGTAAACACAAACGCAGGGCTTACGAAGTCGTTCCAAGGGAGGCAAACTGCCTCCAGTGCTGTTCCACCATCACCAGTTGCCGTCGGAGCAACAACTCAAGCTGCAGCAGCAGCCCAAGCAGCCGCCACAACAGCATCAGCAGCAGCAACTACGTGGTGATATTAGCAAGAGTTCCTCTAGCCGCTTGATTTGATTTGCCGCCAAGTTAGTTAGAGTTGTTGTTTCGTTTGAGCCCAAATCGCCCACCTTACTTTGTGTTTGTTGTGTTTATGAATTCTGTTTTCACGACCCCAGCACAAACGAGGTGTACTTGCATCCCCAGATGAATGTACTCTTTGGCTTTTCTTTTACTTTCCACTGCAAGCTTTCTAAACTTACTTACACAAAATCATGCACACCCACCTCACATTCACATCACACAATCTACACGTTTAAAGCGATCGTATAAATATCAGAGGTATCAGTTTCACTCTATAATAAAGTATATTCAATACGATCTAAATTATTATTATTGCTCTCCAATCTTTTTTCCAAACTACAAAATGTGTGTACTTAAAGGACTTTTATTAAATGAGTGAAAGTGTACTTATTAAAATGAGTCTTAAAAAAATGATTTCGAATTCTTTTTCATAAATATATTTATTTCAATACAACTTACAAGATATATCTGACATATATCTTGGATTTAAATATCTTGTAAATAGGCAAAATCCTCTGATACGTGTTGATACAACCTGTTTAATAACACTCGAAGCAATATTGGAATTACTGCTTAGCTGGCACGCAGATGTTGCCTTAGCACTTTCAGCACTGGGCGATCGTAAGTCGACTTGTACTAATAAATCTCTTTTCGTTGGCCTTTCGCAGAAGTGCCGCAGGGTGATAATAAGAAAGCTAGTGGAAAGTAATGACGAGGAGGACGCGACGACTACGACCACGGAGGTTACAACGACTCCAGCAACAGGCACTTCAACGCCAGAAATTTTAACACCTGCCACAACAGCAGTCACAACAACGGGAACAGGACTAGGATCCGTTAACACGACGAGTGAGCTCCCGACGAGGATAGAGAAAAACTTAATTTAAAAACAACAGAAAACCACAATCGAAAGTTCTTGCAATAAAATGTTATCGCAACCTAGCGAGGTGGGCATAGCGTTAAGTGAACCAAAATCAGTCTGACAATGAAAACGGTGTGGACAGGTGTTTAATTAGTGGGATTCCCGCCGTCAAAACCGAGACTTAATGGGTTAATATCCGAAGTAGAGCAAAATCCGTAGATATTAACAAATGGTGGAGTGATGCGAGTCAACGGTCGACAGTCTATATGCGAGATTAATAGGAGGAAATGAACCAGCAGAGGTGTTTAGTAGATATCGAACTTTATAATTACCTTAACAAATACACATATACATACATCCTTTTCTTCTTTTTGCGATTCATTGGAAGGGATACATTTATTTTGCCTATTGTATATGTATTCCTTGTAACGAATTAAAAAAATTAAACGAAATAGGACATCTTAAACAAACACCCACACTTACTAAACAACAAAAGAACGCAAACAAAGAAACACACTCATAATTAATAAGAAGCGTTAAGTTGCACGTTTACAGTACCATATAATTGTATTTATATAGTATATAAATGATGTATTACGTATTGAAGTCGAGCAAATTAACTAATACTAACCGAATAAAAAAATCAAAAACGAAGGAAACATATAGATACGATACTAGGGAAACTAATCTAAACGAATCGGCGGAATCTAAGAATTAAGGAAAGAAACCAAATTGCATCTTCAGTACTCAGTACTCGCCTCTGAAACTGTTTCCATAATCATATTTCAACTGCAAAAACCAATTTAATGGTATGCTAAATCAAAACAAAACAGTATGAACTCAAGAACAGAATGGACTAAAGCAACACGAGCATAAAATTGATTATGGTTATACTAAGTATATATACTTTAAATGATTAGTGTTTTGTATTAAGTGAAATTTGTTAAACATTTATTAAATTATTATGTTTTAAGTTGCGAAATAAATGCGAAATGTAAGCAAATGCGCAATGTCATTGCCTTCTCTCAGTTTCCGTTTTCACCGACAGCAACAAACTCAAAGGCCGCTAAATTATGTACGGAACCCAATTTTAAATTATATATTCATAATGATAAATCACATTTAGAAAATGTGTGTTCGAGAAACTGAATTAATCTTATACATCCAAAAATGAAAACAAATAAAAGATTTTTTTAAAACCATCACCGTTGGCTATCACTCGGCGGTTAAAAAGTTTCTTGGTTAACAGTTTTGAAACATTTAATGCTGTGGGAAAAAGTTCAACAACACTCCATTAGATGGACAGGTTTACGCGTAACTCTAATAAATGCACTTGATCATTCCTGAAGCGAATGCTGATCTCTAAAGTATTAAGAATATTAACTTGTATATAAATGCAACAAAATCCATGGTACGTAGTTTTGGATTTAATCCTTTTACTTGGCCACATCCTCGTCGACGAATGTAATTATGGCGGAACCCTTGGCCACGTTGTCACCCTCGACTCCACCGATTGACTTTATAATTGCATCCTTGGGAGCTTTCAGTATGTGCTCCATTTTCATTGCTATAAAGCAACGGCGTTAATAACAAGAATAGATATTTTTAATTTTATTGCCATACCAATAAGCACGGCCAAGCTATCGCCCTTCTTGACCTGGTCTCCTGCTTTCACCAGCACCTTCTCGAGAACACCAGGCATGGGTGCCACTATGCGGGAGCCTCCTCCGCCCAGGTGTTCAGCCTGAGCATTCAAGAATTTGGGTTGCACCAATTCAAATTCTTGTTTCCCACTCTACGAATAGAAATCAGTTTAACGAAAATAATGTTGAAGCTGGCGCTAAACAAACCTCCAAGAACAAACAGACAATGGGTCCATCTATATTAGCATTATAGGTGGTGATATTACTGTTGATATTGGCCCGGATTTTCAGACGGCCGCCATCCTCGACTCTTTCGGCTTTCAGCTCCTGCCAGTCACCATTATCCACCTGAATTTGCACATCTTGGCCATCGAACTTGACAGCCACAGAGTAAACTGTGAAAATATGGGATATTTATGTTTGATTTGATGAATTGATATTGATTTGATGTATTAATATATTTTTACCCTTCTCATTGGCTTTTAAGTTGTAGGTGCGGATTAGGGAGTAATTAAGACGAGCGTTAGGCATTAAGGTAAATGAATCCTGTCCTTTGTTGCCATTGCTAATGGTTGCCTGCAACTCATTTAAAACCAGCGCCAATGCAGCTTGACTCACTTGCTGAGGACTGATAACAATTGGCGGAAACAGAGTCTCAAAGTGCTCATCGATAAAGCCAGTGTGCACGTTGGCCAGCTGGAATTCTGGATGCGAGGCTAGATCGATAAGAAAGTTGATGTTTGTGTCCAGACCGGATATCTGAAAATCGTTTACTCTTTGTTAAACCTCTACACGGGGGAATAAAACGCCCTAATACTCACATGATACTCTCCCAGACGAGCAACCAAGGAGTTAAGAGCCTGTGCTCGGTTTTCCCCCCAAACGACCAGCTTGGCAATCATGGGATCGTAATGCACGGATACCTCATCCCCTTCGCGGACACCGGTCTCGACTCGTACATTGATAGATGGCTGGGGAGTGGACAAATAGCTCAGAGGTCCTGCCCCGGGCAGAAAGCCACCTCGAGGATTTTCGGCATAGATGCGGGCTTCGAAGGCGTGGCCGTGCCTAGTAATCTCAGATTGTTTTAGCGGTAAGGGCTCCCCGGCGGCAATGCGAATCTGCCATTCCACCAAATCCGTACCAGTGATCATTTCTGAAATAGGATGCTCCACCTGCAGGCGCGTGTTCATCTCCATGAAGTGGAAAGTAAGATCCTCCTTATCTAAAATGAATTCCACTGTGCCAGCTCCAACGTAGCCCACAGCCTTCGCAGCGCGCACTGCGGCTTCGCCCAGTTCACGACGCAGGGCTTCCGACAAGCCGGGCTGAAAAGTATACAAACTTAAGTAACTAAATCACTGTGGTGCTACAATGATCTTACAGCTGGTGCCTCCTCAATGATCTTTTGGTGACGTCGCTGCACGGAACAGTCACGTTCCCAAAGGTAGACAGCATCACCGTACTGATCCGCAAAAACTTGCACCTCAACGTGGCGAGGTGACCGCACATACCGTTCTAGCAGTACGGAGCTATCGCCAAAGGACTTTTGGGACTCGGTGCGCGCCGAGTTTAGGGCAGTCAGAAAGTCCTCCGACTTCTCGGCGATCCTCATACCCTTTCCTCCGCCGCCACGTACTGCTTTTATCATCAGGGGAAAGCCGATTACCTGGGCCTCTCGCTGCAAACACTCATCTGACTGATCTTCGCCGTGGTACCCATTGATGATAGGCACACCGGCAGCAGCCATGATAGCCTTGCTGGTGCTCTTGATTCCCATATCCCGGATAGCAGAACTGGGCGGACCCATAAAAATGATGCCCTCGCGTTGGCACAACTCGGCAAACTCTACGGATTCGGAAAGGAAGCCGTATCCCGGATGGATAGCCTGGGCGCCCGATCGCTTGGCTATGTCCAGAATATGTTCGCCTCGAAGATAGGAAGCGGAGGAGGCGGCCTCTCCAACATGATACGACTCATCCGCCAGCTGTGTGTGAAGACTCTTTTCGTCCGGATCTGAGAATACGGCCACGGTGCGAACTCCCAGTTTACGAGCGGTTCGAATCACTCGGCAGGCGATCTCGCCACGGTTCGATATCAAAATCTTGTTTATGGGTCTTTGGGCAACTTTTGGACCTGATTCTGTGGCGAAACACCTGCAGGAAAACAAAACCAAATTGACATGGTTTATATAATCGTTAGTGGGTGCAGCTTAACCTGTTGATTCTTAGAAATTTACAAGAGAGTGGCGGTCTTAGTTCTCACCTTGCATTTTTACCTACGACACGCAGCAGTCTTGAATACATACTGACTTAGTGTAAATGCAAAGAACTATAATATTACAATACGACAATACGATACAGTACGGGAGCGATCGTCTGTTATCACTGGACGAAACAGGCAATTCGCGTATTAGAGATGCGTATTCGCTCGGCTCGATTTAAAAATATCTTTAGCAATTACTAACTAAATAATTAGCTTAGTCTGATGGAATGTTTTATAATACTTTAAACGTAATTATTATCTAGCTCCGGTAAAGCGTTTATTAAATGTTTTTAGTTCAAGTTTATTAAATCTTTTATTATTAATAAATGTTCCTTGATATTAAAACTATAAAAATATGTGCATGTGAAAAGGTGTTAGTTTTTGGAATGTTTTTATAGGACTTTCGCGTAATATTTATTAAGTTTTTTAATTTTTTCCTTTTCCGTTATTTCATTTAATCGGTCTATCACGGTATCGTTATCGAATAAGCATTTTCCAGACCGCGTCTTTCGGCATTTCCGAGCACGCAAAGTGCGGTCATATTGTTTGTAAAAAATTCGCAAAGGCGCGTGAAAATAGTTTGCGCGTAGGAAAAAGTAGAATTAAAGAGCCGATGTCGCTGAAGTGAGTCACAAACGTATTGGATAGTGCCGGAACAGTGTCGCCCGCTGACATCTTTTAAAATTGCGCAGGATCGCATTCCGCGAAACGCTGAAAAAAACGGTTGCTGTGAAAGACCCCTTATAAAGGCGTGAAAATTTGGGCGCCTTTTGCGTTTGTCGGTTGGCGTTGTGAAATTTATCATCTCCGACTCGTTTTTCCGTGGTTTGGGAGTGCAAAGAGTGTATTCCCAAGGATTATCATTGTAAACTTGAGACACCCAGAATTTAAAAACAGCAAACATGCCTATTTGCAAGCGGGAAGGATTCGACCTGAATCAGAAGGAGGGCAAAAACGAAACATTCCATGACAACGACCAGGTCTTCTGCTGCTACATCACGAAGCGAATTTTTCGTGACTACGAGTAAGTGCATCCCTTTTCTGCAATTGCCCCTCTCTGCCCCTAGCCCAACTAAGCCGTTAAAGAGGGGATGGCGCTAAAGTATACAACAAAGCGACGCGCAAAATCATATGCAAACGATGTACGTGCACATACATCTGTACATCTTCGTCCAGTGTGTGTGAGTGAGGCAGTCTCGTGGGACTGGGGCAAAAAAACGCTGTTCGGTGGCGGGAAGAATTTACAGCTGCCGCCGCACAGCTGCTCCACGCGGCGTTGCCACTTGGCTGCAAACAATGCGCGCCCTACTTAATTTTTAAAATGTAGGCAAAATCAAAGAACTTTTATTTAATTTAATTTGGTCAATACGACGCATTCTCCTAAAACCAATTTCTTGATTGGTATGTAGTATTGAAGATTTCCTATTCGTAGAGTCAAAATAATATACTCATTACCTTGGTGTAGGATAGTTAAACTATGCATTTCGGAGATTTGAAAAAATAAAAGCTTATGGAATGACCTTTTTGTAATAAGTTGATTTACTGATTTATCCAGGAGCTACTTTCGGCACGTCATGGTGATTAACTCCACTGTGTGGCAGTGCGAAGCCACCGGAAAAGAGAACCTTACATTTGAGGAGGCGGCGAAAAGTGAGCGGGCGGCGCGCAAAAAGATGGAGCAGTTCAAACAAAGCCTACGAGCGCCCGTCCTCCTCGTGGTGGAGCACGCACGACAGTCGGCAATCAACACCCTTAACATGATGGTGGCCAAATTCCTGCGCAAGCGCTACTTCATCGGTGAAGAGGTATCGGTGCAGGCCAAGAAAAATTCCACATACACTGTGGTGGCCATCAAGTTGGACAAAGATATACCGGAACCAGGCAATGGCATCTACGAGGACACGGACAACCTGGTGTACAGGCTACGACCGAATAAGGGCGATCCCAGTGCAGAGCTTGAGCTGCCGTTCAAGCAATTGCGCCGCTCGCGCATGGAGTTTAACTTGGAAAACCTAAACATGTTCATTAAGAGTAACGTGTCACGTGTGGATGGACTTCTACGACCCAAACCAGAGGCTTACAAGCAGTACGTGACCGATCCTGGCGTAACCTTCTCCTCCATCTTCATTGGAAAAATGCCGCGCTATTCACCTGCTAAGATAAAGAAACCCGACTCAAAGGATGCAAAGAGACAGTCTACTCTTAACAAGTATATCGTGGCCGATGAGGCAACGGCTGCAAAGTCGAAGGCGAAGGCCAAGTCTGATGCGAAATCACTGGCCGAGGAAATGGAGCGCGTGAAGCGGGAAAAGGAAGCCAAACTTATTGAACTGGAGAAACAAAAGGCGGAAAAAAAGGCACAGCTGATGGAGCGCGTTGAAAACGAATGTAACTTACTGCTTCAAAAGACAGACGATTTGGAGCGAGCCGATCAGAAAAGGCTGCCCAGGTACAGAAAAATTAACACTCTGCTTCCTGAGCGACTCCTGGGTGATGCATTTATGATGCGCGAGTTTATGCACACCTACGCTGGGCTGCTGTCGGGAATCGAGGTTTTCCGCCAGAATCTCAGCTTTTTCGAGATGACCCGAGCACTGAGTGCGCGTGAGATTGCCGGTCCACTTTCAGACATTCTCCTAGTGTTACTCGGCACTGTTTTCGATCTGCAGAAGGAGGAGGAGGAAGAGTGTTCAGTGACCTACCTCGATCGGGCGGCACAAACACACGAGCCATATTGGAGTATGGCGCAGGCAGCCAAAAGTCACCTCTACGCCAAGAGGCACTTTTCATTTAAGGTTAATATACGATTTATATTCTATTCTATTGTCTATAATCTAATCTGAATTTGTCTTTACCATTAGGTGAACGAACTCCCATTGGACGCACTGACCTTGAGTGAAGTGCTACGCCTGCATCTACTTGGATCCGGAGCTATCGTAAATGAAAAAGCGGAACGATGGAGGGTGATGTACAGAAACGGATACTCTTCGAAAGAAGATCCTGGCTTGGAGTTGCGTTTGCAACACTCAAATATCCTGCGTCATCTGAAAAATTATTCCGTATATCAGCTAAAGTTTAGGGATATAATGCACTTGATTCGATGTCTGATGTCTCAGATTCTTACATATTCGGGCACAATTAACTTAATTGAGGAGCGCATGGAACAGACGGCAAAGGCCAAGCAAGATCTGCGGGCTTTAGTCGTAGGTGAAAATAGACGCCTGGCTGCGGTTGAGATGAACAGAAAAAAGCTTACCCAAACGCACCACCTGGAGATGAGTGCCAGTGAGCCAGAGAAGAGAGAAGCGTTACTCGAAAAGTTAAACAAGAGTATTGCGGAGCTTCACGCTCAATCGGATAACCAACACCGTAAACACGAGCAGCAAATGCTTAAATTGCATTCTCAACTGTTTAATTTCTTGGTATACCTAGGCATGGATAGGTGTTACAGAAAGTACTATGTGTTGGAGTCCATGCCGGGAATCTTTGTCGAGCATTCATCTGACAGCATGGATACTTGCTTGGAGCAACCTCCAGCAAACAAGTCTCAACAGGAAATCCGTCAGCAGGCTACATTGCCAAAGAATCGCAAAGACTTGAGGGTATATCTTCTCAAGCTTTATGGAGACGACGATAAGAAGACCAAAAGGAAGGTCAAGCAATCACTGGAAAACAAGGAAAATCAAGAGCATCGCCTTAACGGCAGTGCCGAGCCCATGGAAGTGGAATCAGATACTCCAGAAGCTCCCACTCAGTTTGAGTTGATGATGTGCAGCGGTGACAGGAGAAATTGTATTGTGCACGATCCAAGAAACGGGCAAAGGCAGCGTTGGTCATATATTTACCAGCCCGAAGAGATCGACGAACTAATTAAGGCACTAAATCCCAATGGACTCCGTGAGTTCGAACTACTTCAAGAACTTTCCGTTCTTCGTTCCTTAATCGAGCAGCATGTAAAGACCTGTCCAGCGGAGATGCTTAGCTTGGAAAACGAAGCCATGCACAAAAAATTCCTCGCAACGATGGAATCTGAAACTCACCGCAAATATGGAGAAGCAAACTTTGGATTACCCAATGACACCGATTTGAATGAAGTTATGCGCTTGCATTTGGTGGATCGGATTATTCAATTCGAAAACGATATTTATTCTGGTGATCTCGGCCGCCTAAAGGTCAAGGACATGGCAAAGTGGCGAAGCGATTTGCTTTCAGGCAGCTACGATGCACAGTGCAAGTTGCAATGGGGCCCTGGAGGGAAACTAGAAGATGAGGCTGGCTCTGACAACGAGTCCCACGAGACTCACGAGGAAGATGATATCGGTCTTGTAGGCAAGTACGCCAGGAAGCCATATAGAGATCCTGGTTCGTATTTGGCAACATCTGCGGACACAGAATCCCTACCAGACAGCGATGATGAAGAGGTTCAGCCGACTAACTCCGTCTCTATTCCAATCGCGGTGCACAACATGGCTTCAGCGCTTCTGCAAGTGGAACAGGCTATCGGAAAGCGGTTCCTAAAAGAACCTTATGGTATGAAGAAGTGGGACCCCAAGCAAGAGGCTTTGAAACTCACCTGCGACTCTCGTCTGCACCAATGGGAAGTGTCGCTAATGGAGAGTACCAGCTTTGCCCAGGTGTTTTTGCACCTTAATATCCTGCATGACTGCATACAGTGGAGGCGGTCAACTAACAAGTCCTTGTGTAAGGTCTGCCGACGTGGAAGCGATCCGGAGAAGATGTTGCTATGCGACGAGTGCAACGCTGGCACTCACATGTTTTGCCTAAAGCCCAAGCTAAGATCTGTTCCACAAGGCAACTGGTATTGCAATGATTGCGTTAAGAGTTTGGGTCTAAATGCTGAAAACGAGAAAGATAAAAGGCAGACGGCAACGAGGAAACGCAAGTTTATTGTTGAAGAGGAGGATGAGCAAACGGACGAAGAAGAGGAGGAGCAGGACGATGAGGATGAAGAAGACGAGAACGCGGAGCAGGATGAGGAAGTTTCTGACGACAAAAGCGTAGCTTCCACACGCTCATCTTTAAGAGTCAACGGTCGCTCTCTAAGGCGGTCTCGCACGCGACCCTCGAGTAATCGACTCACATCAAAAGAGATTGAAGAGGCTGTGGATGAGACCGAGAGCGCTGAAATTAGCGATGACGCTTCCCTGACAGCCGATGAAGATGCTGTAGAAGACGAGCCGTAAGTTAAACCTACTTTTGAGTATTATTTTGAAGATAAGCCCTTTGCCCTTTCGCAGCGATGAAGAGAAGGTGTGTCAGAAGTGTTTCTACGACGGCGGTGACATTAGATGCGTGCAATGCAAATTGTACTTTCATCTGGAGTGCGTCCACCTCAAGCGTCATCCCCGCACGGAGTTCGTCTGTAAGACCTGCAAACCAGTACCACAGAGACCGAGGCGCCGGCACAGTAACAGTGAGTCTACATAAATATAATATTCTTTAATACGGCTTTCTCACAGCCCCTTCTCGCATTTTCTACAGTGAACGGTGACGATGACAACGATGAGGATGAGCCGAAAGCCAAGCGCTCCAGAAACTCTGTTCGTCTATCCATCGACAAGTCCGCACGCCAAAGCAACGGCAATAATAATAATAACAACAGCAGCACTAATAACAACAACCATCGGAGAAGCGGTCGTCGGACGAACGAGAACCTTCCGTTGAACAGTGCCGCCTTATACGATCTGCTAGAACAGATTATGAAGCATAAGGCAGCTTGGCCGTTTTTGCGACCAGTGCTAACATCGGAGGTGCCCGATTATCATAAGATCATCAAGACGCCCATGGATCTGGCTAAGATTAAGTCCAAGCTAAACATGGGGTCCTATCAGCTGAACGAGGAGCTGCTCAGTGACATTCAGTTGGTGTTTAGGAACTGCGATTTGTACAACGTAGAGGGCAACGAGATATATGAGTAAGTAGATATGGATTAACTTAAGTGGATATAAATATAACCTTTGTATTGAATGCTTTCAGCGCTGGCTGTCAACTAGAGAGATTCGTTATCGATCGCTGCAAAGATATGCAGCTGCCTTTTAGGCCCAGCGATATGAATGGGGAAGTCGAAGCTTGCTGAGATTACCGCTGATCTCTGCCACTCTTGTGTAAACTAGTTAGCTTACTCTTAGTTGTAGTCGGAAACTTTATAGATTTAAGCAAAACCATTAAGTTTATTTAAATATCCGCTATGTTTAATATTCTCATTTAAGTGCAGTTAAAAGTTTTCGCACACGCACAGGCAAAAATATTATTGTTTTATGAGACATTAGGTATTTTAGAAATTACGAAAATTCCACAATCAATAAATGAAGTGAGTGAAAAACTTTAAAGGAGAGTTTATTTTATGCAATAAAATGTATGCAAATTTTAGATAAAGTAAATCTGGAAACGATTAAATGAAATCCTTCAGTGGGGATGAATTCTGGGAATGAAGAAAGGCTAAAGACAGAATCAAGTTTTTAGACAATTTTGTTCCATTTCATCAACAACTTGGTAATTAATGTACATTGTTAAATGGATATAAAAAAGATTCATAATTTTTGAAATGAAGAAAGGCTAAAGACAGAATCAAGTTTTTAGACAATTTTGATCCATTTCATCAACAACTTGGTATTCAACGTACATTGTTAAATGGATATAAAAAAGATTCATAATTTTTGAAAATCTCATTTCCATTTAAATTAGTTTCTAATTGGTAGACGTGTTGTAATTAATTATATGGGTTGAATCTGTGATATAAACGAATATGTGTGTTTCAGCGGATATACAGACTAAAATGGGTGATTTTTCTTATAAAAGCATAGCAGGACCAAAGCTCCAATACAACCTACATGGATGAAGATGTTGAAGCTGTTGACTCTGTATTGCAAATGTCCGGAATTAGACCATTGACATTCACTGTCTTGTGATTGTTGTTGGACGTAAACTGGATGTTGTTGTTGGCTTCCAGTTCGGGCGGAAAATGAAACGAACTAGAGGTGCTGGGAGCCTGAGACAAATGAGCCACCATTGAGGTAATCGAAGCTGTAGAGGAACTGTCCCCAGCCTCCTCGGTGTGGATGCCTTCACTTTCATTGGTATTATTGTTGAGATTGTCCCCTGATGACAGCTCCTCTTCGTCGGAGTCGTCGCTCCCCTCCAGAATTTCGTTGTTATTGGAAGCTCCACTGTCGTCCATATCCGTGGAACGTAGTCGGCGAGTCTTTCTCCTTTGTTTGGTGGTCGAAAGACTGTGGCTCCTAAGTTTTCGCTTGCGTCCTCTTTGACCAACTCTGGATTGCAGGGGGTCAACTAGAAAAACAAATGGCTTAAATTATTTTGCTGTTAAGTAAACAATATAAATAAAATAATGTAAATACTTAAAAATGAATCATTTGGGTGACAGTTTGAAAATTGGTGTTCTATAATTATGTGCTCCCGTAAGTTACTTAAAAATACAAAACATATGACACCTTACAGAGAACAGAAATGGCTTGTCCTTATCCAAGGCTGAATGGGCAAGTCATGGCATGTGGTGTCAACAAACCCCAGAGACTTGCCAATAATTGTGGTAGCGGTCCCCCATCAGGTGTCAATGGTTCTGACACTAAGCAAATACTTGAACAACAGGATGTGTGTCGACCTATACCCTCGTATCCTGAACCTGTCCTATTGTTAGCTCTACAATCTCAGTCAAAGGTTCAGTAACTCTTGATATGGCGACGACTCTGCATCTAATTATGCTGGCTCTAGTGGGAGGAACCCTTGGTCAAGGCAATAACTCGGACTACAAACAACTTCTGGCCTGCATACTAGGCCAACTTGAGGGCGGTGTAGAACTTCATCTAAGGGATTCTGGCAATGAGGGCAACAGTCTCGTACATTTTTTGATGGTGCAAGGAAACAACTCTCTAAAAATAACTCTTAATCAAGATGAAGAACCACAGAATACGGATATAGTACAACACCATTTGTACATGTTTGAAAACATAAGGCAAATGCAAGAAATCCTAAAAAGCTTAGTTAACACTGATGGATTTTATGTATTAGTTCTGGAGAATCCTACAGCTACCGATGATATAATTTTATTGGACTTTATGGCCAACGTTTGGCTTGAACATAAGCACAGTCGGATTTATTACGTCCAGTTGGGGATAAATCGTATTATTCTATATAATCCCTTCCAGCAGCGTTTCGTAATAGTCAAAGATCCGAAAACGTATGGTGAAATTTACAAGAACATGGAAGGTTATCCCTTAAGGATATACATATTTGATTCGGTTTATTCAAGTGTGGTGGGCGATTTCGACAACAATAAGGTACTGAGTGTAAATGGAGCGGATGCCAAATTGGCCAGCACCGTAGCCAGGAAATTAAACTTTACTGCCGAATATTTGTGGCCGGATGATGAGTATTTCGGAGGTCGCCTGGCTGATGGATCGTATAGCGGCGGCGTAGGTCGCGCCCACCGTGGCGAAGTAGATATAATCTTTGCGGGATTCTTCATCAAGGACTACCTCACCACAAACATCCAATTTAGTTCAGCCGTCTACATGGACGAACTCTGCCTATACGTGAAAAAGGCTCAAAAGATTCCGCAGTCCATTTTGCCTCTTTTCGCTGTTCATACGGACGTGTGGATGTGCTTCTTACTGGTGGGCATCCTAGGAACCATTGTATGGCTTCTTCTTAGAGCTCTCAATTTGATTTTACTCATAGAAAGCATACCGGATGGTTCAAGAGCTGCAAACATTAGTTATTTCGGAGCAGCTCGTCGGATTTTTATCGACACCTGGATCGTTTGGGTTAGGGTAAATGTGGGACGATTTCCCCCTTTTCACTCGGAGCGCATCTTTGTGGCCTCTCTGTGCCTAGTAAGCGTGATTTTTGGAGCCCTGCTCGAGTCCAGCTTGGCCACAGTTTACATAAGACCACTTTACTATCGAGATGTCAACACATTGAGAGAATTGGATGAAACCGCCCAGCCCATTTATATTAAGCATCCTGCGTTTAAGGATGACCTCTTCTATGGTCACGATTCTGAGGTCTACCGACGACTGGATGCCAAGATGATGCTGGTGGCCGAAGGCGAGGAGCGACTCATTGATATGGTCTCCAAAAGAGGCGGATTTGCGGGAGTCACCCGCTCCGCAAGCTTGCAGCTAAATGACATTCGATACGTGATGACGAAAAAAGTGCACAAGATACCTGAGTGCCCCAAGAACTATCACATCGCGTATGTACTGCCGCGTCCCTCGCCGTATTTGGAGCAGCTCAACAGGATCGTGCTGCGGTTGGTGGCCGCCGGAATCATGGATCTCTGGACAGGCGAGGCCAAAGAGCGCGCCAAGTGGAGTATCCAGCAGTTTCCCGAGTACTTGGCCCAACTGGATGTCGGACGGTGGAAAGTTCTTACCATGTCCGACGTCCAACTAGCTTTCTACGCCCTAACTGGTGGATGTCTAATTTCGGGCGTTGCGTGGATGGCGGAAATATTTTTAAAACGCGAGCGGATATATTTTATGCCAAGAATTTCAATTTAACAAATTTGTTGATTTTAATTGAAGTAAATTTTACCTTTGGAAACAAACTCACCTGTTTTCAATTCATGACTCCGCCGAGGACTCCGGTAGAGTTGATCGCAAGCCCGGCGTCGCTGCTCCCGGGCCGCCGCTTCCGCTGACGTGGTGGGTAGCTCGTCGTCGCCGAAAATGCGGTGTGTCTCTTCCAGCCAGTCACTAATCCGCGCCTGAGTCGCTGCATGCTTTTGCTCACCAAGGAGTCGTTGGAGCAATAGGTCCACATTACGCGGCTGGCCCGCGGTGCCTCTCACCGCCAACTGAAGTAGAGCGCGCCGCTTTTTGGCGATTAGATAGAAGATGCGATTCGGATGTGTCTGCCAGCTCAGTTCACTGACGTTTGGCGTGTCGATGTCTTGAATTGGCTCGATGCCCTCACCTTGGTTAAGATCGGAATGAGGGTCTTGATCCGTCTCGTGCTCCTCGTCGCTATGCTCCTCTGTAGCTGAACTATCCTCGCTGGAGGGATCTGAGCTGCTGTTTGAGACGCTCTGGTTATCATCGGTGCTCCAGGACTCGAGCTCGCGCTGAACCAGTGTGTCGAAGAAGGCAAGCATCACCTGGTCTTCGTCCGTGTTGCGAGCACTGAAGTCCTGGGACACGTGATCCGAGGACTCACGATGTAGGGCGCGAGTGCAGTAGGGCAGGGCTTCGGCTTGTGTCAGGGATCCTTGCCAGCCCTGCTGTGCAAAGGGACTCCACAGCTGAAGGCATTTAAATCGGTATTCTTAAGATCATTTATAGGAATTCCCAACTTACTTTAATGATCTTTTCTACGCCGGAGGAGGCGAACAGACACCGCTGGCGGTTGTAGCGCACCTGGTTGACAATAGAGCGGTGGCCAGTAAGTATTACTGGAGGGGTTTCAATCCACTGGTGTTTTTCCTCCACTAAGAAATTTAAGAATAAGAATACGATTCTTTAAATTGAATGCCCCTCCACCAACTCACAGTCTACTCCATCCAGACGCCATATGAACATGTTGAAGTTGTCGGAACCCGAGACCACCAGCTCGTCCTGCGGTCCCGCAAACGTACAGCTCTTCATTGTGCACGAGTTAAAGTACTCGTCGTGGTAGAAGGTGGCCACCGGCTCCGGTGCCCCGGGGCTGTAAAGGATCGGAGGTAGCCGGCGGTGCAGGGTAAGCAACAAGGTTCCATTGCAATTAAAGCGCACGCTCATGCAGCTTGGAGACTCCGGGATGTAATTGTACTGGCAGAAGGGCCTAAATGGCGATAAGTAAGCAAATTGATACTCTAATCCTAGATTGAACTCACTGTTGGTGGTGTCTCAGATCCCAGAGCATGGCTCCCTTTTTGGCATTGGCTGTGGCCAGAAAGTTCCCATTGAGGGGGTGAAACTCCACTGCATTAAAGGGTGTTTTGAATTTGGCCAGGGCCAGCGGTTCGGACTTCCCTGCTCTCAGATCGTAGACTAGGATCTCTCCATGCTCTGTGGCCACGCTCAAAAGATGGTCACTGGTCCTGTCTACACTCAAACCATAGACGGGTCCATCGTGCGAAAAGTGGTTCACGATCTTTCCGCTTAACAAAATACGAAATTAAAAAAATAATTAATTTTAAACTAAACATGAACCTCATCTAATTAATAAATTAATTACTTCAGTAGAAACCAAATATGAAGTTAAAGTGAACGCGTAATACACTGATTTAAGCTAGTTTTTAAATAGCCATTAAATAACTTACGTTTCAAGATCATGTTGGATAACCAAGTCGTCGTTTCCCCCTGAAAAGATGTAGGAGTTTTGGGTGTTGAATCCTAGACAGAAGATGTTACTGGCGTGCTTCTCGTTCATAGGTCGAGGTTTTCCCAATTGGGACACCACCTCTCGGTCTATGTTCCACAGCAAAACCCTCTTGTCGTCACCTCCTGGGAGATCGATAATTAACAATGATTAGTTTGGGCGTCAGGAACTATCAACAGGTAGTTCCACTTACCTGATACCAGAAACTGGCCTCCCGGACTGAACTCTAGAGCATTTACACAACCAAAGTGACCGGTTAGGTTGCGCTGGTAGAGATTTTCCGCTGCACTAAGTCGCTCGCGGAAAATAGCTGAGGGAAGGTGACCAGTCAGCAACTGGTTCTCCCGATGGCTGAGGGCGAGGTCTAGGTTACGGGTCTCCAGGGAGCGCAGGTTCCGCAAAAGACTCATTTTACTGGACTTTATATTGGTAATATTCACACGCAAGTCAGGAGACTTTAGTTAGAGTGTTCCTGGGTCCGGATTCAGGTTCTGTTGTGGTCTCCAGTGGGGCTGCGGTCCACGCATATCGTCTCCAGCGGTGCTGCTCTGTATGTAGAAAAAATTGTGGCTTTGAAATACGTAGAAACGTAGTGACTTTTCTACATCAAAATAAACACTCAATCGCACACTTTTAAGGGTCAGAAAACTGGTAAATTATAGCCAGGAAAGCTAACACATAAGTGTATTTTTTAGAGAACTGCGACGACTCGTTTCGACGGGTTTATCATCACATCGCATCGCTCCCTAATCAAAACTGAAACAGAAAGTATACAAACCAAACCGAGAAACCGTCGAACAGCTGTTCGCCCAGCCAGTTACAGTGGTTCCAATGTGCTCGAAAACCGTACATGATACGGGGTGTGAATCGTGGATAAGTGAAAGAATTAGTTTTTCCAAATAACCAATTATTAATAACATACATTAAGTTTTAGTTTAGACCAATTTTGGAGTCAAATTTCAGCACGGCTTTGGGAACCTTAAAAATATATTTTATTTTTACAGGGCCCATTTTTGAATCCATTTATCGTAGAGTTTTATGTATCAAAATTTCATGAACAATATTGTTTTAGGTCAGATTTAGTCAACAGAGTTTCGTAAATTCACAGTGTTTTTGGAACCCCCTATATAACAAATGATAATGGCCGACAATACGGATTTGGTGACTGATAGTGCTATACCAGGTGAGCTTCTGGTTTCGCTGCCTAATATTTTATACTAAAATATCTAAATTCCGAATTTCAGTCTTTCTGGAAAATGTGGATGAAAAGGAGCAGGTACGTCGGATCAGCGCTTACCTTCAGAACCTGCGAGATCGATTACGTCAGGGCATCCAACAGCACGAAGAGGTCGTCCAGTCGTCGTTGCAGCTGCTTAAGGAGGTAGGCGACGTGAACAACATGATGCAGTTTGCGAGGAATGGCCACCAGGCCCAGGCTACCAAGATCCGGCGCCTGATCATGGGTTTCGAGACGGTGAATGCCGCGAACTCGCAGCAAATTTCCACCGTGGCGGGTATTAGTTTACCCTCAGATCTGACCGAGATTCATGATCTTTTAGTGGAATTTGAGCACCTCAACGATAGCAAAGTTCTGCGAGAGAGCCTACTCAGCTTTAAACGTGCCCGAGAATCGCTGGAGAAGGTGCTTGGCTTCCTAGAAAAAACTGGTAACGAATCTCCGAGGTCCTCTCCCCAAGGAAGCATGCTTTTCAAGTGTCCCAGTGCCAGTCGCAGCCTCCGTGAGAAGATCGAGGCTTTCAACAAAGTCTTGGAAGCGGCTCCAGAGAACCTGGGCGACACCTGCCGCCACTTCACAGAGTGCTTCTGCAGCTGCTGCAGCCTGGACGAGTCTCCCGAGTCCGGAGGAAAGGGGCCGCTTCCTGTTGCCTCCAAAACCAATTCTGGATACGAGGGTGACATTGACAGTGAAGTAGAGCAGACGGATAAGTCCAGCAACGACTTCGAGGCGGAGATGGAAATGGATACCGTTCCCTGAATGGTCCTCCGAAAAGCAAGCAGAAAAAAATAGGGATACAAAATATTCACTTTTGTGATAAAAAATTCACGTTTTATAAATATAAGGACAATTATAAAAATAGTTTGTTCTTAAAGCACCATTAAATATTCATCTATCAGAATCCAGATCCACTGTAGAATCTATCCCCAAGAAGAAGTCAAGTTCGGCGGAAAAGTAATAGAGCTATAAGGTACAAAAAGGAACCAGATAAATTCCACAAAATTCGCTTTTAAAACAATATACGTTTAATTTAGACTGTTCATTTGTCAAATTGTAATTTGCACCTAATAGTATCTTAAAGTTACGTCGGTAAATGCTTCAATATTTGTGACATCTAGAATTTATGCTAAGATCTAGGAACTCCTTTAAAGTTTCGGGAATATTACCTCCTAATTCGTGTTAAGAATATAAAACTCGCACTTCAGGTATTTGGGTATTGTCTTCATTTTTCGAAAGAACTTAGTAAGCTACAGTAAAATCACCTATAAAATCACGATGCATCCCTGGATATTTGTGCTGTGCCGCATACCCGGCGAGTTCAGCAGCTCGATTCCGCGGCCTGGAACAAATCCGAGTAGTTAATGGCGAAGAAGATGGAAACCGATCCGATTGCAGATCCCAGCTGAGTGATGGCGCCCACCCAGACCAGCGACTGTCCGCCCTGCGACCGCATCACGGTGGTGATTCCCAGTTTCGTGTAGCTGACAATGCCCACCAGCAACGTCCAAGCTGTGACCACCAGTACGGCTCCAATGGCCTGATCGTGTAGTGGCGGCAGAGGACTTAAAGCGGCTGTGGTGAACACGTAACTGGTCAGAAGACCCGCCAATATAGAGAGAACGGTAATAATTCGTAGAGATGTAAAATGCAGGAACATGGCCATGAAGCAGGCCACGGGATTGGCAATCACACTGAGCGTGGCTGCCAGGTGGTAAGCTTGAGACCCATACGGGGCACAGGAGTAGGACTGTATGCTGCCAAATATCCCATTGCTGAATAGCGAGATAGCTCCTATAAGCAGGAGAAGATACGTGTACTGTCCCCTACTGAGTTTTTCCGCCTTAGGCTGGTTATCGGCATCTCCGTAAACGTACTTGTTGCCCTCGCTGACAGTCACCTGGGCATATTCCCTTTTGGCCAAGGGAAGAGAGTTCAGGAGTGCGTACCCCACATAGGCGAGGACCATCAATCCGAAGAGGATGAAGAAGAAGACACCAGTGTCGAATCGAGGCGGTGTTTTCTGCAGTTCGTACACTTCCTCTCCCGTTTCGGTTACATTGACCAAAACACAGTCGCCGTTCTCGCCGATGCCTTGAATTAGAGCGGTCACGCTGGGCAGGAGTCCACTCAAACCTTCGCCAATGAAGTATGTGACCATATATTGCTCCTTGAAGCGACCCATGTAGGGCATAAAGAGCACGGAGCTGGTGCACGCATTGAGCGCCGTGAAACAGGTTAGCACAAACAAAGCCAAGCTGTGATCCGTGCCCGCCACGGGAGCAGTTTTGTTGTAGAAGAACCCTGTCAGCAAACAAGAGACGGTTCCCACCAAAAGCACCAGATGAATAGTGTAGCCGTCATTCAGTTTTTTGGGGGAATACTTTTGGATGGCCGTATAGAGTAGCGGGCCCAGATTTCCAATCTGCACCATTAGACTCAGGTAGGAGGGCAGACTCCAACCCTCTGGTGCCTCGTCCACCAGCACGGGAAGTTGGATGAAGGTGCCATTAACGCCCAGCCAGGTTCCGATGCCGAAAAATATGGCCAACAAGTCGACGATCCAGCTGCGGTTTCCCAGCTTTGATACCAGCTCCATACCTTTTTTTGGGCTTCCCCAGTTGAGAAACAAGCTCAGCTCACTTTTCCTAGCCTCAAGCGAGGGGCATCTGTGGACAGAAAGAGACGAATATCTAATCTTAATCATCTTTTAATAATTCAAAAGTCTTGATTTGATTATTATTAAATGTATGAACCATTTTCATGTTTTCATTGATTTATCTAAAGCTTATTTATTTGAATTTTGGTAAAAACTATCAGAACTTAAATATGGCTACATTTGAGATTACTATTTACCTAGTTTCTAGGGTGCCAGCCCAGTCTGAATTTCTGGTTTATTTCGCTTTATGGTTCAGATAAGCCTTAAAAAGTCATTATCAAGCATATGGTATTTACAGTTCATTATGGTTGTCTTTGCACAGATAACCGACTGACTTCGATTCAAGTCGTTCTGTGGCTTTACATTACACACTGCAATATAAATTAATTAAAAGTACACATTGCTTAATTGAATTGTCAAATTCAAAAAGCATTAGAAAGAAATTCTGAAATATGCATAGTAATCGCCTAAGGTTCAAATGGATAAATCAAAGAACTAATTATCAAGCTCGATATCCACTCAGCACTAATCTTATTTTCAAGTGATATTGAGTGGTGTGCCGGTGGTCACATACGATCCTGATCTAATCTGCTGATTCAATTAATTTGTGACCAGCCGAATAGAGTGCCGATGTCTGCAAGTATCAGGCTGAATGAGATAAGAATCACAATCGGAAACGTCATCCAGAAAACCCCTAATTGTATTTTGAGTGTAGAAAAGAATTTCATCTTAGAAGAATTTTAAAAACTTTATAATAGGCATTAGTAAAATTATCTATAGACTACAGAAAAGTTTTTTTTGGCAAATAAAACTTTTAGTAAAATGAACAAATTTTATAATAAAAAAAAAGGCTGAGTTATACCAAGTTTGTAGTCATTTTTCGATATGTGTTTCTTACTTCGACTGCCATCAAAACTGGTTTTTACACCGTTTAAAGATAACTTATTAAGTAGCTTTCGCCAAAATTGAACACCCTGGAGGAAAGCGTATGCTTTACCACTATATCATTAAACATAATGACAGGCAAACCTGGAAAAAGAGCTAAGAAATAACTACTACACCTTTTAAGTCAAATTAAAAACAGGTTTTCGTTCACCGAATGTACCATCAAAAAAATAAGTTTCGAAACCACTTACCTGGCGAAATTCGCGGAATTCGGAGCGGCGTCGTCCGACGTCGAGATCACGCCGTAGACTGGCCCCGCCGGATTCGTGGGGCCACCAGCTCCTCGGCTTTTGTGGTACCTGCTCATATTCGGATTCGGAGTGTACTCTTACTTTTCGAATTAATTTATGATCCCGGTGGCGATTAGATTTCTCGATCCGGGGCACTGTGGATGTGGAGTGAATCTGGCAGGCTCGATTCTTTTTCCTTAATTGGTTATTAAAAATCAACGGCTCAATTGTAGAAATGTCAGAAATCGAAGCCAATTGATACCCGCCAATAAATACAAAGTTCCAATTTGGGTGCCCGGAAAGTCTCAATTATGCAATATTCTAGGAATGAAAAGTGTCATCGAGAACGCTGCAGGATGGAAAATGCAGAAGTGTCCAGCAGGAGGAGTCAGAGTCGGAACACGTCCAGCTCCAGCTTTGGCAATTTGAACACACAAAAGTAGAATTTGATTTAATAATCATCGGAGCAAAATATTATTGAGAGTCAAACAGCTGTTCTGACATGACCGATGAAAAAATACCGAAACCATCGCACGTGCGACAAGAGAGCGAAGCAAAGATAAGAGAACTTAAAAATACAGCTCTCTTTTATAGAGCGGAACGGTTTTGTTATGGTTGTCGAAATTTCTTATTAATAGGAGGGTATATTTGTTTTACGGTAGCTAAGAGTTTTCTACAAAAAGAGTTTATCTATTTTTTTTCAGTTGTTGAGCTTCTGAAAATAATGTACGAACAAAAGATTGCCCTCTTGTATTACACTAGTCACTACTTTTGAAATTCACAGTATCGAGATGATCTGCCAAATTTTAAAATTTAAATCAGAAAAAGCTTATCTTTTTCATTACTTGATTTACTTTTTACGATGGACTTTATTTCATGACTCATAAATTTGTTAAATATCATCATTATTGTTACCAATATTATGATGCTATCTACAGAGTAAAGTAGCACGTCATGCAAAGCTATGTATAGATAACACTATTGGTGGCCCTTTACACTTTCAACAGTAATCGTTTTTTAGTATTTGTATTATATTTACTGCTCGGCAGTGTCTTTTATTAATGCACAAGGTTATGTGAAAAGCCTATCCCCCAGAGACCCAGAATAATGTATGAATGACAGCCCCAGCTGGAGCGATTGGAATACCTGTCACGCAGTGCGTCGGAATTCCGCGAAATGCATCACTTGCCTAGCTTGAACAGAGCTGACGGTACCAGCTCTTACTCTCTCTGCACTTTGGATTGGAACACATGGGGCAGCGCATTAGAAACTTGGGATTAACCGACTGCTGGGACTTCAGGTGGTCTGCCACAATGTTGCTCAAGGCGTCAATAAACAGAGGATGGTCGTTGGGGGCTGCCGCCCGTCTGATCTCCTCCACGCCGACCTCCTTCGCTAGTTCGTCGCAGTACTCGATATCCAGTTCGTGCAGTGTTTCGATGTGCTCATTCACAAAGGCGATGGGCACCAGAATAAAGTTCTTCAGGCCTTGTTTTACATAGCCCTAAGAGGAATAATATTATTTTTAACATGATCATATTGAAATCCATTACTCGATTCTCACCTTGATGGCATCATCGGTGGCGGGTGCTAGCCAGGGCAGTGGCCCTACCTTAGACTGCCAAGCTAAGCTATACGGATTCGTTTGTCCCAGTTCCTGCATGACCATGTGTACACTAGCCCCAATCTCCGAAGGATAGGCATCGCCTCGGTTCACAGCTTTCAGAGGGAGGGAGTGAGCAGTGAAGAGGATAACCACATCGTTACGCTTTGTCTCTACGAACTTGGCGAGTTCATCGCGAATTCGCTGGGCGAAGGTTTTGATTAGGAGTGGATGAGTGCCCCACCTATCGATGATGCTCCACTTAATGTCCGAGGGCAAGTTACTGTAGGGAATAACTTCTAAATAATAAGAACAATTTATAGATATTTATTACACACTTGCTGCGGTAATGGGTGAATATCGAGTTAAAGCTGGAGCCAGAGGTGGCACAGCTGTACTGTGGATATTGCGAGAAGAGGACAATGCGCTCAGGTTTATCGCTGCAATTGAGTAGAGTTTCAATTAAAAGTCAATTCATAGCTATCACATAATAATAGTTCAAATCAAAATTATTATAATTTCAAAAAATATCGTTATTTTCAGTACTACTATTCGATTTCATGACGCTACTCACTTTTCGATCTCAGCCAACGTGTTCTCGGTGAGGGGATTCACGTAGCGGAAGCCCACGTAGTGCTTATGGGGACCTGTTTCCGGAGAAATTCTGTCCAACTGCTCGCACATGAGCTGACCTTGCAACTCTGTCCACTTCAGTATGGGAGAGCCCCCGCCAATCTCCTTGTACTTTTTCTGCACCTCCGGCGTTCTGCGCTGGGCAATCCACGGACCGAGGCGGCTTTGCACGGGCAGCTGAATCATGTCCCGGTCGGTCATGATACGTAGCAGGTAGTCGTGCACTTGGTCCGTATGCGTCGGTCCACCCATGTTAAGCATTAGGATCGCGGTCTTCGGTTTTTGGCTGCTCAGGTGGCGAGCACCGCTCGCCAGGCTGCCTGTGTATAAAACATGCATCATATAGCATAGACATAAAAACTTGTCAACTCACCTGCCAGTCGACACAGCTTTGTGTTATGCAAAAACATTATATTTCAATTTGACTTGACCCAAAAAGTACTTTGATATTAGGAGGCGTTATTTCTGTTAATATATCGCCTACCGCCGACCAGAGAAATTATCGATACTCGAGAACAACGATGTTGCCAGATTGTGAAATAACTTACGTAATCGTTTTATACGATGATTTAAAATTTAAAATTATTGTTGCGATGACAATAGTTTTTGAATTTTTATGTATGTCTTAAAACGTAATTAGAGTCGACCTTACTCGGTAATCAGTGTTCATTTATAAATTTGTTTATACTACTTTATTTCTAATAACGGAAACGATATTATAAAATTCGAGTCCGAATTCTAGTATATACCGTTAAAAGGCTGTGCTGCGGGATGTTTCCGGCGCCTGCGCTTAAACTCCACCCCCTCCCACTGTCCTTTGCACTGTGTGCAACTCTTGAATCTGAAAATCGTGCAGTCTCGCTCTTGCACGCTGCATTTCGCTTTCGTCACTCGCTGCGAGTGTTTCTTCCCTCAGATCAGCGCACATTTAACAGTTATTTCATTAAATGTGGCTGCAGTTGCTTTGCATAAACACAAAAACCACACGGTTCAGGTGCCCAAAAGGTGAAACCTAACGAAAAACAACCGAAAGTGCCGTTAAACAGTGGAAACAGGATTAGAAAAGCTCCGTACCAAAGTGAAAAAAGCAATAAGGAGTTGTGGAGTGAGTGGGAGTGGAAGAGAGGGAGCGCTATCGCGGTGGTGGATGTACGTGTGCTGGTATTGGTGTTGTGTCCGTATCCGTGTTATCGCCAGAAGCATTGAGTTGCTCTAAATTCACAGCGCATGCGCAGGATAACTCACGCTCTCTGGTTCTCTTTCTTAACTTGGAAACGGAACAGGATATTTTATTATACCGAAATTCGTTCGCAGGAAATTCGCATAGTTGCGAAAGCTCCGCGCTGCCACACGGACGCATTCCGCTGCTGGTTCCCCCGCACACCCGCACACCCACTCACACCCGCCCGCCGCGCAACGACACACGCGCCCGCTCGCACACTCGCGCAGAAATCAATTAAAAGTCAAAAAAGATAAGTTGCAGTATTCCGGGAGCCTAGAAACATGCTGCAATTAACTCATAAGTTGAGAAAAAAATGCCGCAGCAAAAAAAATGCAGGAAAAGCGGTGAAAGCGAGGAAACTGTGAAACGAAAGGCAACGAAAGAACAACGGAGAAGGAGCACAGGGAGATGCTGCAGGGATGTACTTATATTTCGGATTTTAAGCCATTGACCACCGAAACCAGCCATTTGTCTCTAGCAACAAAAACTCCCACGTAGCTATTTACAATTTGCATTTTTGGATTCTCACTGCCCCGGAAGTGAAACCAGCTTCAGCGGAAATTAAAACAAATCGAAGCAGAAATTAAAGGCACAGAGAGACAGAGAGAGAAAGAGAAAGAGAGCCACCGGAGCGAGCAAGTGCATCCTCTTTACAACACGACACACATTTACAACCGGTGACTGCAACTAGCCCACTCCTCGGCCTCCTGCTCCTACCCCTACTCACCATCCCCCAGTTGTTCTTTGTAATTTGTTATCTCTGTTTTCATAACTTGGGCAGCAGCCGTTGGCACGGATTAGGCGGAAAACGTCAGCTATCAGGACGTCAAGGAGCATTCTGTTCCAAAGTTTAGGTGAGTCCCCAACCACACAAAAATCAGCCTTTTCGGGAGATCTACTTGGATTGTGTGCGTTGAAGATGGCCGGCGTGAAGTAGACATTTTTCAAAGTCTTTAAACTAATTTAACAGCGACAAGAAGATCAATGGAAATGTTGTTAGTTGCAGTTCCTCTGTATAAGGTTCTAAAAGGTTGTAAGGGTTGTTAAAGATCTTTTCACGTAATATAAAAAATGTAGTTTCAGAGTTGGGGTTAAGTCGAAAACTATAACATTTTATCTTAAAGGTTACTTTACGACTGACCAGAAGGGGAAATTTAATATCCCGCGGTCCTTATAGTCCATTTCCCAAGCCAGTTATAATATCTGAGATACCAACAGACACACGGCGGTAAATTAAGGACAGGGTAAATGTAGAAATGAGAAATCATAGCATTAACCGCGACATTAACAATCAAAAATGTTGTTTTCTTTCCTTTTTATTCCACCCAAACCAGCTATTCCATTTTACACCTGCAACCCGCCCCCGGAGTCCATCAAACTACCCTCAGACCTAAGAGCTTTGCTCCAATTTTACAAGCAAACAGAGAAATATGTTTGAGGGTCTCAAAAGATACAAATAATAGGAAAAATATAAGAAAATTCCAGCTAAGCCACAAAAACTACCTTTATATTAAGTCAGAAACAAAAACCGTTGTACATAAAAGCACGCCAGTAGCTGCTTTATGTTGGCTATAAATAGAAACAATTTAAGCTGCCATTTGTGAATTTATTTACTGTTTACTATGTTTTCAAAATCCTGCCAAAGGTAAAGAATAAAATAACTTATATCTCCTATAAATGGATATCTTGCAATATTTGGCCAACACCTAACATAAGGAGATCATAGTCCACGATGTTCCAGCATAGTGTCAACTGGTAGATTATTTTTAAGCAGCTCCTTTTTCCAGTGTTGAATTTTTCCATTTGTGCTTTCATGGTACACACTCGTGCTTTAAGGCAATGCTATTTGCAACGAGTGGACTGGTGGCTACCATGTTGTGCAACCATAATTCCGTCCTTTGATTCTGCACTCTCTAATTAGATAAACTCTGGGTTTCCCCGCAGCTTTTACAGTTTCTATGGTTTCAAGCATATTTTTGGCATTTTACCGCGAATTCTGTCCGGCGTGCAAGTAGCGAGTTGCAAGTTTCAGACATGAAGTTTAGAGTTGCTAGTGGCATGTTGCACAGTCGCCTGGTGACAAATCAGCGGGCCACTCTGAGCTGGAAACTGCCAGCACGGGCCGCATGGGGCAAAAGAAGTGCACTGAAAATAAAGTTTTTTCTAAATATAAGTAAGGTGCCGAATTCATAGTCATAAGTGTATAATTTACATTTTTTTAAAAAACATTTTTGAATGTGGTTCACGTTTTTTGGCTCACTGTGTGTGCAATCGCCTGAGCGTGCGGCTAAGGCCCAGTGGGGTGTGCTAGCTGTGGGTAAGGGTGCGACGATGGTGGTGGTTCGATGGATACTCCTTTTGGTGGGTGCTACATGGCAGTTAATGTGTCGAGAAGGGACTGGTTAAGAAGGCGTTGTGGATAACCCGAAACGCAGCAATAACAATAAGAAATATTGCGATGGGGCTTGGATTGAGCCAAAAAAGAACAATCGATAAATCCGCCTTCTTTCCACGCGAAATTCTTTCTACATTGTTGCAAAGCCTTAAATGCAATCGCAATACACTAATAATATTAAAAGTTTAATAATAAGTAAATAACACTAACACTTAGATTTTCAAAGTTATGTTTTAGTCCCTTACGTAGGAGCGTTGCCAATTCTTCTTCTTTAATGTACTTCTTGCATACCCTGAGTAGTCTATGTTTTTTATTATTTGATAAATGATTTGCCATTTTCGCCCCTTGGGCGGATGGGAAGGCTTTGTCACTCATTTATGCACACACATAGCGGGCTGAATTTATGATGTCATTATAATAGATTTTATGCGTGCCTAGCCAACATTCTCGGCGACTGGCGACTGGCGAAGTTGTTCTCGATGTGAAGATGGTTGTAGCTGCTGCCAGTGAACACCCGGACAACATTTCTCTCGGCTGATTGCTGTTTTTGTCGCTTCTGTCGTTGGGACACAAAGTATCTTGTATCTGCATGTTCCAGCCCCTCAAACTCCCTACCCAGATGCAGCCCGCTCGCTGCGAATGGAGTTATGGATATAAATTCTTCAGTTGCACGCCAGGACCCTGAACAGTGATGCCATTTCTAGAATTGGACTATTCTGAAAGAGCTATCTGTATTCCTCTTGATGTTGTTCGGCTGAAACCCTTTTCCAAAGTTCGACGTAGCTTAATGCCTAGCAGTTAAACGCCCTAAATGATAATTTAGCTCGTAAGAACTTAGCAAAGAGCAAGTTCAGCTGACTTCAGAAAACCAGGCCAGCACTATTAGCCCCAAAGGCCAGCCAGGCTGGCTGCTGGACTCAGCTTAATTACCATAAACACAATTTGCGAGTGTGTGACTACCATATTTTGACAAGATGCCAAGGGTGAATATGATCCAGAAGTGGCCGACTTTTTCTAAAGAATCCTTGGAAAACAAAATGAGTCCTTGTTTCACTCCATAAGGATTAATACATATTAGATTCAGAACCGGTGTTTGACCTATTGTTATTTTGTATTATTCTTATAAATATTGAAACAAGATATACATATATATTGCGGTAGGAGACAGTCACCCTACAATGTGTGCCACTTCTTCTGTTTCTATTCCTCTCCCATCATCTCTCTGCTTAGAGAACAGCACTTTATTTGCCAATGGACCGAGGACGACAGCCAAGGAGCAGGGCAAACATTGCATTATCAGCGCTATAAAATCAGAGGCAGACAGTTGCTCGATATATGCATAATGTAGGAGTGCTCATCAGCGGGGAGTCGGTGGAGGAGGGTGAAGCTGTCCAAGTGCTCAAATGCATATGACACATGTCAGGCTCGTGGCTCCAGGCCCGCGAAGTGTAAAGTTTCATTAAGTTAAACACGAACAGATACACTCTCAAACACAAAACGAGGCACTGTGGTCCTAAAACTAGTAATTTAGTAATGTATTTCATTATCTTATATAATGACAAGTATAGTTATTTAACTACAATATCTCAATAGCAATGATCAGTCGATGGTCTGAGTAGAAGCTTTCACGAAACATTTACCAAGAATATAAAAAATATAAATTTCGAGACCCACTGTGCAAAGTCCTATCAGGCAGCTATAATGCGGAGTGTATGTAAGTGTCAGCTTGTTGACAATCATGTGACAGTAAATACTTGCTTATGGCTCTGCGCTCGCTTTTCAACTCATTAATGGCTCTGCTTTCCCTTGCAGGAACTCACAACGAATAAACCGAACTTGCATTTTTATATCGCATTTTGTAAGGAACCCAAGGAACGTGTTCAGCATTGACCAAATGCCATCGTTTTCAACGCTAGTTGGACGAGCAAGCACACACGGCAATTAAAAGAAGTTGCCTTTGAACGAAACCCCACCCAAGGCGAGAGGAAAGGACCGGAACGAAGGAAGAGATTCCCAATCGGATTCCCACTAATAAATGCAGTGGAAGAAGAAGTTTACTCGATTGAAAGCAGCTACTGGAAATTCGCGTGTGCGAAGAATGCTTTGTTGTGGACGAAGAAAGGTGAGTGTTTGATTGACACGGATTTTTTTGAGTGTTTTACAAATAGAAGGGGTACCTAAGTGACTCAATATGTCAGTCAATTAGATGAGCACCGCCGTTCCCTAATCAGTTTCATGGCTGCCATAATGAATTTACATTTTACGCCTCAATTTCAATGAAGCCCTAATTGCAAAATCTGATTTGTATGCTGCCGCCGTTGCCACAGACGTTAGGATGTGTGGGCGTATGCCATTTTCGGTGAAAGTGGGGTGTTTTCAACGTTTGGGGTGGTTTTTCACTCTTTAATGTAACCGATGACGTATTTAATTACAAGCCAGGCCGTCAGCGACTGCCGCACTTTAATCAAAGACACCACACATATTAATGCAATTTCTGAACTCCCGGTTGGATGCCGAATTGGGTTGAACAAAGGGTTTGATCTGCTAGCCGACAGCACTTAATTTGATTGCGACTCGTGCTCAGCAGAACGGAAAAGAGTGTTTGCTCAAGTGCTCCTATATGCGCCACCTTACTTCGGACAAGCTTGCCCGTTCATTAGGCACCTAACGGAGCTAGGTGCTCCAGAACGGACTGCCTGGGGATGCACTGGAAGAGAAAATGAAATGTTTTTGTGTAATTCCATCCATCTTAGCCACATTAATAATATATCATACATACATTTTAGTCTGAAGTTAGTTTAGGTATTTATGATAATGTTCCCATTGTAATATTTTATATAATATATTAAGATTAATATATTAAGATATGAAAGCGATCCGTTAAAGTACAGCAAAACTTATTTACCAGGACATATCCTTGAGAAAATTGCATCCAGTTCTAGCCATCTTTGCCAGCAACCAGGATTAAATTTATGATAAAGTCCTTGGAGATGCGGTTCCCACAGCCCTAAATACACTCTGCCGGCTGTTTGTTTTAGTTATAGTTGATTATTTTTCTTTTCGCTGCCGTGCAAACTTTGACTTTGGGGCCCTGACGTCGCAAAGTTTAGCAAATAAATTAATTTACGCGCTGCACCGACGTCGAAGCTGCCATCTTAATCGTCCCGCGGGGATGGCGAGGAATCCAATTTGCACTAGTGGCGCCCTAAGCGGGTTCGAAAGTGTGCATCGAACGAAGATTTCCTGGGAAACCTCCAAACCGCCGAGGGCCCGAAAGGGTATTCCGAGTGCGCCGCAGCCTGCAGCGGCTTTTAAATTGCATTTCTTCGCTTTTATGGCTGCCGTTGCTTTAATCAGTTTTGCGCCAGGCGCAGTAAATTGATTTGTTAAACAATTTTTAATTGAAATAAGACGCTGCCGGGCAGAATGTCAAACTTTTATACCAGTGCTGGCAGGCTTCCGCCCTTCCTGGCACTTGAACAGCGGCAAACAGCTACAAAGTTGGTCAAACAAGACGCGTTGGCACTTCTATTGGCACACCAGTGTTGACTGGCAGCCAAAAAGGCGAGGAGAGGCGAGGATCCAGGCGTGCTGGGGGTACAAATCAGCATATTGCATTACAAATCGAAAGGGCTGACATCGGCTGAAATCGATACTATTTAATGGGATTGTTTTGCACGCTACTCAGCTTGCAGTCAGCTTCCAGATGCATCCGCAGCAGTTTTTGGCGGAAACTCAATAAATTCAATAAATTTTTTAACGACGATTGAGGAATGTAAGGTGGCAGCAGAAAACGTGCATAAATAAATTGAATATAATAATAAACTAATTCTTAAGTAGTTTTCTTAATTAAATCACTTTGAATTTTGATTTAATTGCTGATTCCAACAAAAGATATTCTTGAAACATAGGGACAAACGGTGTACTTTAAGAGTCTGCGTGATTAGTTGCCCGCTTGATGGAAGTTTATGAAATAGTTTGCTACTGCGGCCGGTGGCCCTTGATGTGCAGGGAGCTTGTTGAAGACTTTGTGGGAAACTTTTTCAACTTCCTTGCCATGCAGCGGCACGTTTAGTGCTTTGAAATGGCGTAGAATGATGGCGTCCCTCCTGGCATTCGGCTCTCCTGTCTTCTTAGCTCTGGAGTCTGTGGAGTGCCATTCAAAAATAAATGGCGGGTATTTAGGAAGCCGCAGTCTGGAGTCTTTCTTCGGTTGTTTGAGTTGCCTTCCGAGCTGCCAACAACAATTGGAAGACGCAGCCAAGTAACATAGAGCTAGGCTGGCAAGGCATTTCCTAGATAAGGATAGTAAGTCAATGGAAACTGAAAATGGAGATACAGTTCCTGGGTATATACACACACTCCGTATATTGTCCGATTCAATAAGGGATGCTTTCACCGAAAATCCTTTTCAAGATTCATAATTGAAATGAACTTTGTGATTTCATTATTGGCTAATCTTATTTGTAATCCATATAGAATATCTAAATAGGGTGCGCCATATTTTATGGTCCGATGGATTGAATAACTTAAAAGCGAAACAAAACAAACATATTTTTGAGTTAGTATCATTTAGTATCGATGTATACAATTTATTTGGACCACTTTGAAAAACAATATCAATTAAATGGCCACATTTATTGGCCACGGTAAATTGTGTTCGTTTTGCACCCTGCACCCTGCAGATTATGGGGCTTTGAACTAACTAACTATTGCTCGCAGAGCTGCCGTTCTCACAAATAGTCTGATGCCTAATTTTCTTCGATTTATTTTGCCTTTTTCTTAGAAAATTTTACCTTCGACTGCAGCCTCCAGAAAAAACATTTCTACCCCGCTGCACTTTCACGAGGCCGACACCTCCACCTATCCCTTTAGCTGGAAGATGATTTAAGAAAATAACAAACTGCAACTATTAATTGGCACTGCAGGTTTGGCGGTTTTTTGCTGCCAACGCAGCTGAAAAAGTTCTTTCCCTTGGTGCTTAATAAGCTTAATTTGGAGTGCATTGGCTCGGAAAGAGCCCAGATAGAGCTAAAAACCTCGTTTCCCCGGCGCCTAAGGCAGCCATTGATTTTCATACCGCGTACTTTTTGCCAAAAATTAACAAAAATTGGGATTTTTAGGTGTGAATGCAGATAGACTGGAAATTTATTTAGGAGTTCAGCGATATAATGCTTTCTATATGAGAAATTTCTATACTCAAGAATTATTTTTTGAGTTATGAGTAAAATTTCGCATTTTTGATAAGGTTGATCATCAAAATCTGCAAAAATGGGCAAAAATGTTACGTTTTAAACTGTGAATGCAGTTCAAATACGAATTGGAAAACAAGCATAATGAGGTATGCCATTCCATTTTTCGGCGAATTTTGGCTTACTTATGGACAAAATACTTTAATTTTAGGGGGAAAATGGGGATTAACCAAATTTTGATGTTTTCATAAGCTGCAACATCGTGTAATTTTAAAAGAGCTTCGCCAAAAATGCACTTTTTCGGGTTTCAATGGAGGTGTACCAAGAATTAGGCTACAAGCTCAACGATGAATTAAAATCGTCATTTCGAGATGTAAAAGTACTTGCATTAGAAGGGTAAAAACGGGGTTAACTACATATCGCATTTTCAATAAGAGACATCACATTAAAACTTTTCAAAACGTCCGTTCCATGGATTTCTTACAGTTTAAAGGTCATTTAAAATAAGATGTTTATTAGTTTATTTCGATTGACATTGTCAACTTGCTTGAGAATACCCTGTTTGGATAGGATGCTGGTATTTTGCGTATCTCGTTAGAATGCTTACGTGCCTCGAAATCCAGTTCAGACTTCTAACGCTCGACTCACTTCAACTACGTGCCCTTCATTTGCGCAACTAATTGTAAGAGTCTTACGCAACTACGGGGACAGTCGTCCGTCGACGTATTGAAATGTTTTCGTATCCATTGAAGAGTCGAGTTTGTTGCGTGCACGTAAAATATTTGCTTGTCATTGGGCGCACTTTCCCATCGGGGAACTGTCGAACGTGTTTATATTTTGCAGCGGACCGAGTTTTGACAGTTGACATGTAGCCAAGAACTGAGGACCTGAGGTCTTACCTGTGCGCAGCTCTTAACTTATTTTTAATTGTTTCCGTCAGCCGGGCGAGCCATTAAAGTGATAGGCGGGAATTAGCCCAGCCCTTGGTAATGATTTCGATTATGGTCTGGCCGTCGGTTGTTTTCTGCTTTTTATCTGGCTCCTAGGGGCAACACTGCGTACACGTATTTTATATTTTTACTATTAACTGCAGCCTCTCGATAGTTGTGCGAGGGGTCAGACAAGTTTTGTTCTATTTCAAGCCATTTTATTCGGGGTTGAGAGCGAAGGACAGCTGAAGAAATTGCAGTGCCAAAACGGAATTAACCCACAACTTGCAATCCTGCAGAAGCAGCATCTACGCACACACAGATGCGTCTTCTGGGCGCTAGTGTGTGTGGGTACCTGTGTGCACACTAAAAGCGGTTTATGCCACTCACATGTAAACCCAGTTGCCTGCCAAGTGTTTGGCTGTTTGGCTGTTTGGATGCAACACCCATACACGATTGTTGTGTGGATAGGTCGTGGCTTTGCATGTTTCAGCCAACCCAACCATCCACTCAGCCACCCCCTTTTTCCCCTTGGGTTGCTCAAATTTTCTGTTTGCTTTGCTGTGGATTTTCGTTACGTTTCGGCGGAATTTCCCTTTTCAGCTTCCTCCACTCTGCACTCTTTCGTACCTCAAACGTATTTTGCACTTGCTTGGCATATAACCGAGGGGGTGGGTGGGTGTTGTGTGGCTGGTGGACGGTCTTGCGACTCTCTTTTCGCGCTCTCCTATCTCAGTTCTCTTTTTGTATTTCTCTCTGGTATTTGGAAAAGCTTTTGTAGTAGAGAAATACGAACCATTTTCGATGTTGCTGATTACCCCATCCCCGATTTTCTACACTTTTCCGAGTAATTCTTTGGCTTTTGCGGCTGGCTCCCTTAGAGTGGCCAGAGCTGGGCAAAAGTTTATAGGACACTTTTTGGTCTTGCGATTTCTGAAGGAACTTTGGCGCCTTTGGCAAGGCATTTAATATGCTTTGACTTATTATAATCGTCAGATGTG